AGGACCCCCAGAGGGGTCTGCCAGGGAGACTGCAACCGGCCGACTAAGCGGCGTAAGAGTGGTGCGGTCTCGAAAGAATGAGCGGGACGCACCCGAGTCAAGGGTGAAGGTGTGGAAGGCCTGAGCCGACGTAGTACCTGAGAGAGCAAACTCACCAGCACCTGGGGCGGTAGACGCACTGGTACCTGGGGCAGTAGACGCACTAGCACCTAGAGCAGTAGCCTCACCAGCACCTAGCGCAGCAGCCTCAATCCCCAGGTCAGGCGGTACACACAGGTAACAGGCACCCTCAACACTATCAGCAACAGCATACATGGCAGCAAGAATAGCATCAAAGTCAAGATCAAAGATAGCAACCCCGGCCTTAGCCAGATCTCCCAAGCGAGGGATCTCTGACGCCTCAGGGAACTGGCGACGCCACGCGTCCGTCAGGCGACCAAAGCAGCGCTGGGTGGAGTGTGGACCTCCGCACTGCTCACCAGTGCGGTCGCCGTTACGGAGAATGTAAGAGCAGGGACCAAACCCCCACCACGCTGGTGTGCAGTGTACCACTCACGAAGCTGCTGAGGGAACAGGGTCGCACCACTACGCTGCTACTGCTGGCGCTGACCACCACCGGTGCCACTCCTCGGCGCAGAGTCGCGACTCGCTCCACCACCGCCGCCTCCGCCACCTCCACCGCCTCCTCCACCTCCGCCTCCTCGACCACCTCCGCCGCCTCCGCTCCCTCCGCCACCTCCACCGCCTCCGCCGCCGCCACTGCAGCCGCCGCCGCCGCCACTGCTGCCGCCGCCACCGCCACCACCGGCACCACTCCCACCACCACCCCCACTCCCTCCACCGCCTCCACCACCCCCTCCACCGCCCCCTCCACCCCCGCCAGTGCCCTTGCCCCCCTTGCCCTTGCCGGTGCGGCGTCTCCCGCTCGGGGCAGACGCAGCGCCGATTGACTCGAAACCAACGAGGTCGGCCGCAGCAGAAGAGGCAACAGAGGGCAAGAGGGGGGAGGGAGAACACCCCTCAAAGACTGGGGTGCGAGGGTCACCACGAGAGGCTCCTACAGCGACTATACTCTTCTCTATCGCTAGGAGGGCCTTCTCGAGGAGGTCAACGGTGAGAGTGGTGGGGCAAACAAAGAGGAAGTGGTCCCTGACTACACGAAGAGAGTCAGGGAGTTGGGTGACTATGTAGTAGAGGGTGATGTACATGGGGGGGGGGGGGGGTTCTTGGCGCAAAACTCAGCAGGAAGCACAGCGCAGTAGCGGGTGTCACTAGTGCGGAGGTGCGTAATGAGGTCAGCGACAGTGGGGAAGGCAGCAAGGTCAGGGAAGAGGTACGGTAGCATGAGGCGGCTCAGTGCAGCAGTGGCAGGGGAAGAGTAGCGTGCAACTACAGCGTCGTACAAGGACTGAGCACTCTTGTACTGGCTAAAGTGTGCACGCTCAGTGGTTGGTAAGTGGCGGCGCACAGCAAGGCGAGCAGCAGCATCACGTGTGGCCCACTGTGAGCGAACAGTGGCGTCAGCATCAGCAGCAGGGGCAGGGGAGGCACCAGAAGTGAGGTCAAACAGGGAGAGGCCGTTTGCCCTATCGCACTGCAAGAAAAGCTGCAGATCATCTACCCAGACCTCAAAGTCCACTGCCCGACCCTCAGCGTCAAAGGTGAGAACGCTAGGGGAAGCCATAACAGCAGTAGGCAGGGCAGTGCAGTGGCGGAGACTGTGCTCTTACCAGGTAGGTGGAGCGATCGGGCTGCTCGGCGGCTCGGCTGTCGAGCGGCTCGGCTGCAGGGCGGCTCGGCTGCTGGGCGGCTCGGCTGCTGGGCGGCTCAGCTATCGGGCGGCTCGGCTGCTGGGCGGCTCGGCTGTCGGGCGGCTCGGCTGCCGGGCAGCTCGGTTGCTGGGCGGCTCGGGCGGTCGGGTGGTTCAGCTGGCCGGCGGTGCGGCTGCTCGGCGTTGCGGGCGCTGGGAGGCGGGGTCGCAGGTGTGGCGAGGTCGCAGGTGGCGGCGGGCCGCAAGGATGGGCGGGGCCGCGGTGGTGACGGGGCCGAAGTGGGCGACGGGGCCGACGAGGGGCCGTAGCGGGGCCGACGGGGCCGAAGCGGGGCCTAAGAAGGGGCCGTAGCGGGGCCGACGGGGCCCTAGCGGGGCTTAAGTGGGGCCGTAGCGGGGCCGACGGAGCCGTAGCGGGGCCGCGACGGGGCCGTAGCGGGGCCGCAGCGGGGCCTAAGCGGGGCCGACGGGGGGCCTAAGCGGGGCTGCGACGGGGCCGACGGGGCCTAAGCGGGGCTGACGGGGCCGTAGCAGGGCTGTAGCGGGGCCGTAGCGGGGCCGACGGGGCCGACGGGGCCGTAGCGGGGCCGTAGCGGGGCCTAAGCGGGGCCGACGGGGCCGTAGCGGGGCCGTAGCGGGGCCGTAGCGGGGCAGACGAGGCCTAAGCGGGGCCGACGGGGCCGTAGCGGGGCCGTAGCGGGGCCTAAGCGGGGCCGTAGCGGGTGGCTGGAGGGGCAGTAAGGGCGGCCAATAGGGGCCACTAAGGCGGCTCGAGGCGCTACTCGGGTTAGGAGCTAAGCGCGCTCCGGGCAGGGAAGGAAAAAAAAAGTTTGTGGTGGGCCCTAGGCAGTATTCCCACTCGGGAACCTGCTCGATACCATGACGAGAAGTGAGAATGGATGAATGAACTATGAAGCAGTTGGGTACAAGTACTAACCCTAATTGGGTTGTACCCCTTATGGGCTACCCCACTACAGCCTACACAAATGTATAAGCTATAATGTTCTGACACCACCGCCGCCTGCACCCTGACCACCCCTCCTGCCACCCCTACCTCGAGACCGCGACGAAGTCGTAACAGCAGCTGCGGTCACGTCAGTAGTGGCAGTGGCTAGTGAGGCAGTAAAAGAGGGCAGCTGGGGGATACTGCACTCGTGAAACAGTGGAGGGGGCACAGCACCAGAGGCGGAGGCTACGGAGCAGAGGTTGCTCTCGACGTCCTTGAGTGCACACTCAAGGACCTTGATAGTGAGCTCACTAGGGTGCTTCAGAAGAAGCGTGTCACGAACCTAGGCAAGGCGGTTAGGGAGGCTAGTGGCAATGAAGTAAATAGTAATCGACATGGGAGGGGGAAGCAGTGCAAGCTGTGCGTCAGTGCAAGCAGCGCGGTAGCTAGAATCGAGCAAGCGGAGGTGAGCAATCAAGCCAGCAGAGCGCTCAAACGAGGCGAGGTCAGGGAACAAGAACGGTAGGAAGAGGCGGCCAAGAGAGACAGTGGTGGGGGTAGCGTAGCGGGCCTTGATCGCAGTCACGAACTCACTAGCAGTGCGAACCTGAGTGAAGTGGGTCTCCTCAGACCCAGGGAGGAGGCTGCTAAGAGCGATGCAGGCAGCAGCGTCACGCGACTTCCACGCCGTCAGGTCAGCACGCTGGCGGGTAAAGCGGTCTCTGGCGGCGTCGTCAGGGGCAGGGTCTAAAGGCGTATGGTCGTCGGGCGCAGGAAGGTCACCAGTAGCGTGTGCATAGAGGGACTCACCCGCCTGGACCTGACTCTCTAAAAGGCGACGCGCGCGTAGGAGCTAGACCGGAAACTCGAGCGGTCTACCGTCAGCGTCAAAACGAAGAACCCTAGGGTCGCCGCGTAAGCGGAAACGACAAGTCCGGCTGCGAGCGGCACTGGTAGGGCGGCTAGGGCAAGTCCGTGGTAGGTGCAAAACGCAGGCGCGATAGGCGCAAGGGGTGTGGACTGAACGAGTAGGTGCAGTAGTGTGAAGGGAGGGCCAAACTAGCGGGCCCGTAGCGGTCCTAACAAGGAGGCGCGGCGGCTGAAAGGTAGGGCCCGTGGCGGCTAGAAGGGAGGGTCCGCGGCGGGCAGTACGGGCAGGCGCAGCGGCGGGACAAGCGAGCCCACGGTGGGCCTAACTAGGAGGCGCGACGGCGGGTAGGAGGGGTAGGCGCGGCGGTAGGACGAGCGGGCCCACGGCGGGCCTACCTAGGAGGCGCGACGGCGGGCAGGAGGGGTAGGCGCGGCGGCGGGACTAGCAGGTCCGCGGCGGGCCGAACGGGCAGGCGCGGCGGCAGACGGGGCGCGCGAACGGGCGTGTAGGGCAGCGGGGGGAGGGCGCGTCGCGACGAGCAGCAGGGGAGGGGACGACGGGACGGGAAGAGGGGGAGAGCGGGACGTGACGAGGGACAAGGGAAGGCGCGACGCGACAGGCAGCGGGGGGAAGGCGTGAAGTGATGGACAGCGGGTTAGTGGGTCGGCGGAACGGGCGGTAACGAACGAACAGGACTAGATCGCGCGGGCGGTAACGAACGAACGGGACTAGATCGGGCCGGCGGTAACGAACGAACGGGACTAGATCGGGCCGGCGCTAGGCTCGGGCAAGACGGGCGCAACTAGTACGACAGTGTGAGACAGGCTCGGGTGAGACGAACGAGGACGGGAGGAGCGGGATCCCACAGGATCCTAACCTAGGTGATACCATGTCAAGAATACGGTAGAAGTGTTGGTGTCATTGATGTGAGTTGGGGTACATATAACAAACCTTAACATCTGTACCCCCTTAAGACAAACCTCACTAGAGGCTACAACATTTGACAAAAATGTGAGCGAAGGCATGAGCGAACATTTATACGCGAAACATGCAAACGGTAACGCGGTGCATGCGAGCTAGCTAGTGCTATGCTGGAGCAAGGCTCGGGCTAGTTCCGAAGCGTAGGTCGACACGGCAAGGCCAGCACTGCGAGGTTTGGTGAAACAGTGCGCGCGAAGTGGGCGAAGCCCCGTTAGCAGTAACGGGCGAACAACGGCTGCTGCTGTACACGATATTGCAGGGTGCTCTAAGGAATATCGAGAAATTTCCTTACATGAGTACACATCAGTGGAATACCCATATAAATATATCACTTCCATTTTCCAGAATTGGACAGCAGGAAACAACCTTGCATTTCTAAGCACATACTGTCACATAATAGTAGCATTAAAACCCAAGGCTGTTCCCACCTGTCACCTACTGCACCCCAATCCACCCGATTCACACTCACAATCCCCACTCTCGACAAATAACCCTTCCCCTAATTCACCTCCCATTCCCAGCCTTCCCTCTGCATCCCTTTCTAGTATCGGCTCCAGTAAGACGTCGCAGCAGGCGGGTTCCGAGCCGCAAACGACCCAAGAGCTGCACCATTGGGATATGCATCAGTGGAAGCAACCGCATAGTAAGAAGCAGGATTCGCCAAGAGCAGATCCATCACATACTTATAAGTCGGCCCGGCCGCCGTGGTAATAGTGCTTGCATTATACCACATCCCAGCAAACCCATAAACAAATCCCGAGGGAACGGGCGGGCGGAAGAAGCCGAAGAACTTGGGGAAGGGCGGCTGGCGGCGGGCGCCGCGCTTCAGAGCACCATTGGCGTTCAGTGCAGAGCAGTTTCCGGACCACGTGAGATTGGTCCACGTGGCACTGGCGCCAAAGTCCAGGACGACTGCTGACGTGGCGTTGTCGTTGATGGTAATGGACGTGGGCAGGCCCGCGTCGGTGAGCTTGAGGGCGGCACCGTAGCGGATGTTGTAGTCGCCGCTGTAGCTGCAGGTGGGAAGGCGAGTGATTGCGGCGAGGGAGAGCGAACAAGGTGTAAGACGTGCGCGGCATAAAAAATAGGTGCCAGGAAAAGGATGCACGGCAGAAGCATGGGGATATGTCGTAGGTAAACCCCAGAAACAGCAGTGAGACATGATCAGAGTGACATGGAAAAAAAAAAAATCTCTTTTAAGGCTTGAGGTGGGCGTCTTACTTGTAGACGGCGAGCAGCACGACGCCCGTAGCGTTGACGTCGCCCGTGACTGTGCCTGATGCGTCAGCCACGTTGTTACCCAGCATGCGCGCCGCCAGTGCTCCTGAGCGGTAGCAAGGGAAGGAATTGAAGGTGTGTGGGTGACAGGTGAGTGAGGGAGGGGGGGAGGGAGAGAGGGAGAGAGGGAGAGAGAGAGAGAGAGAGAGAGAGAGAGAGAGAGAGAGAGAGAGAGAGAGAGAGAGAGAGAGAGAGAGAGAGAGAGAGAGAGAGAGAGAGAGAGAGAGAGAGAGGGGGGGGGGGGGGAGAGAGGGAGAGAGGGAGATCGAGAGAGAGGGAGGGAGATGCTAAGAAAACTAACAACAACGGAGGAGAAACTCACCGATGCGTTGTCCTGGGTGGCCGCCGAACTGCCCCCATCCGCCCTGACCCCACCTGAAGCCCCCGCCGCCTCTGCCACCCTGGCCGTAGCCAGGCGCCATCCTGAAGGCCGCACCTGCAGTGAGCGAGAGAGAGGTAACAGAGCCAAGACAACCAGCAGCCGTTAGGGCGAGTGGAACTCCAATTCGCTTGCAGTAAGCGAAGCAACATGCGTGTGAGGAAAAACAAACTGCCGAGTTTCGCGGGATGATTCTTGTAAAGTTCAGGTTGCGAGTGCACTTACATGACAGAGCGAGTGAGAGGAGGAAGAGCGCGAAAAGAGTCGTCTTGACAGCCATGGTCGCTGGGATTCAGAGACTGACAACGACTGCTTATATATCTTGCGATGCTTCAGCGATTCAAGAATGGCTTGTTTCAAACACCGGGAAGAGATGGAATTCGAGAGGAGCGAACAAGCTGCGTTACTTTGTACTGGATGTTGATTAAGCGTCGAGCCATCTTATACCGTATCACGAAGGCCCACAGCACCGCGGGTTTGTGGCTAGAAGGGTGGTGGTGGATGCGCGGCGGGGAGGGAAGGAAGGGTGGAATGTTCAAAAGCCAGCTGGCGTATCAGGCGGGTTGGAGAGGAGAGAAGACCATTCAACCTAGTGATCTAGGAGGCAGATTTGTCGGCTGTTTCTGGAGGCTGCTCTTGTCCTTTTGCGAGGATGGTGGTGGTAACCCTCCACTCTCAACAACCTCCAACGAAGGGAATCTGGATTTCGCGACCTTTAGAGCGACAATGTATTCGAGTATCAGATATTCGCAACTCTCTCAAGCTTTTCGCGTACTTGAACGAAACAATTCGCCGTTCTGGTAAGGTAGGGGGTTCTTCGTCCTACGAGGTGTTTCTCGGTGAAGTTTTGAAGGATGTACGGCAGCTTCCACCACTTGTGATCTGCCTTTCCTCCACCATTCGATCCCTTCCCTTCACACTGCCGAAAATTCTTTCATTTTCAACGCCCAGGCGGGTTGGGCCCACAATTTATTGCCAAGTTCCGTTAGTGACTGGCACGTATATCGTCGAAGTAATTTTTAGTTCCGAATTGAAGGAGCCCATTCCACGAGCGAATAATAAAATAGTGAATTTTTATATCACTGCAGATGTATTAATGTTTGGAAACCATCCAATCCAAATCAATCCAGCCATCCAAATAGTAAAATGTGAAGAAACGTCAGAGCCGATTCTCCTGTCAACAATTTCAGTTTCCAGCCCTGCCCTTACAAGCAATGGAGGACTCCAAGCAAAGAAACAACCCGCACTGGCGTTCACTAGTGCAACCGAAGCAGATGCTAAGCACAGATGACACAACAGGTTTGTATCAAAGAAGACACCTGGCAGCAGCAATGCTGACGTGACACTGCATTGAACCAGAGAAGCGAGGCAGACAGCGTGAGAAGACTCTCCACCTGCCAGGAAACAAAACAGCGTAGGAAGGAAACTTGCCACAGCCAGTTCTAATAAAAGCCAGGCGAAATGAAAGGCAAAGCGACTGCCATGACAACACTGGTGAAGGAGGCAAGTGCAGACTTGGTGTTGAAAACTCTCTCTACTCGCCACAACTGCTTTCAGACACAGCAACACCAACCAGTACCCCACTACCCACTGACCATGGCCAAAGTGGCTCTAATGCAAGCTGAACACACTCCCTCATTCATCCACTCACCCTGCTGCGGGCCGAACACACTCCCTCACTAACCCACTCACCTCACTGCGGGCCGAAGACGCGGATGCGCTGCGAGATGGGCGAGCGGCACGTGGGGCAGTCGGGCATGCGGCGGGCGAGGAGAGCGTCGTTGCAGGCGAGGCACACGATCTGATGCGCACACGGCAGGAACACCACCTGCACCTCCTCACTCATGCACATCACACACTCCCTCTCCCTCCTCACCCCCCCTCCTCCTCCCATGCCCATCCCGAACACTGGCCCCATCCCCAGCCCTGCCCCAAGGCTTGCTCCTGCTCCTGCTCCTCCCCCGCCTAGAACAATCCCGCCAAGGCCAATGTGGGGCAGCAGGGCGCCATGGCCTGCTGTGGTGCCTGCAGCAGCAGCAGACGCAGGGTTGCCGGTGAGACTGCCACTGAGAATGCCTCCCCCTCCCCCTCCTCCTGCTACTCCCCCTCCCCCTCCGCCTCCACCTCCCCCTCCCCCTCCCCCTGCCCCGCCCCCTCCCCCTCCCCTCGCCCCTCCAATGACCCCGTGGTTGCGTCCCCCTCCGTGCCCTGCTGCCGCTCCCTGCCTCCCCCCCTTGCCCGCAACCCCTGCCCCTCCTGCCCCTCCCAAGCCTACTCCCCCAAAGTGTATCCCATTCAGCGGCGCCACTCCTGCCACTCCTGCCGAGCCTGTGACTCCAGACATCCCACCCATCCCTGCAACAGTACCAAGCTGACCCATCACCCTCTGCCCACCACCCAACCCAACACCCCCACCAGCAACAGCGGCAGCGGCAGCAGCAGTGGCAGCAGCAGCAGCGGGGGAAGCGCCAGGAGGATGAGCAGCAGCAGCGACAGGAGTCCCCATGGGGAAATCAAAGAGGACTCCCCGTGCATTCGCCTCTCTCAAAGCCTGCGCACTCGCTGCCGCCACCACACTCGCCGCCACACTGCTACTACTACCACCACTACCCCCACCTCCACCCCCGCTCCCACTCCCACTCCCCCCACCACCACCAGCGCCAACCCCACTCCCCAACAACCCCACGCCGCCGCCCCTCAACCCACCGGCACCAGCACACCCCACTCCCACCCCTCCCGCACCCCCACCCCCGCTACCTCCCCCGCCGCTCCCACCCCACAGGCTCGCTCCGGCCATGATCCGCAGCTGCACCACCTCCCGCTCCAGTCTTGCCACCTCGCCACGGACCCTCTTCACGTCCGCCTCGCTCTTGGCTCTGAGCGTCTCCTCGCGCTGCTTCCACGCCGTCTCCGCCTGCTCGCGCGCGCGGCACTCTGCGTCGGCGCGCGCGGTTGCTTCCTCGCGCACCTTCTCCTCCTGCCGCCACCGCTGCTCCGCCTGCTGCTGCCGCCGCCGCGTCGCTTCCAGGTCGGACAGGGCCGTTGCCAGCTTGCGCCTCTCCTCCCCTAGCTCCTCCTGTGGGGGACAGCATTCACACGTGGGATTCGTGAGGGGTCACGATGCTTCCAGGTCGGACAGGGCCGTTGTCAGCTTGCGCATCTCCTCCCCTAGCTCCTCCTGTGGGGGCGAGGGGGGCATTTGGAATCATGTGGCAGGCAAGGTGGTTTCCACATGGGGAGACGATTCATGAGGGGTCACAATGCTTCCAGGTCGGACAGGGCCGTTGTCAGCTTACGCCTCTCCTCCCCTAGCTCCTCCTGTGGGGGACAGCATTCACACACGTGGGATGCAGAGAATCTCACTAGCTATACACCAGCGAGGTGATTTGGAGGTTGCGAGCTTGGGTGGTGCAAGTTCGCACCTGTGAGAGAATTGAAAAAAACAACAGCAACATTTGGCCACAACACCCACTTGCAGCTTCACCATTACCAGCTCAATCGCTTCCACACTCTTGAGCGCATTGCATTCCTGCTTTCCCGGGAGATCACTGAATACACTAGCTGCTTCTACACGTCTCCCTTACACCCACCTGCAGCTTCGCCTTGACCCGCTCGATGGCCTGCACCCTCTTGAGCGCCTTGCCCTCCCGCTTGCCCGCCTCTGCCAGCTTGGCACTCGCCTCGCTCACCCTCAGCCCCGCCGCCTGCAGCTCCGCTCGCAGCTGAGAAGGACACAAGAGAGGGAATATGGGGGAGGCACGGGGGGGAGGACGAGGGGGGTTGGGCGAGAGGTGAGCACACAGCAGACCAGCTTATATGGCGACAGCTTGGCACTCGCCTCGCTCACCCTCAGCCCCGCCGCCTGCAGCTCCGCTCGCAGCTGAGAAGGAGCATAGGGAGTATGGGGAAAATGGGGAAAACGAGAGGTGAAGCCATGCTCAGCCAAATTCTATGCACATAAAGAATTCTGTTTTTTTTTTTTTTTTTTTCAAAACATACGGCTGAACCATCACTCCTCCCCACCACCCCAAATCCCCAACACACCTCTGCATTCTCTGCCTCCAGGCGGCACACGGCCACGTTGGCACAGTCAACCTGCCCCGACGCCTTCCGGAGGGCTACCTCCATCTCGCCCAGCTGCCTTAACTCGCCTCACACTGAGAGACCCTAAACCCCAAAATCCCAAACTCACCTCAGCGTTCTCTGCTTCCAGCCGACAAACAGCAGCGTTGGCACGGTCAACCTGCCCCGACGCCTTCCGGAGGGCCGCCTCCATCTCGCCCAGCTGGCGCGCGGCGCTCTCCTCCTTGCCGTCCTGCTCGCGCCGGCTGCGCACCCACTCCTCCCGCTCCGCCCTCAGCTGCCGCAACTCCTTGCTCTCCCTCACCAGCTTCTGCGCCACCTGCATCACCTGTAAAGGGAAGGAAAGGGGGGAGTGGAGGAAAAGCGAACCGGGGGGAAGAGTCGGGGGGAACAGAGGGCCAAAGGGGCGAATGGAGGGAGAAAGGGGGGGAACCGGTGTTGAGGAAGGAAGTCAGGGTGAGGGAAGGGGAGGAGAAAAGAGAGCTCTCGGCTCCTCCTTGCCGTCCTGCTCGCAGCGGCTGCGCACCCATTCCTCCCGCTCCGCCCTCAGCTGCCGCAGCTCCTTGCTCTCCCTCACCAGCTTCTGTGCTACTTGCATCACCTGCGGGGGGGGAGAGAAGTGGAGGAAGAGCGGGGGGGGGGGGGGGGAGGGGGTGTGGTGAGAAAGGACGGGGGAGAAAAGGAGAAAAGGGATAGATAGCAGCAAGGCCCTCCCCCCCACCTTTTTTCTTTCCCCCCCACTCACCCGTTGCTGCGCCCAGTGCTTGCTGTCGTCCACTGCTGCTTCCAGCTCCCTCACCCTCGCCTCCAGCCATGCCGTATGCTGCTCCTTCCGCTCGTCCACCTGGCAGGGGGAGGGGGTGCGGAAGGGAGGGGGGACGCCAGGTGTGCGGATCAGCTCAGAGCCTCCAGCTCCCTCACCCTCGCCTCCAGACATGCCATGTGCTTTTTTTGAGGCGCCTCAAAAATAAGATCAGAGCCTCCAGCTCTATCACCCTCGCCTCCAGCCATGCTGTGTGCTGCTCGCACCTCTCGTCCACCTGGCATGGAGGGAGGGGAGGAGAAGAGGGGAGAGGGAAGGGGGAAATATGAGAGTGCAGCAAGAGAGTCAACTCAAAACTTCGAGCCAAGACGTTTGCTGCTCGTGCATCTCTTCCCCACCTGCGCATACCGCTCTGCACCCACCTGTCCTTCGAGCTCCTCGACACGCCTCTCAAGATGCACGCACTGCTTCAGCACAGCGCCATGAGTGGCATGCATTCCTCAACACCCTGTCCCTCCATTCCTTCCTTCCCCATCTGCGCACACCACTCTGCACCCACCACTCTGCACCCACCTGTCCTTCGAGCTCTTCAACGCGTCTCTCAAGGTGCACACACTGCTTCAGCACGGCGCCATGCGTGGCGTGCAGCTGCTCCAGCCGCTCCATCACCCCCTCCACACTCTCCGCTCCCTTCCCCACCGCTGCCGTCGCCGCTGCCACTGCCGCTGCTGCTGCTGCTGTTGTTGCTGCTGTCACTGCTGGTAACCCGGCCGTTATGCCACTGGCCGTACTGGTAGGTTTGCCGCTTGACGCGTTGCTTGTGACACCACCACTGCTGGTCACGCCGCCGCTGCTTGTTACACCAGTGCTTGGCACACCTGTGGTCACACCGGCTACACCCGGCACACCTGTGGTGACTCCAACAGACCCTGCCGCACCAGACACGCTCACTCTCTCTGTTGCCCTGCCTGCCTGTGCACCACCAAGCACACCACCTGACGCGCCCTGCTGCGACTGAAGAGGGTCAAAGGGCACCATCACGCCAGGAGAATTCAACAGAGTAGGTGGATTCAACAGAGTGCGCTGGTTCACAGCACTGACAGCCGCTCCTGAAACAGCAGCACCCCCTGTAGCAGAATCGGCTACTACAGTACCTACAGTACCTGCACCACACGCTACAGCAGTAACCGCACTACCTGTTACATCAGTAACTGCACTAACTGTTACAGCAGTAACCGCACTACCCGCTACAGCAGTAACCGCACTACCTGTTACAGCAGCAGCAGGCATGGTACAGTTAGGTGGAATACTGGCTGTCACAGCACGGTTGGGCATGGCAGCAGCAGAAGCAACAGCACCTGCGACACTGCCGCCTGCACTACCATGAGCATGATTCATGCCGCTATCCGTCCCTGTGTGAACTAGCCCATGCTTCTCCTCGCCCTCTCCCCCTCCTGCCACCCCTCCTGCCACCCCTCCTGCCACCCCTCCTGCCACCCCTCCTGCCGCCCCTCCTGCCACCCCTCCTGCCACCCCTCTTGCCACCCCTCCTGCCGCCCCTCCTGCCGCCCCTCCTGCCGCCCCTCCTGCCATCCCTGCCACCCCTGCTCTCGCAACTCCCACTGCCCCTCCTGCCCCCAGTCCGCCCCCTGTCCCCCCCATCTCTTCCCCATTACCAGCATCCCCACGCCTCCTCTGTGCCACCACCAACCGCCTCCTCCTCCCTCTCACCCCCCCCACCTCACTCCCCCCTACCCCAGCCACTCCACCTCCCGTTCCTACCCCCACACCTGCCGAACCTGGCTGCATGAGCAGGTCCGGGAACACGGTGTGTGGAGCTGAAGTCCCCGAACCTGGCCAGGTGGCTTGGGAGGTAACCGAGGTTTGGGCCAAGGCAGGAGGGGGAGGTTGCGGGTGGGTGTAAGGTGGGGGGTGGGCGTGGGGGTAAGCAGGGGAGGAGAAGGAGAAGGGTGCGGATGCTGACATGGGAGCTGTGGTAACGCTTGTCATGCTCCCTGCTGTTGCACCCCTTGCACCACTTGCACCATTCGCACCACTTGCACCATTCGCACCACTTGCACCAATCGCACCACTTGCACCATTCGCACCACTTGCACCATTTGCACCAATTGCACCACTCACACCATTTTCTGCCCCAGCACCATCTGCTAGAGCAGCCCCAGAAGCAGCGGCAGCAGAAGCAGAGGCAGTGGCGAGTCCAGCAGTTGCAGTTGCCACCGCTGCTCCTGCTGCAACAGGCAGGGAGGGCAGACCACCAGCAGCAGCAGCAGCAGCTGTAGCAGAGGCAGGGGCGTTGCTGCAAGCAATGATGCTTCCCAGCACCTTCTGCTTTGACTTGCCGGAGGGATTGAGTGCGGGTGCAGAGGGGACGGGAGGGGAAGAGGAGGGAGACGCCAGAGGCACGGGAGCAGCAGGCGTGGTAGCAATGCTGCTGGTGGTGCTGCTGCTGCTGGTAGTGGTGGTGGTGTTGCTGGTGGCAGTGACGTTGGAGGCAGCAGCAGCAGCAGCAGTAGAATCAACGGAGGCAGTGGTGGCAGCAACAGCAGGGGTGAGGGCGGTGCTGGTGGGGGCGGTGCTGGTGGGGGCGGTGCTGGTGGGGGCGGTGGGGGCGGTGGCGGTGGCGGTGGCGGTGGCGGGGGCGGTGCTGGTGGGAGGAATGTTTGTGGCGGCGGAGGTGGAGGAGGAGTAGAGGCGGGCAGCAGGGAGGGCAGGAAGCCAGGAAGAGAGAGGGGGAACATGGAGGCCGGAGATGCTGAGGCGGGAGCAGCGGGAGCGGCGGAGGAAGAAGGAGAAGGTGCAGTGGTAGGAGGGTTGGACTGGACAGGTGTGATTGTTGTAGCAACCTGCCGCTGCTGCTGCTGCTGCTGCTGCTGCTTGTGTCCCTCGTTTGAGTCACATCCAAACTCGTCCCCTAAGCACATCCCTACTCGTGCTGATATTGCTGCTGTTGCTGCTGCTGCTGCTGCTGCTGCTGCTGCTGCTGCTGCTGCTGCTGCTGCTGCTGCTGCTGCTGCTGCTGCTGCTGCTGCTGCTGCTGCTGCTGCTGCTGCTGCTGCTGCTGCTGCTGCTGCTGCTGCTGCTGCTGCTGCTGCTGCTGCTGGCTGCTGCTGCTGCTGCTGCTGCTGCTGCTGCTGCTGCTGCTGCTGCTGCTGCTGCTGCTGCTGCTGCTGCTGCTGCTGCTGCTGCTGCTGCTGCTGCTGCTGCTGCTGCTGCTGCTGCTGCTGCTGCTGCTGCTGCTGCTGCTGCTGCTGCTGCTGCTGCTGCTGCTGCTGCTGTTGCTGCTGCTGCTGCTGCTGCTGCCGTTGCTGCTGCTGCTGCTGCCGTTGCTGCTGCTACTTGTGGTGTTGCTGTTGCTGTTGCTGTTGCTGATGTAGCTGCTACTCATGCTGCTGCCACCAGTGCTGCTATCCCCTCTGAGGCAAGACTGACCCTCATACCCTGCCTTCTCCTCTCTACTTCTCCCGTCTTCCCCTCCTGAAACTTCGCGCTCTCTCTCTCCCTCACCTCCCTCCACCTGCGACTCATCGTCCCCATGTGCCTCCCCATCTGCAGCACCAGCAGTCGCAGCAGCAGAACGATCAGTAGCACTGTCACGACCACCACCACCGTCACCAGCTCCAGCACCAGCACTAGCACCAGCACCAGCAGCAACACCGCCACTACCATCATCATCACCAGCATCAGCAATAGCGTCACCGTCACCATGGCCATCTAAGCCGGGCAGCAGCAGCGCAGCAGATTCATTGCCATTGCCACACCCACCCTTCACTCTCCCACTCTCCTTCTGAGGCGCCTCTAAACTAGATCCCTTGCCACACCCACCCTTTCTCCCACTCTCCCCTTCCCCTTCACTCCTCCGCCGCTCTTCCTCCAGCTGTGCCCTCAACGTATCCACCCAGGTCATCGGATTAACCTCACCGGGTTGACTGGGTTGACTGGGTTGACTGGGTTGACCGGGTTGACTGGGCTGACCGGGTTCACCGGGCCGGCAGTTGCTGTCACGAAGCACGAGGTGCGAGACGGAGGAGAGGGTGAGCGGGTTCATGCCTCCGAACAGACCTGGAGGGCGGCGGCGCATTTGGGGAGAGGACGGAAACGGGAAGGGACATGTGGGGAGGAGGGGAAGGTGCGAGACAGAGGAGAGGGTGAGCGAGTTGATGCCTCCGAACAGACCTGGAGGGCGGTCGCATTTGGGGGGGAGAACGACAATGTGGGAGACGGTGGGAGATGAGGGGGAAGGCACATATGGAAAGAGGAAGAGGGGTGAAGGCGGAGGTTGGGGGGGGGGAGGGGAGGGGGGGGGGCCTGAAAGAGAAGGGTGCGTTACCAGTGGTGGAGGCAATGGGTTTGAGCATGGCCCCGGCGAACACGTTCTCAAAAGAGAGGCGCGGGGGGTTGGGGAGTGGGTTGCCCTCCGATTGGAGGGAATGGGTGAGTGGTTACCAGTGGTGGAGGCAATGGATTTGAGCATGGCCCCGGCGAACACGTTCCCAAGGGAGAGGTGGGGAGGGGGGGGGTTAGGGGTTGGGGTGAGTTACCCTCTAATATAGGCGAGGGTGAGTTACCAGTGGTGGAGGCAATAGATTTGAGCATGGCTCCAGCAAACACGTTCTGCAGCGCCATCGAGAACGCAGTCGAGTTCTGCTCCGCCTGCGCTGACGTGGCACTCGGCGCCTCTGCTGACGTGGCACTTGGTGTCTCCGATGACGTGAGCGGTGCCACTTCAGCACTCTCCGCGCGCACACGATCACAATCACCATCTCTGAAATCACACTTTAAGCCGGCAGCCGTGAAGGGCTCGTTCAAAGTCAGGGACTCCTCTGAACTCTCCTTCAAAGAAGAAATCTCCAAAAACTCCTTTACTGACTGCTCCGAATCCGTTTCTTGGCCTGGCAGTGGCTTCTCCTGAGCGCCCTCTGCTGTTGCCAACGAGCCTGCCGTGCCTGCCTCTGAAGCACACTCCTGTGATGCTGCTGAACCTTTTGAGTTGTTCGCCTCTGCAGCACACTCTTGAGGCGCCTCAGAAGTTAATCTGTTCGCCTCTACTGCAGCGCACTCTGCTGCTGGCGCTGAGGCGCCATCCTCCAGAGCGGCCTGTACAGGTGCTGAGGTGTTGGGATGGGTTTTCGATTCGGACTGGAGCGCGGCGGGTGTGTGCTGGTCTGTGAGTGGTGCTTGTGAGAGGTTATTGTCCGCAGGGGCGGAGGCGGAGGGATGCGAGGAGGAGGCATGTGTGGGAGGAGAGGTGGAGGAGGAGGAGGAGGAGGAGGAGGGTGATGCAGCACTCACAGTAGCAATGGCGGCAGTGGTGGTGACAGTAGCAGTAGTGGTAGTGGAGGTAGTGAGGGGAGAGGGAGAGGAGGAGGAGGAGGAGGAGGAGGAGGAGGAGGAGGAGGAGGAGGAGGAGGAGGAGGAGGAGGAGGAGGAGGAGGAGGAGGAGGAGGAGGAGGAGGAGGAGGAGTAGGAGGAGGAGGAGGAGGAGGAGGAGGAGGAGGAGGAGGCTGCTGCTGCTGCTGCTGACGTACCTGCTGCTGTAGCCTCTCCTGCCCCTGCTGCTGCTGCTGCTGATGATTCTACTGCATGGCCTGAGGACCCCACTGCCTGAGTGCCCGGCTTCCCTTTTCCCCCACCTGTTGCTACAGCCGCCTCTGCACCACTGTTCCCTGCTGCACCGCCAGCAACAGCAGCAGAGCTTCCTGCTGCTCCGACAGTAGTAGTCGCAGTGTCATCCTTTCCTTGGGCACCATCAGCAGCGCCTTTCCCTGCATCCCCATCAGCCACGCTCTGAGCGCCATCAGCACCGCCCTTGCCCGCGGCAGCAGAATCAGCAGCAGCAGAATCAGCAGCGGCAGCGGCAGCCTCCTGGTGGCGAATGAGCATCTGCTGGAGCACAAAGTGCAGCTGCTCCTGCTGCTGCTGCAGCACCACCATCGCCCGGTCCAACTGACTCTTCACATGCTGCTGCGTCTCCCTCTCCGCCTGCTCCTTCCCCATCTGCTGCAACTGCTGCGCCTGCGCCTGCTGCACCTGCTGCCGGCGCCGGCGCCGCCGCGACGACGCGTGGGCGAGGCTCTGCTGCTGCTGGTGCTGCTGCTGCTGGAGAAGCAGCTGCTGCTGCAGCGACTGCTGCTGCTGCACGTGGTACTGTTCGATCCGCTGCTGCAGCTGCTGCGGCTGCTGCTCAGGAGTGGTGGAGGAGTGGAGGGAATTGAGCGACTCGAGGAGGTGCAACTGGTGCGGGTTCATGTGCTGCTCCATGGCCCGTTTCTGCTGCATGATTTCGGCTAAGTGCTTCTGAAGCTCCTCGTCTGAGATACGCTGGGGGTTCTGAGTGCTCGATTGCTGCTGTGACTGTGACTGTGACTGCGATTGCTGTGCCTGTGCCAGCGACTGGGACTGGGACTGTGACTGCTGCGACTGGGACTGCTGTGACAGCGACTGCTGGAGCAGTTGCTGCTGTAGCGGCAGCTGCAATGGCTGCTGCTGCCAAAACGGCTGCTGCTGCGGCTGCTGCTGCTGTGGCAGCGCCTGCAGCGGCTGCTGCTTCTGCCCACCGTCCCTCTGCCCCTGCCCCCCCTGCTGCGCCCCCTGCTGCCCCAGCACGTGCCTGGTTTGCCGCTGCAGCAGCTGCTGCGTGTCGTGCTGCGACTGCGCGAGCAGGGAGGGCAGCATCTTCATCTGCTGCAGCAGCTGCAGGTCCTCGGGGTTGCCCTGCACGTACTGCTGCATCTGCTCCAGCGTCGCCTGGTACTGCTGCTGCTGCTCGTGCAGCCGCCGGAACGCCTCTGACTGCCGCAGCACCCACCGCTCGTGCTCCTCGTCAAACGGCTTTGCAGCAGCAGCACTGCTAGCACTGCTGCTGCTTCCTGCATCCCCAACTGCTGCTCCTCCTCCTGTAACTGCCCCTCCTGCCCCCCCTGCTCCTGCTCCTCCTCCTCCTCCCCCTCCTGCTCCTGCCCCTCCGCCCTTTCCTCCTTTGCTCTTCTTGGCTCCTTTCCGCTTCCCTCCTCCTTTCCACGCCTCCTTGCCTGCATCTGCGCCTGCCACTGCTGCTCCTGCTCCAGGAGCACTTGTCGTAGATGTACCTGCACCAGATGTACCTGCACCAGATGTACCTGCACCAGATGTACCTGCACCAGATGCACCTGCACCAGATGCACCTGCACCAGATGCACCTGCACCAGATGCACCTGCACCAAATGCACTTGCACCAGATGCACCTGCACCAGATGCACCTGTCGTGGGTGCTCCAGCACCAGACCCACCTGTTGCAGGTGAGCTTGTACCAGATGCACCTGTCACTGGCACACCCGTCGCAGCAGAAGCATTGGTTGCAGCTGCAGCAGGTGCATTGGGTGGAGTGGCAGCAGCAGTGCATGCAGAGGCAGCGGTAGCAGCAGCGGTAGCAGCAGCGGTAACAGCAGCGAAAGAAGCAGCAGAAGCACTGGAAGCTGGAGAAGCAGTGCGCACAGGGGCAGCAGAGGAACAGAAAGCAGCAGAAGGAGGAGCAGCAGCAGGAACTACAGCTGCTGCTACTGCCCCGCCTGCAGCGTTGGAAGGCGGCGGTTGTGAGTGCAGGGAGGCACGCAGCAGCTGCTTGCCACGAGATGACGAAGCAGGCTTAGAGGGTGCGCCACTCAATGGTGCAAACGGCATGTGCGACGCTTCACCCGCCGATGCACCTGCTGCTGGCCCTGCTGCCGCTGCTGCTACTAGTCCTCCTCCTCCTGCTGCTGCTGGCACTGCTGCCACTGTTCCACCACCTCCCCCTGCTGCTGTTGTTGGTGCTGGTGCGGCTACAACACCACCAGCACTGCCAGCAGCACCACCGCCAGCACCACCACCAGCAATCCCTCCTTCTTTTGCTCCTCCCACCCCTTGTCCAACTGCCCCTGCGCCCCTTCCCCCGCCCGCACTGCCAGGCGCAGCCGCAGCAGCAGCAGAAAGAGCAGGAGCGGCAGCAGCCGGAGCAGCAGCAGCGGGAGCGGGAGCAGCATCGGAAGCAGCAGCAGACGGAGTGGAAGCCATGCGCGGGGAAGGCTGCAGATCCAACTCGCACGCCTTTCTAAGGTCTAAATCACTCATGAGAAGGCACCACATGGCATCCCCGCGGCTCATCTGCGGGCCCCACACAGCCTGCAGCGCGCACAGCATACGAGACACCCCATCCTGCTGCAGCTCCCTCCGAGTCGAAAACCCCAGGCTCGGGCTCCCCCCCGTGCCCTGCCCCGAGCCTGACCCCAAGGCATGGCGCGTTCCGAAGCTGCTGCCGGTGCCGAAGCTGGAGGTGTGGGTTCTGCTCCCCGAGCCTTTCCCGGACCTGCCTGCAGCCATGGCTGCGATTTCCGGGCCTCTGCCGAAGAGGAGAGCATTGGAGACGATGTTGGTCAGGGCGTCCTTTTCGCCGAAGCAGCTGCCGAACCTGTCGACGGCCTGCCGAGCCGCTTCTTCGGTGTAGCCGAAGCTAGCGACCTTGACCACCGCTTCGCTATGGAGCGAATCGAGCTTCTCTAATAGAAGCTCTTCTAAGCGGAATTCAGTTGCATCATCCCAAATGTAATTCTCAGGAGAGTCTGAACCGGCAGCTTGTGCAGTAGCAGCAACATCCTGTCCAGCAGCAGACACAGCAGATGCGTTTTGCGGGTCATAATAGCTCTGCTGCTGCACACTTTGTTGCTGCTGCAGTTGTTGCTGCTGCTGCTGGTTCTGCTGCTGCTGATACTGCTGCTGGTACTGCTGCTGCTGGTGGTACTGCTGCTGCTGTTGCTGCTGCTGCTGCTGCTGATAATGCTGCTGCTGCTGATGCTCCCGTTGCTGCTGCACCTGCTGGGACTGGTGATGCTCATAACGGGGATCAACATGCGACAGATCGCTCTCCTCTGCCACGTCATCCGCGTCATCAAATTCGCTCTCCATGTCATCATCCGCGATATCCACGTCATCGTCCTCGTCATAATCCTCCTGCGCATCCACTGTGTCCACGTCATCACCGTCATCATAATCCCCGTCCTCGTCATAATACTCATCCTCCACGTGGATAATCCCACCCACGCACGACCCGTCACAAGCATCTTCAGTACAAGACACCAAACCCCCCTCGTCTTCAAATCCGCGCAGACCTTCCTCCCCCTGCGACCCCCAACGGCGGAGACCATCCCCCCGCAAGGTAACCCGGCTACCCGACGCTCCCCCTGCACCGTACGCCCCTGCTTCCGCGGACTCGCGGAAAGTCATCTGCATCTGCGCCATGCGCGCAGCAGCCGAGCCTTGCGCCTGTGACTGCTGCTGCGCCTTCTGCTGCGACTGCGACTGCGACTGCGACTGCGACTGCTGCTGCGTGCTCGCCGCAAGCCTTAGCTGCTGCTGCTGAAGCTTCCCCAAGTCACTCTCCCCCGTCCCTGCTAACCCCTGACCGCTTCGCGCTCTCACCTGCGATACCACCTGACATTTCACCTGCAATCCGAGCTGCGTTACATCCTGACGCGCATGACCGCCGTCCGTCTCCGCCACCGGCGGACACGCTAACGGCGCAGCGGCCGGCGGGCTTCCCTGCGCGGAAGGCGCGTCCAGGCGGAACTTGCGCTTGTTCCGGTGACTTGCTCTCTCCGCATCCTCCGCTCTAGCCCGTTCCGCATCTTCCACGGCCGCTGCTACTAACGAGGCTTCATGCGCAATTCCTGTAACGGAGACGCGATCCGCTACTGCTGGCGCTACAGCAGGCACGACGGGATTATTCTTAACGCCATGGTTCTTCGACGGACTGGAATAATTGCCTGCAGGGCCCGAAGGCCCTGATTGGTTACCTGATTGGCCTAATGAGGCTGACTGGCTTGAAAAGCCTGACTGAGCTGAAAGCCCGGATTGCGTTGAAATCCCTGACTGGTTTGAAAGCCCTGACTGGTTTGCAGGCCTTATCTGGCCTGGCAATGATCCGTGCGACGAGCAGTTGTCGCCGGATCTTACAGCCTCAACGGCCTTCTTACTTGAACCCTTCGCGAGAGATGGACCATGAGCATACAGCTGCGGCGTTTCTTGCACCTGGACCTCCCCCCCGGCCAAATTTTGCAGCTGAGGCGTTTCCACGGGTAACTGCGGGTCTGACGTGCTAGACCCGCTTTTTACTTGCTGCTTGCTGCTGTTGGAGTTGTTGCTGCTAGAGTTGCCGTGGTTGTTGCCGGCCTTGCCGGATCGTCCCTTCTTGCCTTTTCGCGGAGCCATGGAAATGCTACTGCCGAGACCAGGCAAGAGAAGAAGCTACCACGAACGCATTTCCGTCAAATCTGCTCGTGAGGGGTCCAGCGAAGGCAAATGCGGACTACGGTTCAAGTTTCGGCTAACTGTGATGGACGCAGGGTCAAACGCAGATTAGATCGACAAATTGAAAAATCGAGACAAGTTTAGAATGTTGGAACGAATGAACTGGCACGCGAACATATGGATGCCTGTTGGAATGAAAGAACCATGGCGGAAAGCACTTGCTCTAGGGGAAAAAGTAGGAGAGAGGGAGAAGGGAAGAGCTGAGCCAAGTCATGCCATGGCTGTCATGGGTGATCCAAGCAACGAAAAGGAAAAACATCAGAAGCAGAATTAGGGTAACCCGAATTTCAATTTCTTCTATTGGTCGAGAGCCATACAAGAGCAGCATCGAGAAAACAAATCAGCAGGACTGAAGTTTCGGGCAACTGGTGAAAAGAAACGAGTCATGATGGTGGTGACTTTTCCGTTGCTGCCACATGATCCTGCTTCGGCCTGAAGGGACACGCAAGGTGCTTGGCCTGAAGGTTTCGGGGTTGGATTGGGTGGGGTCTGTCGGCCGCGCTGGCGAGCGGGTGCGATCATGTGAGGTGACCTGAAAAGGAGGAAATGGACGGATGGATGTTCCTCGGCGGGATGAGGCATGGGTTTGTAAAGTATGGACTGGTTGCCATGTGGCAGCAGACGAGAATTCACGATGACGATGTTGGCGTGGTATCCTCGCAACAGTACGAGAACCGTTTGTTGTGGTGCATCTGTAGAGTCTATTCGTTAGAAGTTTTGCTAGTTTCCAACTTCAGAACCAACAAAGTTGCAATGACCCACATCCTAATGGAAACTAAAACAAGACATAAAATGTATTTTACAAAGGGCCGCCCAGGGTCTACCTAGGGAGAGTTAAAGAGTTATGTATGTACAATGCATTCCAGAAACTAATAAGCTATTGGAAGAAGGTATCTAACCTGTGGCTATAGATAGGGGGAGAGATCATAATAGTAGTCAACCTAGGGCGACCAAGCAGAGTCCATGCAACCGACGATTTCCATCGAGCCCAATCACTGTCTCACCGTCAGTTCCCCTCTCTCGACAAAATGTGCCATACCGCTACTCTATAATACAAGAAATTCAGCATGCACAAAAACACGACACCCACTATGCCTCCATGATTCACGCTCTCTCTGCACAACTCGCGCATTCTCTTCATTCGCTTGAGGGCGGAACATTTGAAACATTGAAAGCCCGAGCCCCTGTAGATACAGCTTCTTTCAGCTGCGGCCAATCAGAGGCCAGAAAGCTAAGCAGGGATGATGAGCCTCCTGCTGCCATCAGCTCATTCAGCTGCTGCACTCCTCCCCCCCCTCCTCCTCCCCCACCAGAAACAGCAGTCTCCGGCTGCTCTTGCTCCTGCTGCAGCCGCTGAAACTGCAACTGCTGCTGCTGCTGCTGAAACAGCACCTCCTGTTGCTGCTGCTGAAACAGCACCTCCTGTTGCTGCTGCTGCTGAAACTGCTGTTCCTGCAGCTGCTGCAGAAACTGCTGCTGCTGCTGCTGCTGAAACGACTGCTGCCTCAGCTGCATCCCCTGCTGCTGCAGCAGCTGCTGCTGGAGCAGCTGCCGCAGAGCATGCAGCTGGCTCCCCCCTGCAGCGCTCTGCTGCGCCGCCAGCAGCGCCTGCAGCGCCTGCAGCCCTTCCTGCGACTCTCCCTGCTCGCCTTGCATCGCCTCTTGCCCTCCCAACACCTTCTCTTCCTCTCCCTCCTGTCGCTCCTGCCGCTCCTGCTGCTCCGCCTGTTCCTGCCGCTGCTGCTGCCACTGCTGCTGCTCCTGCCTCTGCTGTTGCTGCTGGTACTCCGCGCTGTCCTCTTCCATGCGAGATCCTGGCCTTTCCGCGAAACCGCCGCTGGACATAGACGCGCTCTCCGTGTCCCCCACCAAGCCCCGCGCTGCTCCTGCTGCTCCTGCTCCTGCTCCCGCTCCTGCTGCCATGGCGAATCTCGACCGCTTCTGAGTCGATTCCAGCCCAGCGAACTGCCCCTGCTGCTGCTGCTGTGACTGCTGCTGCTGCAGCTGAAGGGTAGCGGAATCAAAGAGCGACGCTTGGTGCTGACTCAAGGACAGATGTGCCGCCACGTCGTCCATTCCCATGGAACCAGCGAGCCCGCCACCCGCAGCAACAGCGCCACCGCCGCCAGAGGAACCCGCGGAAACGTCACCAGCGGCAGCAGAACCGGGAGCCACAGCCCCAGCAGCCCCAGCGGCGCCAGCGGCGGCGCCAGCGCCAGTCAAGCCGCGCGAACCTTGAGGTGTGGCATTCGCTGACGACGGCTGCTGCTGCTCCAGCACCGACAAATCAATGGTCAGATTCCGCCGACCCAGAATCGACGGCCCTTTCGACCTGCTGCTGCCAACACCACCACCACCATCCATTCCTCCTCCTGTCCCACCCCCTCCCCCCAAGACCGATAATCCCAAGGTGGAGCCCCCTAGGCTCGGGGTTCCAAGGCCTGAGGGGAAGAGGCCGGTGAGGGGGGCGCGCTCTACGGGGGAGGACGAGGAGCGGAGGAGAGAGCGGTGGTGAAAGGCGGAAAACGGTGGCGTTTTCGCAGTTGCGCCGCTTCCCCCCAGCCCTCCCCCCATTCCTCCACCGAGACCTGCGCGGAACATGGTGTTTGGGGAGCCGAGGGGGGAAGACCCCACCCCCGCGCCCATTCCCCCAAACCCGCCCGCGCCTGCGCCGCCACCCATGCCAACCCCCCCAGCCGCTTCCCCTGCCGCTGCAAGCACCGCCAGAGCGTTATCTCCGCCGAAACCTGCGCCGCTCCCCCCTACGCCGGCAGCGCCGGCGGAGGAGAGGAAGCGCGGGAAGAGGGGGGAAACTATGGGCGGAGTGGGCGCGGAGGGCTCCCCCAGGCTCGTGCTTTTGGGGAACGCGAGAACCTCTTGCGGGGAGGGGAGTTCGGAGAACGGAATCCCGGAATACGCGGCGGCCAGGCGGAGGCGTTTGGCGGTCTGCTGGCGCAAGTCGAGCAGATCATCCCCTCCGCTTCCGCCGATCCCGGTCATGGCGGAACCGAAACCTCCGCCTGCGCCTGCCCCCGCACCAACGGAGAAGGGGAAGGGCTGCGCGGAACCGGGGGACGGCGCGCCGCTGCTGGAGGAGAGGCCGTGGGGGGAGAAGGGCTGCGAAAGCGGATGGGGGGAGGGCACGCCGGAGTGCATTCCGCTGGGGGAAGAGCAGGTGGACGCGGCGGCGGAGGTGGTGGCGAGGCGGCGGAGAACGTCGGTAAGCGCGCGGATCTGCGCAACGGGCGGAGCGGGGAAGCCAAGGCGGGAGGGGGGTGGAGGAGAGAAGGGGAGGGGAAGAGGGGGGATAAGAAAAGCAAGCCCAGCAGTGCAGGTTCGAAGGGGGAAACATCTTACGACCGGCTCTTGAAAGAAAAAAGGCCAAGCGAACAAGCAGCGCCAAAGCTTGCGACACTTGCGACGCTTGCGAATAGCTGCGATATGGACGTGCGCAATGCGGCGGGCTACTCACGTGTTCTACTCGGCTAGAGTCGTATCGTCCGCTCCCGGGTGTGCCGGCGCCGCTGCCGGGCGAGAACGTGGGGCTGTCGGGGAACGCGGAGCGGTACATGGCGGCGTACGCGGGGGACGCGGGACCCGCGCTGCTGTTTCCGCTGATACTGTCGCGCGGAGAGTCCAGCAGGCGGGAGGTCTGCGCGCGCGGAAGGGTGGGGAGGGGGAACGGGGAACGGGAAGAGGGAAAGGGGGGTTAACAGGTGGCAGGAAGAGGAAGACGGAGTGGGAGGGACGGAGAGCGCGTGGGAAGGAGAAGGGGGAGGAGGAGGCGGGCGAATAGGATTGGAAAGGGGGAAGGGAGAATGGAGCAATACTTACGCGTCGGCTGATGATGTCGGCGAGAATGGCGGGGTACTTGCGCTTGAGCGTGGAGTTCCAGTGGTTCTGCCATTCACCGCGATGAGAACGCGGGAAGAAAAAACACGTCAGTTCTACCATACACGCAACAGACCGGCAAAAGAAAAGGGACGACTAAAAAAACAGAAAGAAAGAAAACAGTGTTTGCGTGGTATGTACGAGGCGACTAGCCGCTGTGGCGCGAGACAATAGCCGTACCTTGATAGCATTATCCGTGCGGCCGGGGAGGCTCTTAGCGATGATGGACCACTTGCTGCCATGCTCCGCGTGCCCCATCACGATGATGCGATCCTCCTCGTCCGTGAACGGATCCTTGTTCACCTGCCACGTGTCACGCATCCGACAGCCGGCACAAGAGCGACGAAGCGCGATGAGAAACGGAGGATCGACACCCACTCAGCTCTATCAATCGCTCGCGTTTATCTTGGACAATTCTCAACAGCCAGCTAGTCTCTTGCTTGCTACCACATCCACGACAGCGGTGGTGAACAGAAGAGCGCTGACGAATCTGAAGGGACGGCCCTATTGAACTATCACTAGAAACGAGAATGCAAACACAATGACGTGTAAATTTCCACAGCTCATCCGTCTCGGCCGTCCTTTTCGCGCCGACATAACGCCGCTCGGACGTCATTCTCGTCTACCCCCTTCATTCCTCGAACTTAATTCTCATACTCATTCGTAGTGCTGTATGCAAACGTTGTCTTGCCAAACGTAGGATCTAGCTGCAGGAATGGGGACGACTGGCGAGAACAGACGGCAACCCTAGAAGCACGCATGACCTCTGAGACCCTAAGGGTCTTCAAGACGTGTACTCGCTAAGGGTATCCGCGATTGACATTCGATGTGGGTACTTGGTGTTCAGACGGATTTCCGGCCGACACTACTTAGTGGGAATCTCATCGAACTTACTTCGGGATTCAGTTGGTTGCACCATCGCAAGCGACAGCTCTTGCCGGACCGCCCCTTGAGTCCTTGGGCTATCAGTGACCAGTTACGCGGTCCGTACTTGGAGATTAACTCTCTAAGCTTGTCATCTTCTTCTGGACTCCAGGGCCCTTTCACCACTTCCGGATCCATCTCCGCCATTGGCGGCTCGCTAAGTTCGCTAATGCACGGGTGGTGAGGTAATTGAATAGGAGGACAGATGTGCGCCCGGAAATCCAGGAAATGGCTTCTGGCAGGAACTAACAAACAAAGCGGAATGGCGTGCTAGTTACGCCTAGTTGACAACTAATGCTCGAGAAGATCCAGACCAAAGTCGGAAAGCCGAACCGTCATTTGTCCAAGAGAGGTCAATGCATTACAGAAAGCAGAGCACACCTAACGACACGATCACTTGTGAGCTTCAAGTAACACTGGAGACAGTGAAAACCGCCAGCTTTCAACAAACTCCCACCAGCTTTTTTACCTCCTTTTCCGCCACCAACCGACACAGCAGAGACCACAGAAGCACCAGAGCCAAAACCTGGGAAGAGAAGGAATCACGCGGTGATGCGGCGCTCGCCCCTCACCTTCCTGCGGCTGCACCACAACCACAGAAACGCGTGCCTGTGAGAAGAGGACCCAGCGGAAACGGGAACGGCGGAGATGCCACTGGGCGGATGGATTGGTGGGAAACACAACGCAAGAAATGGGCGGTGGTGGAATCGACGGTTGAGATGGAGCAGCTGGGCTGGTTGGGATTTATCGGACGGGCATGAGTGACGAGTTTTTCGACACACACTGTACAAGACACGAGTCTTGCTCTGGCGTGGAACATCCACGCCCGCCACATGGTACGGCACAAGCTGTCGCTAGCGACGGATTCACTGTGCAGATGTGAGGATGCCCTTTCACGATGTTGCTTCGGACAGATATCTGATGATTCGCTCATATTAACAATCAGCTCTCGAAATCTCCGGTTCAACAGCATGTTCCCCAAGGATGAGGTCCGAGTCCCGACTCCACGTTTAGTGATGGAACAGAGCACAAACAAGAAAAACACCTGTTCACAAGCCTCGGCAATGTTGAGAGGATAAGCTAGCCCAGAACTTACAACCATAAAACTCACATGTAGAGTGGAAATATTGCTCAGCCAGAAAAATATACCACTTCATAAAATATGCCGCGTCACGCACTGTAGTTTAGCGTCACGTGAGCCTCGAGGGGGGGTGATGAGTAACAGTGCACTAGAGGCCACAATTGACATCATCAAGGATTCATCACGTGACAAATCTGACCACAGCTGAATTTGAAAACAGCCGAATCCATTCTGTCATGTCAAACCGAAGTAGAAAGTGTAACGGTCGTCTCGACCAAAAAAAATGCTTCCTTCCCAACGAATTGCAGTAACGTGTGATAACCGTCAGGTGAGCTGAACCAGTCAGCGGCTGCTTATGTCGGCATATTTTTCAGCAGGAAAAGCAATGGGCGACTATCCTTCGCTACTCATTCGTTCACGGGTCTGGTGCAAGTCGCTCGTTCGGCGTGCAAAAGGGAACAGCATGTTTTGATGACTTCACCCACAGCATCCAAACTGGGAAAGAAAACAATCTTGTCCAGCGCATAACAAATCCTTCTTTCCGATACTAGCCAACAGGGCACTGGTGCTTATATATTGAGGACACCCAAGATAATACAAGCAAAAAACAAGCATGATCCAGCGTTGCATATATCATACATCACATTGCATACGTACTAATTTCTTGCTGCCTCTTTTTTAGCACCACAAGGCATGCCCACATGAACAACCAAGGTCACAAGGCTGCTATCTTCAATGCACCCTCTGTCCCAATACCCCTCCGTAATGAACATTCAAATACTCCACCAATTCTTGCTCAAACCCGTTCAAGGATGTCAATAGGCCCGTTAGGCATGTCAATGGAAACAATCCTCATGGTCGCATTCACCAGCCGCCCCTTCACGCCAGTAACTGCATACTGCATGAGCGCCGTCAGCGCGTTGAACTCGCCAATCGTCGCCCGCACCTCTTGCATGAACCCACTGTAGTTCCACTCGTTTGTACCGTGCACCACGAACACAGACGGGCATGTGTAGTCACACGTACCGTTCCTGCTAATGAGCGATACATACGCCTCCGAAATGGTAACAGTCGGTTCATCGCAGCACCCGCCCCCCTTCTTCCCCTTCTTGCACTTTTCCTTGTCTGCCCCTGTCAACTTTCTCTTATCCTTGTTGCTCTCCTTCTCCTTATCCTTCTCCTTCTTGCACGTTACGCCAGGGTGCTCTGGGTCAGAGGAAGGCAGGGCCGGGACGATATCTTGCAAGTAGACCCGGAGGGCGGTGGTGAAGGGCTCATCGGTGGGCACCACCACGACGAAGACAACGTCCACTCGGAAGGACAGCCCATCGGCTCTGCCGCACAGAAACAGGGAAACAAGCAGGAGGGTTTGAAGCCAGGGAGACTCGGAGGGCGGTGGTGAAGGGTTCATCGGTGGGCACCACCACGACGAAGAAAACGTCCACTCGGAAGGACAGCCCATCGGCCCTGGCACATGGAAGCGAAACACGCATGAACAACAGAAGGCCGGGGAGAAGAAACAGGGATTCTAAGAACGTGCAAGTAGACTCAGAGGGCCGAGGTGAAGGGGTCGTTGGTGGGCACAACCACAACGGATACAACGAGCACTCGAAAGGACAAACCGCTAGTCCTGGCACATGGACAGAAAACATGCGCAGGCAACAACAGAAGGACATCAAGGCATATATGCATCCCGCTTCAGGGCAATGTGTTGCAACGGGAACGTATGCTCTTCAAACGTGGTCATGATGAGAGAGAAAAGGCGAGTCAGATGTTATGGAGACAGAAACTCACGACTGGGTGAAGGTGAGGTTGGCGCCGCCAGGCATGTAGGAGCGAAAGCGGACGACGTAGTTGGGGTTGGGAACAGTCGCCGGGACTGGCCCGACTTCCACTGCACGCAGGTGCATGCAGAGACAATGAAAGAGAGTGAAAGAGAGTGAAAGAGAGTAAGAAGTTTCGAATACTGTCATTGAGAGTGTTTCTTGAGAATTATAAAAAAAAACGTGTTACATGGTGTGCTCCCCCCCCCACTACCACTAGTTGCACCCGAAACGTCCACCATCCCACACTCACGGAATTTCAGGTTGGCATCAACCCGGAACTGCCCCACTGCCGACCGCAACCCAGCCGCCTGCATGGTACTTGTCCCATACGCCATGACCACCCCGGGGAACACCAACGAGTTATCAATCATCTGTAGCAGAGCAGCGTAGCGCTCGGGATCGGTGGCAGCGGTGCTGGTGAATGTGCCGACAGCCTGCCACACGGACGGCACGGGCTGGACCCACGTGGGCGCGGCTGGGGGGAGGCTGCAGCTGGACGGGTCGCATCCGGGGACGGTTGTGTTTGCTAGGGTGATGTAGGCGGGCGGGCCGGTGGGGAGAGCAGCGAAGATCTTGTAGGTCGCTTGGACGGTGGCGGTGGCGGAATCGAAGCTGGGTGTGGGTGGGTGGGGAAGGAAGGGGTGGGGGATGGAAATTGGGGAAGATGGGGGGAGAGGGGGTTAAGAAGAGGGGGAATGGGGATAAAGGTAGGGGAGAGCTGCGAAGATCTTGTAGGTCGCTTGAATGGTGTTGGTGGTGGAATCGAAGCTGAATGTGGGTGGGGGTGGGGGTTGGGGGGGGGGAGAGGGTGGGAAGTGAGGGTGGGGGGGGGATGGACATGGGTGATGCGGGGAGAGAGGTTTAAGACGAGGGGGAATGGGGAAAAAGGAAGTGGTGGCAGAAAGAAATAGGTACAGTGGATAACGTTAGAAGGTCCTGAGCAATTTCGAGACGCAGGTGCTTACGAGAGGCGCAGGTAGATGACTGCGCGTGAGTCGCCATCCACCATCTCCGCGACAACATATGTGTCTGGTCGACGACGGGATGAGGAAGGGGAGGGGGAGGAGGGGGGAGAACGGGAGGAGGGGAAGAGAGAGTGACGAGGGAGACGAGGGGGATGAGGGGAAAAGCGGGGAGCGTGAGAGTGCGAATTCGAGAAAAGTGGGGGTGCAGACGATATTCGGGAGAGCGACGCGAGGGTGGGGGAAGCACGAGCGGCGCGAGGGTGGGGGGGGGGGGGGATCGCACCAGAAATGCCGCTCCCCGGTGAGCCGACGGGAGGAGGGGCGGCGGCAGAAGTCGAGCCCGCGAGACTGGAGGCAGTGAGCGCTGCGGGGAAAACGTGGGTGGAGGGGGTGGGGGGGGGGGGGGGGGGGGGGGGAATTGGCGGACGAGGGGGAAGGGGGAGGGGGGGATGGGAAGGAAGAGGAGGAGCAAGTCGTCAGCGGTGATACTACCACGGCGGCTGGGAGAAAGCTACCGTGGATTTATAGCCTCACGCGGCACCGGAACCCTAAACTGGCAGTTGCGCATGCGGAAAGAATTGCCGACTCGGAGTTTCGAAAAGAGTCCCTTCACCGGTCGGCAATTCAAAGGCCGAAATCTTGACATGTTCAAAGGCATGTGAAACAAGTGCAAGATGGCGTCGACTTGACTCGGCTTCTCAAATCAGCCCCGCTTAAATCAGTGGAGCTCAGTGATCAGAACCCGGGAGAGCTCACCGATAACAAGAATGAGGGCGAGGGGGAAGGGATTCGCCGTCGCGAATGGCCGCGGCGAGCGCGTCCGATGCGACGGTCTCGACATGATCGCAGCTACAATGGCGGCGGACTAACGACGACGCGTACACTGAGCGTTAGAAGGAGCGATAATGGAGTGTGAATGCTATTACTCGGAAATGCTCGACCGATGAGCGCAGCGCTGCACTAAGTGAATCGATCGCTGCTTTGCGGCGGCTTGTTATCAGGGGTGGTGAAAGTAGACTGGCTTGACTAAATTTGTCCATTTGAACTGGAGAAGCTTCTCGCCCCACTGTACGCTCACACGATTTTCGGGACTGTTGGTGAGTCGGCAGGGCGCTGGCTACTAGGTGGCCGAGGACATAAATTTGGAGAATCAAGAAAGCAAGAAAACTGCTTGACTCTTGGACAGATGCAGAGGGAAGGTCCTAATCTGGTACTGTATTTCAAGTCCTCTGCTGCTGCAAGAAGCGCCTGGCTCGTAAAAAACAAGCAGAACCCTCTGCTCTGGTGGCAGCGCCTGGGTGTTCGCCTGATGCTGGTGGTGTGGAGGTTAGGACTTCGATTACAGCGGTGTGCGGTGCGGTTTGTTCAATTGAGTCAAGCGGTTCGGGATCCGAAAATGGATTTGGTAGAAATTGGGGGTGTGAAATATGAGTTCTTAAACCATATCCAAACATAGGAAAGTGCAAACGAGCCGTTCTTAAAGCCCGAGTACCGCATGGTTTTTTTCAAGCTCAAGATTTTTGAGCTTGAACTCGCCAGAAACAGGGTTACCTTACTTTGTTTGAGAGAACTCTCGCGAGTCTGGGCCAACACCTTGCGACACTCCCTCCTGATAGGCTTTTGTGCTCAATCGCAGAACTGAACCCCTCACTCTGCTACGATGTTCTCCTCTCACATAGCTTGAACACCAAGTTGTACTCGTAGTCTGCCTAGCTCATTGCCGTAAGTAGGAAGCGCAAGCCAGTGCGGCAAAAGCTAGAACCCATAACGGTTTTTTTTACGGCAACTCACGTCACCACACTGTCGCGCCAATAGCTAGGCAGCTCAATCCTAGTGTCACACATGATTTTATATATATATATATATATATATATATATATATATATATATATATATATATATATATATTGGCGTTGCACGTTACTCACACGGAACTTTCGTTCTACCGTACCAACACACAAACGAGTGCCCCACGTTTCCCGCGCTTCGTCAAAGGTGCTCCCCCTCGCCACTCGCGCCTGCTTTCGTCAATCGCGCCTGCCCGGGTTAGCGTGCTTCCCCTCGTCACCCGCTCTCTCCCCGGCATCTATCCTCTCGACCCCTCGTCGCGCGCGTTTCTTCTCGTCACGTGCATGGCCCCTCGTCGCGCGCTTTCCCCCTGTCACGCGCGTTTCCCCTCGTCACGCGCTCTCCTCCCCTCGTCCCGTGCTCAACCATTCACTCACGCTCCAGGGTAGATCACCCGTTGAAACAGACGTCACGCGCAGCAACTCGTTGCCCCAGTTGCTCCTCTAAGCCCTCGCCTCCCGTTGTCGCCTCCGCCACCCCAATCGGACAGCGTTTTGAACCCCTCTCTGCTCCCCACCATCCTCCCCCCAGCTCTTTCCATTCCCCCCATCCCCTTCCCTGCTTCCCCCCATCCCCTTCCCTGCTTCCACCCATCCCCTTCCCTGCTTCCCCCTATCCCCTTCCCTGCTTCCCCCCATCCCCTTCCCTGCTTCCACCCATCGCCTTCCCTGCTTCCCCCCATCCCCTTCCCTGCTTCTCCCCATCCCCTTCCCTGCTTCCCCCCATCCCCTTCCCTGCTTCCCCCCATCCCCTTCCCTGCTTCCACCCATCCCCTTCCCTGCTTCCCCCTATCCCCTTCCCTGCTTCCCCCCATCCCCTTCCCTGCTTCCACCCATCGCCTTCCCTGCTTCCCCCCATCCCCTTCCTTGCTTCTCCCCATCCCCTTCCCTGCTTCCCCCCATCCCCTTCCCTGCTTCCCCCCATCCCCTTCCCTGCTTCCACCCATCGCCTTCCCTGCTTCCCCCCATCCCCTTCCCTGCTTCCACCCATCGCCTTCCCTGCTTCCCCCCATCGCCTTCCCTGCTTCCCCCCATCCCCTTCCCTGCATCCCCCCCATCCCCTTCCCTGCTACCCCACCCTCTGCCCTGTTCCCACCTGCCCTCCCCATCCATGCCTTTCCTGTATTGCCTTTCCCTTCCCCATCCCTTCTCAACCCTTCCCTTCTCAACCCTTCCCTTCCTTTTCATGCCCTCCCCTTCCCCCTCACTCCTCACCACACATGCTTTCATCATGTGCGCTTCCTTGTATCCCCTTGCCGTTGTTCCCTTGCACCTCACACCACCTAACCCATGTTCCTTCACACAATTCTTTCTGCCTGCTCCTCTCCTAATTTTCAGTGAAGCAGAGGAGCAAGCTGAGGCGCAGCTAGTCGATGCTTTACACCGAACCACCACCGGTTTTTTGCCTGTTGTATGCAAGAATGATACTGCAGATATTATTTTTGGAGATATGCATCTCAAAGGAACACAGAGAGGGATGCACGATCAGAAGGGTACATAGAGGCATAGATGCACGATCAGAAGGGTACATAGAGGCATAGATGCACGATCAGAAGGGTACATAGAGGCATAGATGCACGATCAGAAGGGTACATAGAGGCATAGATGCACGATCAGAAGGGTACATAGAGGCATAGATGCACGATCAGAAGGGTACATAGAGGCATAGATGCACGATCAGAAGGGTACATAGAGGCATAGATGCACGATCAGAAGGGTACATAGAGGCATAGATGCACGATCAGAAGGGTACATAGAGGCATAGATGCACGATCAGAAGGGTACATAGAGGCATAGATGCACGATCAGAAGGGTACATAGAGGCATAGATGCACGATCAGAAGGGTACATAGAGGCATAGATGCACGATCAGAAGGGTACATAGAGGCATAGATGCACGATCAGAAGGGTACATAGAGGCATAGATGCACGATCAGAAGGGTACATAGAGGCATAGATGCACGATCACAAGGGTACATAGAGGCATAGATGCACGATCAGAAGGGTACATAGAGGCATAGATGCACGATCAGAAGGGTACATAGAGGCATAGATGCACGATCAGAAGGGTACATAGAGGCATAGATGCACGATCAGAAGGGTACATAGAGGCATAGATGCACGATCAGAAGGGTACATAGAGGCATAGATGCACGATCAGAAGGGTACATAGAGGCATAGATGCACGATCAGAAGGGTACATAGAGGCATAGATGCACGATCAGAAGGGTACATAGAGGCATAGATGCACGATCAGAAGGGTACATAGAGGCATAGATGCACGATCAGAAGGGTACATAGAGGCATGTTCCCAATACTTTCGATTGTACCTTTCTCAAGGCCTTGAAAGCAACATGAGGGGAACTGGTTTCTCTACGAGCATGGCATGGGATGATGGACTAATGAGTTGCAGTACCAGAAGAATCGTCAGTGTAGTCACTGCAATAGCCATGGAGAGGGAGGGAATACGAGATGGGGAGGGGGAACAAGAAAAAAGGCAAAACTGGGGAGATAGGGGAGATAGGGAAGAGGGGGTAGAGGGAAGCAGGGGTGAGATAAGAAAGAAGTACTGTAAGAAGAGGGAGGATAGGGAAGAGGGGAGATAGGAAGAGGGGGAGAGGGAAAGCTAGATATAGGAAGATAAACGAGGGGAAGAAGAGGGGGAAACGAGGGGAAACAGAGGGGGAAATCCTGGGAAGCAGAGGGGGATTCGAGGAGAAGAAGGGAGGAAAATTAGGGAAGGCAGGGGTGGATATGAGTGGAAGAAGGGGGGAAATGAGGGGAAGCAGTACGAACAGGGAAAGCAGGGAGAGAAATGAGGTGAAGCAGGGGAAATGGGTGGAAGCAAGGGGAAAAATGAGGAGAAGCAGGTAGGGAAATGAGGGGCAGCAGCGGGGTAAATGAGGGGAAGAAGGGGGGGGAATGAGAGAAGCAGGAGGGGAAACGATGAGAGCAGATGGGGAAACGAAGCAGCGGGGAAAATGAGTGGAAGAAGGAAGCAAAGGGGGAAATGAGGAAATGAGGGAGAGAAATGAGGTGAAGCAGGGAGGGAAATGAGGGGAAGCAGGGATGAGGGGAAGCAAGGATGAGGGGAAGCAGGGATGAAATGAGGAGAAGCAGGGATGAGGGGAAGCAGGGATGAAATGAGGAGAAGCAGGGATGAGGGGAAGCAGGGATGAGGGGAAGCAGGGATGAGTGGAAGCAGAGATGAAATGAGGAGAAGCAGGGATGAGGGGAAGCAGGGATGAAATTAGGAGAAGCAGGGATGAGGGGAAGCAAGGATGAGGAAAAGCAGGGATGAAACGAGGAGAAGCAGGGATGAGGGGAAGCAGGGATGAAATGAGGAGAAGCAGGGATGAGGGGAAGCAGGGATGAAGGGAAGCAAGGATGAAATGAGGAGAAGCAGGGATGAGGGGAAGCAAGGATGAAAATCAGGAGAAGCTGGGAGGGAAGTGAGGGGAATCAGCGGGGGAAATGAGGGGAAGCAGCGGGGGAAATGAGTTGAAGGAGGGGGGAGAATGAGGGGAAGCACGGGGGGAAACGATGAGAGCAGAGGGGGAAACGAGGGGAAGCAGCGGGGTAAATGAGGGGAAGGAGGGGAAGCAGGGTGTTAAAATTATGGAAATCAGGGTGAGGTGAATGGAAGGGCAGGGAGGCGCGGGCAAGGGATGGGCAGGTGGGAGAAGGGCAGCGGGAGTGGAGGCGCGAGGAGGGGCAGCGCGACGAGGGTGCTGGCGCGCTGATGGCAGGGGAGGCGCCGCGGCGAGGTGAGCGGAGGCGCGGTGCAGCGAGCGGAGGCGCGGCGCGGCCTGCGGAGGCGCGGCGAGACGAGCAGAGGCGCGGCGGGGTGAGCGGAGGCGCGGCGCAACGAGCGGAGGCGCGGCGAGGCGAGCGGAGGCGCGGCGAGGCGAGCGGAGGCGCGACGTGGGGAGGCTCCCGGAAACGAGGGGAGGCGTGAGGATGGGACAGGAGGCGCGGCGAGGGGAGACACGACGACGGGAGACGAGGCACGAGAGGATGCGCGACGGAAGGATGGGTGGCGCGAAGGGGGGTGGCGCGATGGGCGGGGGAACGCGACAATGGTAAGCGCGATGAGGGGAGAAGCTCGATGAGGGAAGGGGATGCGCGACTTCTTGAGCCACTCAAGAAGGTGCGTGAACAGGCGTGGTGAGGTGGCTTCACTCACCCTCGCGAGCACAACGACTTTGTGTATGCGCTTGTATCGATCCTAAATTCTGCGTATTTTACGCTGCGCGGCGCTGTCTTAGTAGGTGGCGTTGTAAGTAGCAGATGCGTCGCTCTGTTTATCTATTTTCCAATAGCATTGGTGAGGAGACTACTCATGTAGCCAGTCTTTCGATGCTCGTCGTAAGAGACGCCAAGTGTGCGAAACTTTCGGTTTGGCTAGAGTGTCTCTTCGTGCGACACATTTTTCGCTTTGATTTGGTGGGATTCGCATTTTTGGTGTCCGCGAGATGTTCACTTGTTCGCGGAGGAAAGTAGTTCTCGCCAAAGGCACATAACCAAAATAGGTTTCGCAGACCCTCATGTATAGCCTATTTCATATCCACATAACTTGAAAATTTACCATGCTGACCTCCGGCTTTAAACGCACACTGTTACGAGTGCAATTGAGTGAGCGAGCGAGAATTGCACTATCGAAGCAAGAGTACAATTGAGCGAAGGCATGAGCGAAGAATATATAGCGAAACTACAGTGGTAACGGTAATGGACTGTGGTTGTCGCGTGACGGGCCTGGGACTGAGGTTGGGAAAAGTGTCGAAGCGGAGGCCCGGAGCGCGGGTTACCCACCGAGCCGTGAGGTCGGGGTGCGACGTGCGAAGGCGGCGGGGGGATTGTCGATGCGAGAGTTGCGAGTGGTAACGGTGCTGACTGTGGTGCTACAGTGGTGTACGCGCTGAGCGGGGACGCGAAGTAAGGAAAAGGAATTTCCCTTGCACACACTAACTCCCTACAGCAACCCTGCATACAGCAACAGCTGTAGGATGCATAAACGTTTCCCGGAAGCATAATAAATGAAATTTTATCTCAACAAATAAAATACTAATGCTGCAGTCTGATCCAACCCCTTCCAGCAAGAACACAACCCAACACATCTACAACACAAGCAGAAGTAAACTACGATACAAAACAGAAGGCCGGGGCGAGATGACAGCCATTAGAAGCTATGTTAGCAGCAGCCAATTGTGGCAACCCAGCTCCAAAATGCCACGGCTGTTCGACAAATCGCATATCAGCGCCCTAATATCGCTGCAGCAAATCATTCGGCCCCTTGCCGCTGCCAGCTGCCTCCAGCTTCATGCTCGCATTCACCAGCCGCCCCTTCACCCCAGTGAGCGCATACTGCATCAGCGCATTCAGCGCAACATATGTGGGGTTCGCCTCACGAGCTTCCTGTGTGGGATAACCCCAGGCAGGTGAGAAGAACCACTGCTGGGCGCCAATGACGGCGTAGAAAATGGGGCAGTTGGTGCCGGGGGGGCAGGTGTTGGAGTAGCCGCCGAGAGGGAGGGAAACGGATGAGACGGTGGGAGCAGCGGGAGGAGGAGGGGATGGGGGTGGGGATGGGGGAGGGGACGGAGGAGGGGATGGTTGGGATGGGGGCGGGGAGGGTGGTGGGGAGGGTGGGGATGGGGGCGGGGATGGTGGAGGGGAAGGTGGTGGGGAAGGTGGCGAGGGTGGTGGTGGGGAAGGTGGGGAGGGTGATGGGGGGGAAGGTGAGGAGGGCGGAGACGATGGAGGCGTCTTCTTTTCCTTCTCCTTTTTCGCCGCCTCCCTAATTGCCATCGCCTCTTGCTTCTTGGCTATCGCCTGCTCTTTTGCCAGCTTGGCCGCCTCCTTGTTTGCAATAGCTTCCTCCTTTGCCTTCTTTGCCGCATCCCGTTTCGCAATTGCCTCCTCCTTGGCCTTCTTCGCTGCTTCCTTCTTTGCAACGGCCTCCTCCTTGGCTTTCCTCGCATCCTCCTTCGCCTTCTCCCTCTCCTGCTTCGCCTGCTCCCTTGCTGCAAACGCCGCCTTTCGCTCCGCAATCGCCTCCTTTCTCGCGGCGATCGCTGCCTCTCTCTCCTTCCTCGCATCCTCCTTCGACTTCTGGTCCGTGCTGCTGCTGCTGCTGCTCACTGCTGTCCCAGTGGGAGGCGGCTCAACACTAAGGAGCTGGCGGCGGCCGGAGGAAGCAGGAGTGGCAGGCGGAGAGGTTTCGTAGAAGATGATCAGACGGCTGGTGACGGGCTCCTCTGTTGGCGCCACCGCCATCCACGTGTAGTCGAGTCGGTAGGTGTATCCATCACTCCTGGTGAGAAGAAGGCGGTGAGAGAGGGAAGGGAGGGAGGGAGGAAATGCGTGTTGAGGAATGGAGTCAGCATGAGCGGCTGGGGATGAATTTCTCGCTTCTGGCTCCCTCTCTCTCCTGGTGAGAAAAATGCGGAGAGAGAGGGAGGGAGGGAGGGAGGGAGGGAGGGAGGGGGAGAGGAAGGGTAGGAGGGAGAGAGATGAGAAAGGGAGTGGAGATGTGAGGGGAATGCGTTTTCAGAGGCATTGAAGCAGGCTCCTCTGTCGGCGTCGCCACCACAAATCGAATCCATGCCAAACTGCGGAAGGAGAAGAGAGGAATCAATGTATTCATAATGGTTGAGAGCACGAGAGAAGTTTCATGGCAGAAGAAGATTATTACAGTCCGTGAAGCTGATTGTATTGACTGCATGGTTTCGGAAACTGGGCATTGAAGCAGGTCTCGCTTGAGGGCGAGAGAGAGGTTGGCGCCCCCGGGCATGTAGGAGGAGAAGCGGACGTTGAAGTTGTAGGTGAGAGACGTCATTGGGATGCCGATGCCTGGCAGGTGCACACGAGGGGAAGGGCGGAGACATAAGCATGAGAACGAGGTGGGAAACCCATGGTGCAGTATTCAGCAAAGCGAATCTTAAAGCACGAGCAGACGAGTGCAGAGCCGTGCTGTCACTGGCATGCGTGACGGACGCGGCAACAGCATGAGCATGACGGCACGAGCAACGCGGCATGATGGGCAATGCAGGCTCAACGCGTGAGCAATGCAAGCTCAACGCGGCATGGGCAATGCAGGCTCAACGAGTGAGCAATGCAGGCTCAACGCGTGAGCAATGCAGGCTCAACGCGGCATGGGCAATGCAGGCTCAACGCGGCATGGGCAATGCAGGCTCAACGCGTGAGGAATGCAGGCTCAACGCGTGAGCAATGCAGGCTCAACGCGTGAGCAATGCAGGCTCAACGCGGCATCGGCAATGCAAGCTCAACGAGTGAGCAATGCAGGCTCAACGCGTGAGCAATGCAGGCTCAACGCGGCATGGGCAATGCAGGCTCAACGCGGCATGGGCAATGCAGGCTCAACGCGTGAGCAATGTAGGCTCACCATACTGCGAGAACGTAGTGGGCTTAAATGGCTCCGAAACCGCCGTACGCGCTGAACCCGTCTGAGGGTCACTGTACGTCATCACCAAGTTCGGGTAGCTGCCCGCGAGAATCTGGTGTACACGTTGTAACGCTCTGGGTCATTTCCGGGCGAAGTCTGAAATATCCCGTTGTAGCTATGGTAAACCGAGGGGACACCCGCCGTCCGCCAGGTGATGGCGCCCGGAGCGAGGCTCCACTTGGCCGGGTCGCACCCGCGGACGGTGGTATTTGTGAAGGAGAGGGAAGCGGGCGGGCCGGACGCGAGGGCGGTGAAGACCCTGTAGGCGACGATCATACCCGCCCCTGGACTGCCAGGTGGACTGAAAGGAGGAGGGGGAGAAGGAGTATGGGGAGGGGGAGAGGGAGAGCGCAAGTGAGGGGGGCGGGAGGACCGGAAGAGAGAGACGTGAGGATCCAATGGTATGGGACCCGGGGAGCTAATGAGAGAATGAGGGAGAGAGAATGTGCGAGGGTGAGACGAAGTGGATGCATGCGCCGGTAAAGCATGAGTCGCAAGTGAAAAGGAAGATGGGTCCGTGCATGTGCGTGCCATGAAGTGCACGCGTCGTGGCATGCGTGCGTGTGCGTGCTATGCAGTGTGCGGCACGCGTCATGGCATGGCCGGCTGTGCGTGCACATGCGGCTTACGAGATGCTGAGGAAACTTTTGAGTCGACTCAAAAGTCAACGTGCGTGTGCGTGCTATGCAGTGCGGCACGCGTCAGGGCATGGCCGGCCGTGCGTGCACATGCGGCTTACGAGATGCTGAGGAAGATGGCCGCTCACGACTCGCCGTCGATCAGGCGCGCGAGAAAGTAGGACTCTGCGAGTCAGAGGGCGGGAAGGGGGAGAGAGTGGGGAGAAGGGGAAACAAGAGTCGTGTTTTGAGTCGACTCAAATGTCGACCAGGCGCGCAGAGAAGTAAACTTTGCGAGCCAGAGGCCGGAAAGGGGAAGGGAGCGGGTGTGGAGGTGTGAATGGTGGAAAGGGGAGAGATGGGCGGGCGGAAAGAGGAACAGTATCGGAGCGGAACAAAAACAATGCGGAACGGTGCGAAGTACAGCGGAAATGGGCGCGGGAAAGACGGCAAGAAGGGTAGATGAGCAGAGCGGAAACACGAGAAGTGGAGAGAAGGATGTAGCAGGAGGTATCAGGAGGAAGCAAGCAGGGGGAGGAACTCACGAGCGGAAACAGTGTGCGGCGCCGTGAAACCTGAGAGGCCCGACGGGCGAAGAGGACAGGGGGGAAGAAGAGAGGGAGTTACTCTTACTAAGAGCGCGGCGCGTGATTACAGACGCCCCGCGCGCCGCGCGGCGGGTAGAGATGCTGCTTTTGAAAAGGGGGCGATGTTGCATGATTGTATCGTGTCGCGGAATTGTGATTCAGGAGCAAACATCGCTCACCGAGCAGCCTCTGTAACGGATCTCACCGAGCAGTAGCAACAGCAGCGCGGGCAGCGCGCCGAGCAGTCGCCTTGAGGCGGCCCGCTGTGGCGCCGCTATCGACATCGTGGCGTCGGCAGATCGCGACAAGTTTCCCGGCGAATCAAACTGAAGAGCTTCAGAAGACGGGAGCTGAGAAGTTCTCGAAGAACCAAAACTAGCAGCGCCAGTCCAGTCATCCCTGGTAGGATATGTAAGTTGTGGTCGGGGCAGAACTGCGGATGTATTTGGAATGGATTTTGGAACGTGCAATGCAATCCGCGAGGCTTGTGCTACTAGTGCCTCGCGAACGCGCACGGACGCGCTGAGCTGGCAACATGGCGAATGGAAGACGGGCGGGCGGGCAACTGATGATCAGGGGGTAGTATCGGACTTGGGGTTGGGGGTGGGGTTCCTCCCGCTGCAGAAATGCCCTGCCTCCCCTCTCCGCCATCAAACGGGAAAGTCAGCCGGCATCAAACGGGACGTGGCGCACTTGTGTGGAGTGGAACTGTAAAGCAGCGGATGAGTTGGTCCTTATCGTACTGATCATCTATACTGTGCTATCAGCAACTCCCACTGTACATCATCGCCTGAGTGTTCACCTGGGCCAAGTCAAGCTTGCTTTTCTTGATGCAGCGTGGTGATGTTGGTTTGAAATCTACCCTTCCATGGTGGAACTTGGCAAAAATTATGTTCAATGAAAGCGGTTGAGTACGTTTTTGTACAACCGAGAGTGGTCAGAAATCCCAACCGCTTTCAACCGCTTATGTACCGCCCTTAGAATTTTCTGCTGACGCTTCGTCTATACTAACGGGGATACAGAAATGATTGTGAACCTGACCGGGAGAATGGGCCCAGGTGCCGATTTTAGAATTTAGAGTTGTGCCGGAAAACTCCTCCAGTCCATCTTTCCCGCGACGCAGGTGCCGAAACGGAAATCCAAGGGGGATCTTGGCGAACAAATGACATTGGCGAACAAGTACACGTACACATTTCACATAGGATGAGACAAATGAATCAGGGCGTATCCAACTTCAGGTCATCAGCACTGTTCATTCAACTGTTCGGGGCATCCGCAAATCACGGATGCCCCGAACTCAACACCGGAACCGCACACGGCTCGAACTTCGGGTCATCCTGCAACCTGCATGCGACCGTCACGCCCAATGTGTCCCCCACCAATCACACACAAGTGCGACCCCATGTTGGGTCCCCCTCTTTTGACGGACGTCCTTCATCATTCACGCCCGTCAATTTCACCGACACCATCACTGCGTATAGCACAATTCTGTAAAAGCCACTTGACCATGAACACAGATACAAGCCAAATGTGCAGAGCCAGTTGAAAATACGGCCCGACAGCCATATCTACAAGCACAAGCTTAACCATAGCTAGCCGCCTTGCAACCAGCGCGACTCCCAACGCGCCCCGCATTATGCACGGTCGTGAACCAGCTCCCGTTGATAGGATGAGCTACCACTTTACGCCTCCTGGGAGTCCTTCAACCATGCTCACAGGTCAGGTCCTCATACTTTGTGTGGCCTTGCTCCTGTGGCATGAGGTGCTTCTTAACACCTGGCAACGTGTAGTCTCTCTTGCGGCTCTAGAGTGGATAACCACCATCCTACCCATGGCTGAGGCTGAAGATGCCGAACGCCTCCGCCGTGCAACCGAGTGCCGGGAGAAGCGTAGCCGGCGTCGCGAGGCTCGTGTGGCGGAATGGGTGGAGGAGATCCGCGCGATGTTCGACGAAGAGTTTGAAGATACCTTCCGTATTACCCGCGAAGTCCTCGACCTCATCGCCGAGCGAATGGCCTACCCCATGTCGCGTTTTGTGGAAGTGAATGAGGTTCCCTTGTCACTGTGTTGTCTTATCCCCATCAATTATTTTGCCAGCGCCATGACGTTCCACGATTTGGGCCTCTTGTTTGGATTGCCGCCAGGACTCATCCACCGTATCGTCGATGCCTTCTTGGTATGGTTTCCCCGCAAGTTCAAGCGTGACTGGGTGCAGTTTCCTACGGAGGACGTGAGGGAGGAGATGGCGCTTGACTTCCGTGCTATCAAGGGAGTTCCCAACGTGATGGGGGCGATTGACGGGACCCACATCGAGCTACGTGGCATGGAGGCTCACCGTGGTGACTACTACAACCGGAAGCAGGTTTACAGTGTCCAACTTAAAATGACATGCGACTCAAAGGGAGTCATCTGGGATTACAACGTGGGCAATCCTGGTTCAATGCATGATCAAGGTGTTTTCTCAACATCTGATTTGCATGGCAGGCTAGAGAGTGGGGAAATCGCCCCCTATCAGCTTGTAGGAGATGCGGCATACCCGCTGAAGCCTTACATGCTAACCCCCCTTCACGCCCCACGCCGTCGCCTGATGAAGAAATGGGAGCGGACATACAACTACGTGCAGTCTGCTACCCGCATGGTCGTCGAGCGCACCATCGGCGCGTTGAAGGGACGCTGGCGGCTCTTCGCGCGCAGGAACGAGAGCAAGCTCTGGCGTGTATGCGCTGGGACGGCCTGCATCATCATCCTGCACAACATGTTGCAGGTCGTTAGCACGCCGCGCATGAAAACGCACAATCCGCGCCGCTTTATCTGGGCCGGGCTCCCTAACGGCTGGTGGACAAGAAGCGGCATGGACAAGTATGAGTGGCAGAGCCTCGACAACCCTTCGTTGGCCGATCTGCGCGCGCGCAGGCATCACTTCGGCAAACACATCCATCGCGCTTACCTCAGGCGTCACCGTGTGCGGACGTTGGCGCGCTAAGGCTCCGCATGCTCCTCGACATCCTCGGACCCTCCCATTTTCTCGTCGCCCGCAACTTCCGGATGGGCTGGAGTCGGGGTATTCGAAGGTGCCGCGATTGGCGATGGCGGGCTGGCTATCTGCGGTCGAAAGCCAGCCTGGAGCGCCGCCATGTTCATGGCGGCGACAAGGAGCTGGGTGGAGTTTTGCAGCTCTCGCACCACCGTCGCATTGGTGGAGTTGATGGCCTCGCTCACCATCTTTGCGGCCGCCATGGTGGCAGTCTCCTCAATCCGCCGTCGTTTAGGGGGTGGAGTCCCCCCGGCATCTGTAGTGGAGGGTGTAGGGGGGTGGATGTCAATAAGGCGGAAACGGTTTTTGTTTCTTCGTTAACTTTATGGATATTTGATACATCTATCTCCAGGTCATGCTCACACGTCTAACGTTGAACCACAATCGCTGGAAGGGAGATATCAGCGGCAAACACAAAGCTGGACCTAAAGCAAAGCACTTCATGCTCACTCTTACGAGTGGGGAGTACACACCTGGTGTGGTCGCTTGACGGCGGTTAGAGCGCCCACGGCCCTCCGATAGAGGCGCGGAAGTTTCCCGGTCGGTGCAGCCGGGCACCGGGGCGTACGCTTGGACGTTGACGTTCGCCGCGCCTCCACTGTCGAGGGGGTGCGCCTTGGCCTTCGCCGAGTGCTTTTTAAGGTGGTAGACGTATTCCCACCACGGTTTTTTCTTTATTGCTTTCCATCCGCTCTGTCCCTCCCCCCGCTTCGTTTTCAGGTACTTCTTCTCGAGGCGTTTCTAGGCATTGGACATCTGTCCCTCATCGCGGTCCCAATTTTTGTCCTTCTCAAGCATGTGGGCGCGGAGCTTCCTCCAGTACTGGCTCCCCTGCTTGCCCTGCATAGCCTTGAGGTCGTCTTTAGTGTTCCAACGAGCGGCCGCCAGGGACGTCAACTCGGCGTCCGACCACACGCGCTTGTTGCGGGACGAAGGAGCCCGATGCTCCTTCTTCGACGGTCGTGTGCTGCGCTCATCACCGCTTCCGTCGTCGCCTCCATCAGTATCTTCCTCGTCCTCTTCAGTGCCGCGTTTGTAATCGGCTGAGTCGGCATCACTATCCGACTCCGAGACGATCTCCTCGAGATCGTCATCAGAGACGTCAGTATCGGCGCCTGTGTCGGGATAGTCATGCCGAGAACTTCGGCTACTGCTGGCGCCCGCAGTTTCGCGTACGGCCTTAGCCATACGCTTGATAGATGGGGACGGCTTCCCCTGCTTTTGCTGCTCTTTCATCCATGCGACGTAGGGGGGGTCAGGTGTTTTCTCATCATCGCTAACCTTCTCCTTTCCCTTGCCGCGTGAGCTTCGTTGCGGAGGCATCCTGGTTCTATGGGGTGGCTCACACACGGAGATAACGGGGTGGTGTGCAGGCTATTCTCAAGTCGAGATCTAGATCTACTTCATCCTCAATTTCTGTTTCTGCCGTTTTGTGAAACCCTTGGGTGAGGCTGTGTGGTTGGGATGGGTTTCGGAGGCGCGCAGATCCAAATGTTATTTTTACCGCCGGGAATTTAGACAGGTGGGGTGATGGGGTGTTTGTCGCGCAACCGGGTTAAAAAAATCGCATGGCTTGAAGGAGGGAGGGCCTATTGGTTGAAGCAACATTTGGCGATGCCTTTTTTGGCGGGACAACAAACACGCCTTTTTGAGGGTCGCACGATGTTAGATGACCCAAAGTGGTGTTTTGTGTAGTTCGGGGCATCCGCACATTGCGGATGCCCGGAACAGTGCTGATGACCCGAACCGGGATACGCCCTCAGCATGCCAAGTGGACATATTGAGAAAGCTTGCTTTCTTTCTTATCAATTGGCATCGTTCTCATTACAAATGGGTAAAAGGTTTATTATACAGCTACGTACCATGAGTTTTATGTTCTTCAAGCTTATTGTTGTTGTCGTTACTTCCAAGAGTCCATGGTATGCTGAGGGAAGAATGTAAATGCGCAACGTGCGGAAATCATACTGCGAGTGGCAATAGCATGGCCAAAATATGTGAACGGTAGAATAAGATGTATGGCTTGGGGAAGTGAAGCAGAGGGGCAGGTGACAAGCTATGCGGTAAGCCATGTGCGATGGCTGCAACAACACAATCGGTGGCGCAAATGGTAACCAGTAGAGTCGGTGAACAACTTGTGTGTGGTAACAATGATGCTGGAAGTTAGTGGGTAAACGTTTCCAAGGCAAAATAGTTACAATCAGTGGTTGTGAGTACAGCGCTATTGGAGACTGAAGGAAGCTTTTGTATGGGGGTGAATAAACCCACCAGTAATTGTGAAACATGCAAAACGCATTGAACTGGGCTCAAGCATAACGCGGTGTAGTGTATTTTACTATACACTTTAGCTCCTTTTCTCCAGGATTGCCAGCTACCTGTTGTTGCACCTGCATTGCATCGCAACGTGCAGTCATTAATTACCATGGCGGAACTTGGAGCAAAAGAATGCCAGTTTTTTAGTCGACTCAAAAACCGACTCAGCAACGTGCAGTCATTGATTACCATGGCGGAACCCGGATCAAAAGAATGCCAGAACGGCCAACAAGGAGGCAATAGTCAAAAGCAGGACCCACCGGCACAGAGCAGCACAGCACAGCACACACCCAGCCCGTTGTACAGAAAAGGTAGCGTGCAGGAGCAGCAGCACGTACCAATGCAACCCGAAGTGAGGGGCACTTGAACCCTGCAGTGAAGTTGGTCTCCCATGCATGGGTCTGCATGCAGAGTAGGCAGATCAGCAGCAGGAGCAATGTGCATATCATGCAGACATGCAACAGGGGAGATTCGCGACACAACGACACATAATGAGTGACCACACAGACATGTAACAGATAGAGTCGTGAAACACAGACATGTAACAGCTTTCTATGAGCATTGACTATGTCAGAAGACCGATTGGCTTCTATGAGAACCTGATCCTTACACACCTGGCCGTGATCCTTACACACCTGGCCGTGATCCTTACACACCTGGCCGTGATCCTTACACACCTGGCCGTGATCCTTACACACCTGGCCGTGATCCTTACACACCTGGCCGTGATCCTTACACACCTGGCCGTGATCCTTACACACCTGGCCGTGATCCTTACACACCTGGCCGTGATCCTTACACACCTGGCCGTGATCCTTACACACCTGGCCGTGATCCTTACACACCTGGCCGTGATCCTTACACACCTGGCCGTGATCCTTACACACCTGGCCGTGATCCTTACACACCTGGCCGTGATCCTTACACACCTGGCCGTGATCCTTACACACCTGGCCGTGATCCTTACACACCTGGCCGTGATCCTTACACACCTGGCCGTACAAAATGATGACATCTGCATCCGATGCGGCGTAGGCGAGCTCAGGTGAAACAGCAGATAGGTCAAGCGCCTGGGTGGAAAGGTGAGAGGGGACGGAGGGACAGCACAGGGCCACAGGTGGTAACAAACCTGAAGGTCGGATCCGGAGTTGAGGACAAGGATGCGACCATTGCTGATGGGCATTGCAACGAGATGACTTTTGAGTCAAGTCAAAAGTCAAATAAAAAAACAGAGTCATCTAAAAAAACCGAGTCAAAAAGCGAACCTGAAGGTCGGATCCGGAGTTGAGGACAAGGATGCGACCATTGCTGATGGCCATGCTGATGTCATCCTCTGGTGCTGCTGCTTGCACCTGACATCCCATGCCATGCCATGGGAAGCACGAGAGGCATGAGAAGCATGAGAGGCATGAGAGGTATGAGAGGTATGAGAGGCAGAAATATGGGAAGCATGAGCAGCATGAGAGGCAGAAGCTTCTATTGATTAACTGCTGTAACACTGGCTCCATGAGGGGCGCGACAGGCCTGAGAGGCCTGAGAGGCCTGAGAGGCGTGAGAGGCATGAGAGGCATGAGATCATCACCTGCTTCAGGAGATTCATCAGGTCCTCGTGTGTGATGGCGGCACCTGAAGGCATGTCTGGCACCACCAGAAGCACCTGAGAGGGGAAGGAGAGGTGAGAGACGAGTATTGCAACAGAGCTGCAAGGGAAAGAACAGCTTCAAAGAACCAAGAAGAGAGGCCACAGCAGCATCATAGCATGGCAGCAGCAGCATGGCAGCATGGCAGAATGGCAGCATGGCAGCATGGCAGCATCGTAGCATGGCAGCATCGTAGCATGGCAGCATGGCAGCAGCAGCATGGCAGCAGCAGCATGGCAGCAGCAGCATGGCAGCATGGCAGCAGCAGCATGGCAGCATGGCAGCATGGCAGCAGCAGCAGCACCAGCAGCAGCAGCAGCAGCAGCAGCAGCAGCAGCAGCAGCAGCAGCAGCAGCAGCAGCAGCAGCAGCAGCAGCAGCAGCAGCAGCAGCAGCAGCAGCAGCAGCAGCAGCAGCAGCAGCAGCAGCAGCAGCAGCAGCAGAAGCAACAACCATCATCCTGCACAGCAGCTGGCACTTGGCAGGCAGCACTGCTCTGAACCCCACTAGACCGACTTCCATGCACCTCACACTAACCCCCACCCACTCACACCCATCCCCACCCACCTTCACGCCTCGTCTAGTCAAGTCCCTCACTGCTGGCAGCAACCCCAGTACCGTCTCCCTGCCCGCCCCTGCACACAACACCACAGCCTGGAACGAGGAAGGAGAGAGGGTGAGGGATGGGGGAGGGTGAGGGATGGGGGAGGGTGAGGGATGGGGGAGGGTGAGCAGCAGATCACCACGAGCTGTAAAGCTACTGGAGAGTCACTTTTGGAGATTCTGAAAGTGTCAATTCTGAAAGTGTCAATTCTGATATTCTACATTCCACCACCCTGTCCCACGCTTCACTATCCTACACTGGTGGGCCCTCATCCTCCCCCACTACCACCCCCCCCCTCCTCTCCCCTCCCTCTCCCAGCTAGATTCTGTGTTACCTTGCTCCACTTGCCCTCCCCTTGGTTGCTCCATGTCTGCACCGCCGCCCCCATGTCATCTGCCGCCCATGGTTTGGCCGGCAGACTGTCAGAAACAGACAAAAAGTCCGCTGTCCCAACTGAGGGGTCCGCGCCGTCCAGAGCGGCCAGATTGCCGGCCAGCATGCCCCGGATGAGGGCTTCGGAGCGGGTGACGTGATTGCTGATGTCATCCACCGCTGCAAGGACGGCTAGTAGCTGCTGTAGGGCCATGCTTGTTGACTCGCCCTGGTGTGTTATTAGTGGGGGGTGATATGATTTTTAGTATTCTCAAAAAACAGATAGGGCCATGCGCGTTGACTCGCCCTGGTGTGTTTTTTTATTGGGGGGGGGGGGGGGGGGGGTTTGAAGGGGAGAACGGGAGAAGCGGGAAAGTTGAGGAAGGTAGGGGAATAAGGGAATGGAAGAATGGAGAGTAACAAGGAAGGCGGGAATTAGAGGAGCAAGCATGGAGTGTTGTGCGTGTGTGTGGATGGTAGCTGCATCGTATGGCATGGCATGAAATTGCATAAACCCAATGCGTATAAATGCCAGCCTTGGCCTGTCCGCATCACTTTCCCCCGTCCCCATCACCTTGGCGTGTCTGTAAATGTCTTCAAAGCCTAGCTCCCGCAAACAGATGTCTCTCAGCCGGTACAGCAGCTGATGGGATGGACAGCGGTGGGGAGGAGCATAGGAAGGTGTGGTCAGATTAATATCAGCCGCTTCACATGGAGGAAGTAAGGAGGGACGGAGAATGCAGAGAAGACACACCCAACGCAACACCTGACAAAACTATCACTCGCCACCACCACAACCTGCCACACAGCACCACATACCACCACACACCACCACCGCATACCACCACACAGCACCGGATACCATGACATCTGGGGGCCCGCCATGGCTCTCGGGGTCGTTATCGAAATCGTCCAACATGGATGCCAGCCTGCCACACACAGCGGAATGGTGGCACGATGATGCGGGTCAGGTGGGGGGGCGGCAGAGGCATCAATATTCAGCATTTACGCCGGCCTGCAAAACACAGTGGCATGGTGACACAATGACGCGAGTGTGGTTCAGGGTGGGAAGGGAGGGGAGGGGCATCAGATGGGCCCTCCTTTCTACAAACGAAGGCACTCATATGCAGACATGGAGAGCAGACCCACTCCCATTGCCCCTCCAGGCACTCAGTTAAACCTTCTCCTTGATCGAACGTTGATCGATCCAAGACTTCTCCCCTGCGCTAGAGTCACCTGTCTTCGAATTTGGCGGCCCTCTCTGTTGCGTTGTCCACTGACGCGTCGCTCTCTGCCTGCTGCCTGCTCATCACATGGGACGGTGGGGTGAGGTGTGGCATGGTGGGGCATGGTGGAGTGTGGCATGGTGGGATGTGGCATAGTGGGGTGTGGCATAGTGGGGGGCGGTGCGGTGTGGCATGGCATGGCATGACATGGCATGGTGGGGTTAGGGTGCGGCATAAGATCTTACTGCATGGGATGGCATGGCATGGCATGGCATGGCAGGGCAGGGCATGGCATGGCATGGCATGGCATGGCATGGCGTGTAAGGACATGTGACGGAAAGGAGGGTGTATATTCTCGTTTCGCGTCCAAGCAGCGAAGAGCACAGAACAAGAAGGGGAAGAGAGGATCGAAGGATGGCATGACACTGGTACATGCCCCCCCATGTCACGCCATGTCATAACATGGCACGCCACGTCGTATAGTGGCGGCAATATCATCTCACAGTGAAATTCTATGGGTGGTTTTGAGATTTCTCAAAACATCACACCTTAGAACGGCGACACTATCGCTCCAAGGACGCCACACCTCCCTCCACAGCGGAATTGTCTCGCGGAAAGAGCTGAACGCGCTCTCCTTCGCCGAGGTGACTTATGAGTCGACTCAAGAGTCACCTCGTTGAATGGCGGCACTATTACCTACGGACATCATTCCTACCTCCACAGCGGGATTCTCTCGCGGAAAGAGCTGATCAACGCACTCTCCTTCTCCGTCAGATGCGCTGGGTTGTCGGATTCGCATCTCAGCGCCAGGACGGCGGCGTACGCCTTGGGATTCGCGAGGAGAGGGAGCGGGACCGGCGGCGACGCCCACTCCATCGCGCGAAAGACGCTGCGCGGGCACCCGCGTCTGTCGCTACGGAAGGCGAGCTTCGATATTCCCAAGACAGGTTCCGAAAGAATGGGTCAATGAGGTTGGGGGTGGCCTGCTGCGGTTAGAATGGGAGACATGTAACAATGTTTGATCTGGCTTTGCTTTACGTGGAAGACATTAGAACTCGCCAGCCACGATGAACTCCGGTTGCGACCTCTCTAATGGTCATGAGCTGGAAGTGGTCAGATTCATAAGATGGAAAGCTAGGAGAACACAGGTTATGTGCTCTAAGAGGCATTTCAGTGCAAGTTCTGGACACTAGGGGTGAGCATCACCTGTCAGGCCCATGAAATTATCACGAAAGTTTTGTTCCTAATCGCGAACACCAATCACTCATGTAACCTTCTCTAACCTGCCATGCGAAGCTGGTTGCGAGATAAGCGAAACAGGATTGATTGGGCAGGCGATGTGTCGTACAAGCCTTGATACCTCGATATTGCTGTAGCACGAACATGAATTTGAATCAACACTCGTTAACTCTTCGATGTCAAATCGGAATGGGAAAAGATCAACTAGGGGCCAAACATTGCTAGAGAGGTGTTCGAAGTAGGGCTGGTAAATCTCGACCGTAGGATTTCAGCCTAGAGCTGCCAAACTGACTTGGCGAACAAGCCGAACCGGAAGTAAACGATATCTGCTAAAAGAGCCAGGTTGTTTATTCATGTTTTTTATTGAGTGTTTTGACCTCCGTCTACTACAGCGCGCGCGTCGCCTTCTTCTGGAAGTAAAGTTCGGCGGATCAAATCGTGAGTACGTATAACATATTATATTCTGGGTGATAAATACCACCTACCCGATCGTAGACGCACTGGAAAAAAAATATATTACCCATTCGGAAACAGATGCGACTCGGGAGGCATCAACCCTAAATACCAGGAAGTTATCCGTTTTCGGGTCGACCCATCCCGAAAATGCATCCAGATTCCCTAAGAGTTGTAGTTTGTTTTTTCTGCCCTAAGGGTTCCAGTAGAGTCGGCTCGCTAAACGACACGCGAGCGAAAATGCGGCTGGTACATGCCACTAATAACATATTTACGTGCAATAAAGAAAAACCCTATGTTAATACCTCTATGCGCAGCGGTTTGGGAATTTCCGGGCCTCTTGGCCCCTGGTCGATCACCCCTCTGGCACTGTTCGGCCCCTCGTTGATCTTCTCCCAATCGGAATTGCAGAATTCGATCGCATGGACATTCTCGAAAACTCTTTCACCTCACCCACAATTGTACCACTTTTCGCCTTGATCTGGTTTCGATTCCTACTCCCGTCACAACTACATGCCTGTAGTACGGGCATTATTAATCAGGCAGGCTCTTTCTACCAAGCCTTTGTTAACCGCTGAGTAGGCTGTTCTGTTGCTGACTCATGGCGTCAACCGCAGATGACGCCGTGATTGACGTTGAGGAGGACGAGGAAGAGGAGGAATTACCGTTTCGTTGGGGCGATCCGGCTCCCGGCCCGAGTCGCGGCGGCAAGCGGTTTTACCTGTGGTTCGAGCAGGGAGGGGAGCGGTTCGACATTTACGACTGCGTGTACTGCCAGGTCCGATGAATGTTCGAACCTCATCTGTCTGGTTTCTTGACTGCTCGATAAGTAGCGTCGCTTACGCGCCTTTCATACAGGGGATACCTCGCTTACACGTCTAAATCTGTCAAGCCCTTCTTTGATTAAACTTCGCATACACCCCGTGATAGCAATAGTAGACCAGAACATTAAATCTGAAACCTTTCCTGAATTCCCTGTACCGCGTCAGGCAGAAGAGGGGATGGACCCGTACGTGGGGAAGATCGTGCGCATGTACGAGCTCCCCCCCAGCCGCCGCGGAAAGCGCAACAGCATCGGCGGAAAGCCAGGCGAGCGCAAGGTGGACATCCGCTGGTTCTTCCGCGCGGCTGACGTGCAGGCGGAGGGCGGGGAGCTCCCAAGGGACGTGCGCCCCAACGAGGTGTTTCTGGCCGTTCCCGAGGGCACTCAAGGGGTGACTGACGCTAATAAAGTGGTGAGTAATCGTTAAGAATCTCAGATGGGTGATTGGGTGAGTGAGTGAGAGGGCAGGAAGGGCGGGGAGCTCCCAAGGGACGTGCGTCCCAACGAGGTGTTTCTGGCCGTTCCCGAGGGCACTCAGGGCGTCACTGACGCGAATAAAGTGGTGAGCTGGAAAGCAGAATGAACAGGAGTGGGCAGGGAAGTGTGGGCAGCTCCCAAGGGACGTGCGTCCCACAAAGGTGTTTCTGGCCGTTCCCGAGGGCACCCAGGGGGTCACTGACACCAACAAAGTGGTGAGCCGAACGGTTATTGAAGCGTCGGAGCAAAGTACCGATTTCTCTCCTTCTTTGCCTCACTCCCAATACTCTCTCTTCACCCCGCCCCTCCCCTCTCTCCCCCTCAGCGCCCTTCTCTGTTTCAGCACAAAAACTGGACGACTTTTTAGACGTGTCAAAAGTCTGTTTCAGCACAGAAACGGATAGTGGTGGACTCCTGTGCTCGCTTACTCTAGTTTTGAGGCGCCTCAAAACTAGATCCCTCAGCGCCCTTCGCTGTTTCAACCCAGAAACTGGTTGCCAAACGGATAGTGGTGGACTCCTGTGCTTGCATAGTCTGCCTGTCTGCCGGCCATCCCTTGCCTCCCCTCGGCCATTTTCTCCACGCCTTCCCCCTTCTTGCCCCCCCTTTTCCGGTCCCCTTTTGGTCGGCCTGCCTTCTCTGGTCTAGCACAGATAGTGGTGGGACTCCCGGGCGCGCATACTGTGTCTCTCTGCCGACCCCCTCTCGTTCCCCCCCTTGCTCTCCCGCTTCCCACGCATCTCCCCCTCACCTTCCCTCGTCTGTGTGGAGAGCACAGATAGTGGTGGACTCCCGGGCGCGCATACTGTGCGTGTCTGCCAATCTTCTCGTGCCTCCCCTCACCCACGCCCTCCCCGCTTCCCACGCAACCCTTTACCTATCCACCACGCCCATGTGCGAGCACAGATAGTGGTGGACTCCCGGGCGCGCATACTGTGCGTGTCTGCCAATCTTCTCGTGCCTCCCCTCACCCACGCCCTCCCCGCTTCCCACGCAACCCTTTACCTATCCACCACGCCCATGTGCGAGCACAGATAGTGGTGGACTCCCGGGCGCGCATACTGTGCGTGTCTGCCAATCTTCTCGTGCCTCCCCTCACCCACGCCCTCCCCGCTTCCCACGCAACCCTTTACCTATCCACCACGCCCATGTGCGAGCACAGATAGTGGTGGACTCCCGGGCGCGCATACTGTGCGTGTCTGCCAATCTTCTCGTGCCTCCCCTCACCCACGCCCTCCCCGCTTCCCACGCAACCCTTTACCTATCCACCACGCCCATGTGCGAGCACAGATAGTGGTGGACTCCCGGGCGCGCATACTGTGCGTGTCTGCCAATCTTCTCGTGCCTCCCCTCACCCACGCCCTCCCCGCTTCCCACGCAACCCTTTACCTATCCACCACGCCCATGTGCGAGCACAGATAGTGGTGGACTCCCGGGCGCGCATACTGTGCGTGTCTGCCAATCTTCTCGTGCCTCCCCTCACCCACGCCCTCCCCGCTTCCCACGCAACCCTTTACCTATCCACCACGCCCATGTGCGAGCACAGATAGTGGTGGACTCCCGGGCGCGCATACTGTGCGTGTCTGCCAATCTTCTCGTGCCTCCCCTCACCCACGCCCTCCCCGCTTCCCACGCAACCCTTTACCTATCCACCACGCCCATGTGCGAGCACAGATAGTGGTGGACTCCCGGGCGCGCATACTGTGCGTGTCAAAGGACCCGCGCAATCCACAGCCGAGCGCAGCGCAGGTGGAGGCAGCAGAGCTGGTGTTCTGCCGTGCGTGGGACATGCAGCAGAAGCAGGTGCTGGAGGACCTTCAGGTGGCTATTGACGACTTGGGCTCAGGTGAGTCTTCAGGTGGGAGTTCAGGTGGGATCAACGAGGCTTCAGGGTGGAACCAGGTGAGACTTCAGGTGGAACCAGAAGAGGGAGTAGATGAGTGAGGTCAGGTTGGGCAGCACGTGGTTGTTCGTGGATAGCTGCTCTTTGCTTCATTCAATACACCAGAACCTAATTTTTATCGAATCAAACGAAACTGGCACATGCATGGCATGGCACATGATGCATGGCACATGATGCATGGGACATGATGCATGACACATGATGCATGACACATGATGCATGGCACATGATGCATGACACGTGATGCATGGCACATGATGCATGGCACATGATGCATGGCACATGATGCATGGCACATGATGCATGGCACATGATGCATGGCACATGATGCATGGCACATGGTGCATGGCACATGATGCATGGCACATGATGCATGGCACATGATGCATGTCATATGATGCATGGCACATGATGCATGTCATATGATGCATGTCATATGATGCATGGCACATGATGCATGTCATATGATGCATGTCATATGATGCATGTCATATGATGCATGGAACAGAGGAGGCGGTATTTAACAAGCCGGCATGGGTGCAGCAGCAGCCGACCAGTGGGGCGACAGCAGGAGAGGACAGAGCAGCAGGCGAGGAAGCAGGAGAGGACAGAGCAGCAGGCGAGGAAGCAGGAGAGGACAGAGCAGCAGGCGAGGAAGCAGGAGAGGACAGAGCAGCAGGCGAGGAAGCAGGAGAGGACAGAGCAGCAGGCGAGGAAGCAGGAGAGGACAGAGCAGCAGGCGAGGAAGCAGGAGAGGACAGAGCAGCAGGCGAGGAAGCAGGAGAGGACAGAGCAGCAGGCGAGGAAGCAGGAGAGGACAGAGCAGCAGGCGAGGAAGCAGGAGAGGACAGAGCAGCAGGCGAGGAAGCAGGAGGCGCGGTTACAGGAAATGCTGTTGCAGTCGGAGAGGAGAAGGATGGTGCTCTGAGAAACGATGTGAAAGGGGAAGAAACGGGGACGGGGGAGGAGCAAAGGGTTGGGGAAAGCGGAGGAGGGGAACAGAAACGGCTAAGCAAGAGGATGAAGGTAGAAGGGCAGGTGGGGGAAAAGGGCGGGAAGCAGAGCAAGGAGAAGAAGGCGGGGGACCCGTGGGATCTGGAGGAGGAGGAGGAGGAGGAGGAGGAGGAAGTGGAGGAAGGGCAAGAGGATGGGCAAGTGGACGAGGAGGAGGAGGGTGTAGAAGAGGAAGAGGAGGAGGGCGACGGGGAAGAGGAGGAAGAGAGGGGGGGATTGAGAAAAGAAGGTTCAAAGGAAGGCTTAAAGGAAGCGCCCGCAAAGTCAAGTGCACTGAAACTGTTGACTGAGAAATCGGCCCTGGCAGGGCAGGCAGGCACGGGCGGGCTCAGGCAGGGATTGCCTCAAGGGCTGCAGCCTGCAGCAGCCCCTGATGGGCCCGGGTCTCGAGCGAAATTGCCCGTCCGCCCCTCCCAGAAGAAGCTCCCCCGGATAACATCTCCCCCTGGGGCTGTGACTGCTGGGCTGAGAGGAGGAGGGGTAGGTGGAGAGAGAGGAGGAGGTGGGGGAAAAGGGGGAGGGGGAGGGGGAAAGAAGAAGGTTGCTGGTGTGTTGTCATTGGCCAATGTTCCGGCCAATAGGAGGAGTTTGTTTGAGAAGCTGCAAGGGAAGAAGAAGGGGCAGGGAGCAGGGAGGGTGGGTAAGGGAGAAGGGATGATGAGGGGAAGGGAGAGGAGTGCTGAGAGAGAAGGGAAGCTGCCAGAGGGACAAGAGGTGGTGCCGCTGGGGAGGAGGATAGAGAAGGAGAGAAGGAAAGAGGCGAGGATGAAATTGGAGGAGAGGAGGAAAGAGGAGGGAGGGAAGCCTGTCAGTGATGCAGGTGCTGCTACGGCTGTTGCTGGTGCTGCTGATTCTGCTGCTGCTGCTTCTGCTGCTGCTGTTTCTGCTAACGACTTGGATGCGTCTGAAGAAGATTCTGTAGCAGAAGCAGCTGTAGCAGAAGCAGCTGAAGCAGGGGCAGCTGCAGCGGAAGCTATTATAGCAGAAGCAGCTAAAGCAGAGGCAGCTGTAGCAGAAGCAGTTATAGCAGAGGCAGCTGTAGCAGAAGCAGAAAAGAAGAGCACAGCTTTGGAAATTCTTACAGAAGCAGAAGCAGAGGAGCCTTCAGCAGCAGCAGCAGTGACAGCAGCAGCAGCAGGACCAGGAACAGCATCACTGTTAGCACCATCACTGACCGTTGTAACAGCAACACCACCAGCAGCAACGCCACCAGCAGCAGCAACAGCCGCAGCAGCATCTCAATTACAAGGAGCAACGGCCGGTGCGACTGTGGAGGATACGGAATCATCAGCAGTAATACCCGTTTCAGCAGCAACAGCAGAAGCAGAAGCAGTACCAGCAGGTTCATCAGAAAGAGAAGCAGCTGCGATGGAGACACCTAGTGCAGAGGCAGCGTCGTTAGAGTCATCTCAACCACAACCACCGCCACCAGATTCTGCTGCTATAGATGCCGGTGCTACAGATGCTGATGCTACAGATGCTGATGCTACAGATGCTGATGCTACAGATGCTGATGCTACAGCTGCGGTTGCTACGGTTGTTACTGCAGGAATTGAAAAAGCAGCAGTGCAAGCTGACCTCGCAACTGTCCAATCAGAAGCACCGGAATCTGCCACGTCAGAGCCAGGTGCTGCTGACATGGCGCCGGCTGAGGTGGTGGATTTAGAGAAGAGAGAAAGCAAGGGTGACGCGATTGAAAGGGGAATTGCTGGTGCGGGAATGGAAGGGAAGAGCGGAACGGAGACTGCAGTGCCTAAGGAGAGCGTTGATCGTGAGGGTTTGGAGGTGAAGTCAGAGAGCGAGAAAAGGGACGAGAGTGAGAAAAGGGACGAGAGTGAGGAGAAGAGTGAGATAGAGAGTGACGGGGAGAGACCACTCGTTGACACACGTTTCTGTTGGCCGGTGCCTCTTGCTGCTCCTGCTTCTGCATCTCCTGCTGCTGCCACTGCTGCCACCGCTGCCACCGCTGCCACTGCTGCCACAACCACTGCCACTACAACCGCTGCTGCTGCTGCTGCTGCTGCTGCTGCTGCCACCACCACTGCAGCTGCTGCGGCTGGGGCGAAGGCGAGGCAGGCAGAGAAGAGAGAGGCAGATGGATACCGGGTACGCTCCTTTCCCTCCCAATCACTCCCTACCCGCCTTTCCATCTTTCCACCTCTCTCCCTACCCGCCTTTTCATCTTTCCACCTCTCTCTCTATCCACCTGCCCACCTACCCACCTCTCTCTCTATCCACCTGCCCACCCACCTTCCCCTTTCCCCCACAACCTTCAACTGGATGTCAAATTTTCGAAGCATTGGAGATTCGTCCGGTATCACCTGCATTCCACTCTCACCCCCCCACCTCTCTCACGTCCCTCCGTCCCTCCCACCCTCCTCCGCCCCTGCAGTAGAACAGCATCATCGAGGGGGCGTTGGTGGAACAGCGGGTGGGTGGTTGCATGTTCACCCATCTCCACCACTCTCAACTCTCCACCTCTCCCTCCCGCCTCGCCCCTGCAGTGGAGCAGCATCATTGAGGGGGCGTTGGAGGAGCAGCGGGTGGTTCGGATTGACAACATCCCTCCCTGCACCTCGTCGCAGCAGCTGCACGTGAGTTTTGAGGCATGCGCTGTTCCACTGGAACAAATCTCTTATATGGCCATTACTATTCAATCACTGCTTGTGCTGCTGCCACCACTGCTCGTAAGGGCTGCTGCCACCACTGCTCGTAAGGGCTGCTGCCACCACTGCTCGTAAGGGCTGCTGCCACCACTGCTCGTAAGGGCTGCTGCCACCACTACTCGTAAGGGCTGCTGCCACCACTGCTCGTAAGGGCTGCTGCCACCACTGCTCGTAAGGGCTGCTGCCACCACTGCTCGTAAGGGCTGCTGCCACCACTGCTCGTAAGGGCTGCTGCCACCACTGCTCGTAAGGGCTGCTGCCACCACTGCTCGTAAGGGCTGCTGCCACCACTGCTCGTAAGGGCTGCTGCCACCACTGCTCGTAAGGGCTGCTGCCACCACTGCTCGTAAGGGCTGCTGCCACCACTGCTCGTAAGGGCATTCTGAGACCCCTCAACAGCCCTGCAAGTGCAGCCGTCCACCATGCCCATCCCCCCATCACCTGCCCTCCCCCCGCCTTCCTTTCCCCATCCCCTTCAACCCCCTTCCCTCCCTTGTCGCCCCCTACTCTCACAGGAGGCCATGCTTGAGCTCTTCACAGATGTGGTGGCGGTGCGAGTGCAGCCGGCCACTGGCCCATCCCCCCCATCGCCTGCCCTCACCCCTTGGCCCCTCTCCCATACCCCTCCCCCTCCCCTCCCCTGAACAGGAGGCGATGCTTGAGCTCTTCACAGATGTGGTGGCGGTGCGAGTACAGCCGGCCACCACGCCCATTCCCCCCATCGCCATTCACGCCTTTGCCATCTTCCGCACCGCTGCTGCCGCCGCTGCTGCTGTGCTCTTCCTCTCCGCCAAATGCGTCGTGCCCTCCCACTCCTCCCGGTAAGGGCCTTCTGAGACCCTCAGCATCCCTGGCACCACTCAAGGGTTTTGCTGCTGCGATTGCTGGTAAGTGCATTCTGAGGCTTCTCAGCAAACCTGCGAGTGAATGAACACAGCCGGGCACCACTCCCATCCCCCCCATCGCCATTCACGCCTTTGCCACTTTCTGCACCGCTGCTGCCGCTGCTGGTGCCGTGCTCTTCCTCTCCGCCAAATGCGTCGTGCCCTCCCACTCCTCCCGTTGAGCCAAGCTATTCAGCAGCTGCTTTGGCTGCTCCCTGTTCCATGTGCCGACGCTGCTGCTGGCACTGCTGCTGCTGCTGCTGCTGCTGCTGCTGCTGCCGCCGCCCGCTTCTGTTTTCCTCCTCCCGCCCAGATGCATTCTGCACTCCCATTTGTCCGCCGCTGTTCATTATTCCCCACTTTATTGGGCTAACCGCCGACTCCCTCCCCAATTCTTGTCTGATACATCCAAATTCATCCATCCTTTGAGGCGCCTCAATAGACTTTAAAGGCGCATCAAAAGACTTTAAAGGCGCATCAAAAGACTTTAAAGGCGCCTCAATAGACGTTAAAGGCGCCTCAAAAGGACTCCCTCCCCAATAGAAGAGTGAGTGGGAGGGCAATTCTTACATGATAAATCCAAATTTACCCATCCTTCATCACTGTATGCCCCAACTCCACCTTTCTGCTCGCATTCCTACCCTCATCCCCCACACCCCTCTTGCCACGTGCAGCCCTCTGATTGGTCGCCTGCAGCGGCCACAAGCAGAGGCGCCATCAGCAGTGGATGCCCCCTCGGCCTCTCTCGTGTCGCACGGCCCGGGCTACTTCACCATCCGCAACAAGCGTGGCGGCCCTGGACAGTACTCAGATGAGAAGGTGAGGCGGGAGACATGCTAGATGGGTATGAGCAGTGGTGCCATCAGCAGTGGATACACCCTCAGCCTCTCTGGTGTCGCACGGCCCGGGCTACTTCACCATCCGCAACAAGCGTGGCGGCCCCGGACAGTACTCAGATGAGAAGGTGAGGCAAGCTGTGATGCTGATGATGATGGGTAAGTCAGACGTGGAAGGCACAGAGTCAGCCATGGCGCGCAGACGAGCACACTCCTCCCGGGATACTTCACCATCCGCAACAAGCGTGGCGGCCCCAGGCAGTACTCTGATGACAAGGTGAGGCGGCGGGAGATATGCATGATGGGTGTGAGAGGTACGGCAGACATGGCAGGCTATGCCAGGCAGTGTACCCAGATGAGACGGTGAGAAGGGAGGCATGGCATCCATAGGGGGAATTTTCGGCACAGCAACAGACAGACTGACGGGCGCCTCAGTGGGTGGTGGTGCAGCAGAGAAATCGTATAGTCCTTCTGTGCCTCATCTTTGCTCACTCCCTTCCGTCCTCATCGCCTCTCACTCCCTCAAGCTGGAGGTGAAGTGGAGGGTGAGACAGCAGAATAATCGTTCTTGCCTCATTCTCAATCACTCCACTCACCTCATTCGTCCTCTTTGCCGTCTACCTCCCTTCTCCCCACCCTCTTTTACTCCTCCCCTCGATAATAGAACAACTTAACCACATCGCACTGTGCGCATCCCAACATCGTTGAATGCGAGCTGGGGGTGGAGTGGAGGGCGGTGCAGCAGACTCATGACTCTTGCAGCAGACTCATACTCACTCGCTTCCTCCTTGTGCACTCTTTTTCTGTCTGCTCTCCGTTCATCAGAAGAACGCCCTAACCACGTCGCACGTTGCACAACCCAACCATGTTGAATACGAGCTGGGGGTGGAGTGGAGGGTGGTGCAGCAGAGGGAGGTGCACATGGTGAAGGCTTTACTGAAAGCCCACCAGGCAGAACTCAACAGCCTGATGCTGAGCAACCGAGACTGATGGATTCATTCATTCAGGAAGTCTTGTATGGGTGGAGTGGAGTGGAGGGGGGTGCAGAGGAGCAGAGGGAGGTGCATATGGAGAAGGCGCTGCTTAAAGGACACCAGGCGGAGCTCAGCAGACTGATGCAGAGTGCATGTAGTGAAGGCTCATCTGAAAGCTACCGCACGTGGAGAGGGACGTCATTAGAGAGCAGTGTGCAGGGGGAGGTGCGTGCAGAGGGAGGTGTATGTGGGACAATTTCTTTTGAGAGCCCAGTCCACGAAGCGGAGCTCAGTAGTCTGCTGGCAGATGGTTTGAGATTGAGCTGATAAAGGAGATGTGTACAGTTGTAATGTACTGTACACTCTTGTATATGAAGGTTACAGATACAAATCGCACAAGTAAAAAATGATTACACCCCATACATTGCTTTTTATATACCTTCAGCATCTTCTCTGTCAAATCGTGATTTTATATCTCTAAGCGCATCTGCTACTACTGTAGCATTCGCCTGTACAGTATCCAAGCAGCCGCCGTGGCTGAAAACGAGGTGGTAGGTGAGGGAGCAGGCGTGGGAGAGGTGATTGTAGCACACAACAGCGCAGTTATCGGGCCTTATCTCGAGCACCGAGGCCCTTTCTGGCATGAAGACCAGGTTGGTCAGCGCTGCCCCGTGCCCCGCTATGAAGAGCCGTGCTTGACGGAACAAGTTGCGAGCTGCCAGGGGACCGACAAGGGCAGGCAAGGCAGGGGAGGGGAGAGGAGAGAGGGCATGGGAAGGAGGTGGTAGGTGAGGGAGCAGGCGTGGGAGAGGTGGTTGTAGCACACGACAGCGCAGTTATCGGGCCTTATCTCCAGCACTGATGCCCTTTCTGGCATGAAGACCAGATTGGTCAGTGCTGCACCATGCCCCGCTATGAAGAGCCGGGTGCGGCGAAACAAGTCCCGAGCTGGAAGCAAGAGAGGCAGGAAGGGTGGGGAAACAAAAGGGGGAAAGGGGAGAGACGAGGTTGATGAGCGCTGCGCTGTGGCTTGCTATGAAGAGACGTGACGGAACAAGGCACGCGCTGCAAGGGGAAAGAGGCGGGCAGGTAAGGCAGGGAGACGGGGGGGAGGGGGGAAGAGGCAGGGGGACGGGGGGGATGGGGGAAGAGGCAGGGGGAAAGTGACAGGAGGACGGAGGATGCATCGTTTAAGATGAGAGGGAATGAAGACCAGGTTCAGGAGTGCCGTCTCGTGGCTTGCTATGAAGAGACGTGTGCACCCAAACAAGTCCCAGGAACAGACATTATCGTACCTTCGAGAACCGTGAGCGACCCAGTGAAGAGCACGATCCTCTCTTTGGGAAACATCCTCTCCACCACCGCCTGCACCTCGTTAAAGTTACTAATGGATCGCTTCTTAGAGAGGCGCTTCGCCAGCACCACCACCCAGTCGGGCGGCAGCGCCTGCGCCTGCTGCGGCGACAGCGGCTGTGGCGGTTGGTAGGACCAGTCGGGGCGGAAGAGAGGCAGGCCGCGTGGGTGCAGCAGGTGGGTGCGCCTGAGGGACTGCCAGAGCAGCGTGGAGGGATTGCCACAGTCCTGAGTCATGGGCTGGATGGAGGAGGGGAGGGAAAAGAGGTGGAGCCAGGATGGGAAGACACGTTGAGAAGAGAGGCAGAAGGAAGAAAGGCAGCCCTCGCGGACGCAGCAGGTAGGTGCGCCTGAAGAATTGCCAGAGGAATTGCCACAGTCCTGAGTCATGGGCTGGAAGAAGGTGGGGTTGAAGAGAAGTGGAGGAGAAGCGGGGAGGAAAGGGGGGAGAGGGGGATGGGTGGGGGAAGTGAAAGTTAAGCCTGCATGAGTGGGTGTCAGGCAGTGGCAGGCAGGAGCTGTTACCTAGTGGCAGCAGGCAGGTGGTAGTAGGCAGATGGGAGCAGGCATGCAGGCACAATCGCTCATGTTGTGAGGCGTCTCAAAGACAGACAGGCAGCATGAGCAAGCAAGCACTGACCTCGTAGAGAGTGTGAACAAAGAAGAGGTCTGCCTTTACGAGGGGCAGCGACCGCATTGCACCGTACTTCACTCCTATCAGCACCTCGCCGAAGCGCTTGTACGCGTCCCACTGGGGGCACGGCAAGAGCAGAGGGAAGGGAGGAGAGAGGTAGAAGGAAGAGGAGAGGGTGCTGTTGCAACGAGATGACTTTTGAGTCGACTCAAAAGTCAACTCGGGAGGAGAGAGGGAGAAGGAAGAGGAGAGGTTGCTGTTGCAACGAGATGACTTTTGAGTCGACTCAAAGGTCAACTCGGGAGGAGAGAGGGAGAAGGAAGAGGAGAGGTTGCTGTTGCAACGAGAGAGTCATCTAGAATGGTTGGTTGGCAGAAACCAATAGTAGATGCTGGCAGTGGTAAAAAACGGTCAACAGGGGTCAACAACGGTCAACAGCGGTCAACAGTGGCCAACAATGCTATAGAAAAGACACCTGCATGCGTTCAGAGATGATAGGGATGGAGGGCAAGATGCGAAGCAGCAGTGGTGCCTCAACAAGAGACAAGCATGGTCAACAACAGTCAGCAAAAGTCAACAACGGTCGAGGGCTAACCTGCATGTCTTCAGCGATGATAGGGATGGAGGGCAGGAGGCGCGGCAGCAGCGGTGCGGCAACAAGGAAGAGAGGCATTGTCTCGACAATGAAGTGGTAGAAGTTGAAGCCTTGCGAGTACGCCCAGCTGAACGCAGCCGGCAGCACGTGCACCTGCTGCTCTGCTGAAAAGGAGATCTGCTGGTTTGGGGGAAGGTAGGTAGAGGTAAAGGAAGAGTGGCACAGTTCTGATCAATTATGGAGTGGTACAAGTTGAATCCCTGCGAGTACGCCCAGCTGAACGCAGCCGGCAGCACGTGCACCTGCTGCTCTGCCGAGTTAGGATATCAGTTGGGGGGGAGGTGGAGTGGAGGGGTGGGAAAGACGAGGTGACGAGGAGCAAAGGGATGCTCAATGCAACGAAGTGGCAGCAGCACGTGCACCTGCTGCTCTGCTGAAAAGGATATCTGTTTGGGGGAGTTTGCGAGGAAGCACTACGAGGCGCCTCAACTTCTGTTCTGAGGCTACATGTACCGCCTTCACCGGCCGCCTCCCATGTGTCCTTATTCCTTCATCCCTGCACCCCCCCCGTTCCTCCCCACACACCTCATTGAAGCGGCCGCAGCCTGGGCGCACGAACGAAGCTGTGGGTGCGGTTGAACACAGTCCCCTTGCCCGTCACACACACGTTCTGCGGCTGCATCCGCTGCCATCACACGTGCAACCTTCTCAACGCACCTCATTGAAGCGGCCGCATCCCGGGCGCACAAAGCTATGAGTGCGGTTGAACACAGTCCCCTTGGCCGTCACATACACGTTCTGCAGCTGCATCAGCTGCGGGGCACTCGGGTGGTGTGGGTTAAAGTCCTGCTTGTGTGAGCACGACTCATCGTACCCATCATACACGTGTGTTGATGTCCACCCCTCTCCTCCATCTCCTCCTCCTCCTTCTCCCCCTTCTCCACCTCCTAATCGTCTTCTTTTTCTTCCTTCCCCTTCCCCTCCCCCTCCCCTTCTCCATCCCCCTCCCCCTCCCCCTCCCCCTCCCCCTCCCCCTCCCGCCTCCTCTCTCAAATGCGTCTCAATTCTCTTCGGGCAGTTCACGGGCGGCTCAGGCCAATAGATTTCTGGCTCAACTAGGTCCGGGATCAAGCAGGCTTGGAGGTTCGGGAAGCGGGGCCCGCAGGAGGTCATGGAGGGACAGGTGTCGCCGCGGCATTGGGCGAGAGTGCCCCACTTGGGGTCGTGCTCGAGGTAGTGCAGCAGCACGCGCTGCTGATTGGACGAGTTGAACGCAAAGCCTAGCGGCTCGACTAGCAGGTTGGCCCGCTCGCGGTGAGTCCTGTGGCAAACGGAACAAGGTGAGGGACGAGGGGGCAGAGAAGGAATGGGGCATGAGGGGATGGGCACAGGCACGTAGCACTCACCTGATGGGCACAGGCACGTGGCACTCACCTGATGGGCGCAGGCACGTAGCACTCACCTGATGGGCGCAGGCACGTAGCACTCACCTGATGACCCGACTCAGAACAAACATGCGTTGATAGCACACCTGATGGGCAGCATGCTAGCTCACTTGATGGGCACGGGCACGTAATACTGCAGCTCGGCTTCAAAGGCCTTCACCTGCCCCACCAGCTGCAGCTGCCTCCGATGCCCCGTGCTGCCGTGGCCACGCATGACGATGTCACTGCTGCTGCGGTTGCCGTGCGTGACGACATCGGTGGTGCTGCCGGTGCGGTGCGTGATGACGTGACTCCTGCTGCTGCCATTGCCGTTCATGATGGAAGATCCGTTGGCATCATAACCGCGTGCGCCACGAGCGGCGCAGGCCAGGAGCAAGACGACGAGCGCAGTCCACAATTCACTCTTGGAAATTCCTGAAAGGCCGCTTAGCTCCCGTACCCTACGATTCCTCGCTTGATTCAAACGACGCATCGTGAACGGCGCCGAACGCGGGATCCAACGATGTCACGATGGGAATGCGAAATTCGATTGTGGTAATCAGCCCCGGATTGCTGCTTCCTTACAATCCTTCTGAAGAGTGAGAAATTTATATTGATATATGTCGTGGACAGAAGATTCTGGATGGTCACCGGAGTCGGCCAGCACGACGCTCGTCATGCATTTTATACTCGCATGTGCAGATCAATTCGTTAACTGCTCTCGTGACTGCTTGAATCGACGACTGACTATGTGACTCCTAAAAACTGGACATAAAAAGTGACATGGAGTGAGAGGGAACGAAACCAACACAGGAATCCCATGATGAAGTAAGAATGGCGGAAATCACCCACCTACCGACTGATAGCATTTTCAGCCTTCTTCAATTTCTTTCTCACAATTTTCACAATTTGAGGGTCTTGTTCATCGTGTATGGTCTATTTCGTTTCGTCACGATGTCAGTCGGTGAAGCTTGATAACCGCTTGGCACCGACTTGAGCCACGAAGAATAACGGCGAAAACTGTTGATCTTGTAAGGGCGTGTCCAGTGCGTACGTTTACAGTTCATCCTGTGCGGTTGACCTTGTTGCGTCACGGTTAAACACGGTGGAAACTGCAAATCGCTCTGAACTGTTTGATATCGTTTTGCGCCATGGGTCCTTACGGACATCATCGAACATTACCGTGGCAGGCCTTCGCATCCAATCCCAAGGCCGTTCCTCAACGCTACCAACCAATAGCACGGAGGAGAATTATCACTTCTCAAGTGACAAGAGATGTTCTGCTCATTCTCGGTATTGCTGCTGACTCACTACGGAGCGCAAAACGATTTGAACTTCATATATTTCAATCCTTTCGATTTTATACTTTTCCTCTGTTCTTCTGAACCGCACATAAGTCTCCCGAATGCTATAAATACAAAGTGAAGTCACACCTTAAACTTGTAACTGAGTGCTCTTACAGCGACTGCCCCCAAGCATGCCGGTTTGGACCACCTTTACCCACATCGCCACGTCATCTCCAGCTGTCAGTACCATCACACCCAGGTTTGACCTTATGTGGGGGAATTCTAGTGGGGACGTCAGCGGAATTTTTCCTTGATTGGTGCGAAATCGCGACGCGATGAAATCCCACTGAAGCCAAATTGCCCCCTCGAATTTGTCGCTCAATCCACCCCACAAGCCTCCTTCCTTCATCAGAAATCCTGAATCCTGAATCCCCACAAGCATCCATTCTAGTCATTCTTGGCCTGCGGTTAGCAGCGGGAGTACGGTCTTATATCCCAAGCTAGTTTCTGGTGGTGTTTCTTCGCGCCTGAGAAACAACTAGACTATATAATTTTTCCAGCCTTGTACTTGGCGGAATTTTTGTTTTCTTTTCGTTTTCCAGGCTTCTCTTCTAGGCCGGGGGCTAAGTATTTTCAAGGTCAATCCCTCCGTATGGCGCAGAACCCCTCAGCACCTACCTCGTCGCTGGAGCCGCCGAGTCTGTTGGTGGTGGGGGCAGGCCCGGTGGGTCTCGTCGCGGCGTGCGTGTTGCGGCGCCACGGGCTGCACGTGCGCGTCGTGGAGCGGAATCGCGCGCCGTCGGAGCACTCCAAGGCGCTGGCGCTGCACGCGCGCACGCTCGAGATCTTATCCGCGCATGACGGCGTCGTGGACGCTTTAATCGCCGCGGGAACCATAGTGGAGGTAAGGATCGAATCCCAGCAGGAAAAAAGTGGAAGTTCAAGCTACGGTAGGCTGGTGCAGGGTTTGCCCCTTGTACGATTCGTTGACAAACTGTAACCCTAATTCACGGTTTTCAGTGTTCCAAAACTGGTCGTCTCTATGTTTTCGAATTGTCTCCCGAGTCTCTGTCCAATGTCCTGTTTAATGTCCCCCTCTGATCTCCGCCAGGGAATCGAGGTCCGAACAGACGGACACCTGGCAGCGTCGCTCGATCTCTTCGAGTTAAACGGCGGCCCTGCCGGAGGTGACGGCGGAAGGCACGGCAGGGACCACGGCGTGGCGCGCCCCGAGGAGCTGTCCGCGGATTGCGGGGATGACTCCAGGCCCAGCGTGTGGGCTACGCGGTTCCCGTTCGTGCTGATGGTGCCGCAGAGCGACACGGAACGGATTCTGGCGCGGTGCCTCAAGAACGTGTATGGGACGGACGTGGAGTGGCAGACGGAGCTTGTCAGAATCCATCAGGTGCGTTCTGGTAGAAGGGTGGCTCCTATATCTTGGCTCCTGCCCCATGGCTTCGTCGTTAATTAACACGACACATTCGTTGAACGGAATACACACACCGTAGCAATGAGATTCTAAAAGTTGCCCGATATTTGCCTAAAGCTTTTATCGTTGTGAAACCCACCGACCTTCTCCATTCACAGGACCCGAGTGCAGTGCATGTGGAGATTCGGCATGCGCATGCACGCACAGGGCAACCCCCCACCCCTGCCGCACCATACCACTCCACAGCAACTGCAGCAGAGACAAGCACAGGCACTGCAACCAGGGCAACCAGAGGGATAGGGCGTGAGACGGAGAGGGAGGAGTGGAGAACGGTGGAGGCGGATGAGGAGGGATGGGGGGAGGTGGAGGCAGTGGCGTTTGACCTGGTGTGTGCATGTGACGGGCCGCACAGCACGTGCCGCCGCCAGCTGGGACTCTCCTTTGACGGGCTGCAGTACCCCATGCACGCGCTCCTCGCTGACGTGGCGCTCTCCCATTGGCCATTCCCTCGGAGCAAGGCCCACGTGTTCACTCGTGGTAAGCGCGTGCTGACACCTGGTGCAATGGGGTTGGGAGAAGTGGGCCCTGGGGTTCCAGGAGGGAGAGGAGGTGGAGGTGGAGGGGGAGGTGGGGTAGTAGGGGGAAGAGGAGAGGGTTGGGGGGGGGTTCTAGCAGCTGTGCCGTTTGGGGTGGATGGCTTGTGGCGGTTGATATTTGATGAAGGGACGGCCAGGATGTTTGCGCCAGCAGGGCTGATTGACCAAACCGAGGGCCTCAGGCATGGCAAGGGGAAGGCAGGGGAGGGAGGTGAGGCAGCAGCAGGGGAACTGGGGGAACGGGGGCTTGGGACAAGGACAGGTAGGGGAGAAAGTGGAGGGGTTGACAGGGGGCATGTGCATCCATGGCCGGGGCGACCTGGGGAAGGGCGATATGGGGTAGGCACTATAGAACGAGGGGTTGGAGAGGGAGAGGGGGTGCGGCGGGGTGGCGGAGTTGACAGCAGTGAGACTCCTTATGTTGAAATTCCATCCTCATCCTCAGCAGTTGTAGCCGAACCTGTAGAGGTCCCTCCTGCAGTATCAGAAAGCCCAGTTTCAGCAGCTGCTTCTGGTGCTGGTGCTGGTGCTGGTGCTGGTGCTGGTGCTGGTGCTGGTGCTGGTAGTGTCAGCACTGATTCAGCACCGTCCTCTTCCCCATTGACACCTCAGCAGCCAGCATTGACACCTCAGCACGTGTCTGCCATGCTCAACGCCATCATGCCATGTGGCGGCCACGTGGACACCATCCATTGGTGCAGCGTTTTCAGCATGCACCTGCGCTCCCTAAACCGTTTCATCCAATCCCGCGTCTTATTCCTAGGCGACGCAGCCCACATACACAGCCCTGTGGGCGGCCAGGGGCTTAACACAGGAGTGCAGGATGCTTATAACGCAGCATGGAAGCTGGCTCTGGTTGGAAGAGGCATTGCGGGTCGGGAGCTCTTAACTACGTATGACACGGAGCGAAGGGCAGCAGTGGCACAGGTACTTAAAGCCACGGATGTCAGCACTCGGGCTATGTTCCTCCCAACCCTACTCACCTCGCTCTCCCGCTCTGCTGCTTTCTTCCTCCTCTCTCACTCACACTCCCTCAGAGTGGCAGCAGCAGCCACTGTAGCTCAGCTGTCCCTGCGCTACCCTCCCTCCACTCTCTTCCTCCCCTCCACTCTCTCCTCCCTCCTCGCCTCTCCTCTCTCTGCTCCCCTGCGCCTACTCCCTCCGCCTCTGGCTGCTGTCTTAGCGCCAGCAGCAGCCGCAGCAGCGCCGGGGGCACGGGCACCAGACGCCATGCTGCTACTGCTGCTGCCGCCCTCTCACTACACCCACACTTCAGTGTCACCCGCCAGTCCCCAATACAGTCCCGCTCGTCACACTCGCACTGCGGCATCACAGTCTCCCCCTCAGTCCAGTGGTGGCGGCAGCAGCAGCAGCAGCAGGAGGGTTGAAGGTGTAGCAGAGTCGCGCCAACAGCAGCAGCACCAGCACCTGCAACAGCAGCAGCAGCAGAAAGCAGAGCAGTTGCAAAGGGCGGTGCAGCTGCAGAAGGCATCGCAGCAAATGGGAGGAGGCGGGTGGCAGCCGTGCTCCATGCTCCACCTGCTCTCCTCCTGCAGCCCCGACGGAGGCACACCCTCCCACCACCTGCTGCTCTTTGCTGGCACCGGCTCTAAACCATCTCTCCTGCGGCAGCTCAGGTTGTTTAAAGATGAGGCTCTAGCAGCGGCAATGGGGGGCAGAAGAGGGGCGGAGGGCGAGGAGGCTGCCTGGAAGATTCCTGTCTCCGTGCATTGTGTTTTGGAGACTCGGGCGCCTGCTGAGGGGATTGTACAGGCTTGCCGTGAGCTGATTGGTGGCCTGAACATAAACACGAGCAGCAGCAGCAGCAGCAGCGGCGGCGGCGGTGGCCGCAGCACTGGCAGCAGCAGTGGCAGCAGCAGTGGCAGCAGCAGTGGCAGCAGCAGCGCTGATTTTGAGCCATGGGGGCAAGTGAGTGTGTGTGTGGATGCGCATGGGTATGCATACGAGAGGTACCATGGGGATGCGTGTCCGTTCTACCTGGTGCGGCCAGATGGGCATGTGGCGCTGAGGGCCGGCCAGTGGCAGCCGGGCAGGGCACAGGCGTACTTTGATGGGATCAGAGGGCGAATGGGCAAGGCTGGAGGGGGGTAGAGAAAGAGTGGTGGCAGTGGTAACATGAGTTGGCATAGCATGATGAGGTGGCGGTGGTGTGGTGAGGTAGCAGTTGCAACGAGGTGGCACTAGTGTGATGAGGTGCCGTGTGATGAGGTGCCGTGCTTGTACCAAGATGGCAGTTGTGCTAGGGTATGATTTTGAGGGCTGGCCAGTGTGATACGTAGAATGGAGGGCATGGAGGGCCAGTTCTTGGGCTGTTTACTGGTTGGAATCAGGGAGAGTGTACGCCAGGAAAGTCGATGACTGTTACAGCAGGTGCATGCATTGCTGTTGCCTGGCCCAGCCGTGTGTACATAGCAGGTACCATGTTCCGTGTGTACATAGCAGGTACCATGTTCCGAATGTACATGTGCGTGGATGGTGCATGGCATGTGTGTGGCGTCTGCTGCATGGCTTGTACCATAGTTGGTAGGTTGCTCCATGTCATGACTCTGCTTGGTATGGTATGCTTGTAAATATGGTCTGGAACATGGGGCATGAGCAGTGACTACCAGCATACAATGGGTTCTTGCAGTGGCTTAGTTGTGCGTATATACTGCCACTTGCGCTGTACAAGTGATGCCTGCTTATACGGTAGCTGTGTACATGGAGTTGGGTGGGAACTCCCGCTTGTAATCAGAGACGTTGTCTCTATTTCAACCTACTGGTATGACCACATCCTCCTGTCCCTCCTCTTCCTCAACTTGCAAAGTGAGCACAGGCAATCAGAAATATCGAATTTCCCCCACACCCCTCCCTTCAGCACACAGACAGGTGCAGTGATAACTCCCCTCCCCCACCCTCTGCTCCGAGATGTGCCACAAAAAGAATGAACTGAACCAGTTTATTATGTACACAGAAAGCTTGATGAGCTTCAGCGTGAAGCCCCAGGTTCCTAAATTACGTTGCTAGATTAGCCAGGCATTAGAGCCCCAACTTCTGCCCCCAAGAAATCATATCTATGAGTCATAGACTATGAATGACGACTGGACGGCTGAATAACCTCCTCGCTGTCTCCTCTCCCTTCTTCCATCCCTCCAGCTTCTCCTACCCCTTCACCCCGGTTCCCTAGCTCCAGCCCCCCTGCTCCTGCTTCCGCCAGCCCAACAACCATGTGCGCCAGCATCAGCTGCGCCATTTCCCCCTGCAGCTCCGCGTTTTTGCGCGACAGCCCCGCCACCAGGCGCTGCGCCTCCCCCATCTCGCGCAGCATCAGCGCCACCTGCCGCTCCAGATGCGCCACTCGCTTACTCTCGCTATCCGCCCGCTTCTGGGCTTCTTGCAGTCGCTCGACCAGCCAAGCTTCGCGAACACAAGATGGTTCTCGAGAATTTGCGAACGAACTGCAGATACTCGCCGAAGCCTCGCGAAATTCTTTACCAATAACCGCTGCATCCGCCGCCGGTGTCCTTCTCACCCCAATCCCCACCTCCCGAGAAACAGAATCCCTCAGGCTTGGAAACCCCAACCCAACCTCAGGCTTTGACCTCCCAATCGTCGTAGGCTCGGCTGTTTGAGGTCCGAACCGCTGTAGCAGCGTCGAGTTCAGCGAATCGCTGTGAAGACAACCCAGCATGAGCGACGCGATATCCTTCTGCGCCGTCACTGCAGGGCTGACGGCCGCCGGCAGGGGAGCAGTTACCTCCGGCAGAAAACGGTCCGCTTTGTCGCCGCCGAGCGGGGGAGGCGCCACTGGAGGCTGTTCGAAAACGAGCATTTGGCGCTTTCTCTGCTGCTGGTGACGGTTGCACTCCGAACTTGGCCCTGGCCTTGACGAATCTGGCTCTGGTTCCGGGAGACTGAGGCTAAGTCCCAATTCTGTTCCCTTTCTGACAGGCTGCAAACGACTTCCGTCATCCACGCCGGTCGTTCCCTCCAGCGGCAGGACTCGTCCCCAGTCCGCTGTCAGAGGAACTTGGTGCTTCTCAGAAGTAGGAAGATGATACCGGCCGTGAGCCCCTGCTGCCTGTTGGATGTCGGTTGCTGGCGGTGGTCCAAGATTGGGAATCATCGCGAAGCGGCTCGGGTACGATTGCTCGTGGTATTTGGCGCCGTCTCTATCAGTGGTAAAACCATTGAAAAATTCGCGCTTGCTTCCCAGCACCATCTCGCTCTTAACGCACACCTCCACCTCCTCCTTGTGGACTACAGAGGTTATTGCGTCTGATTCGCGCTTCTGCTGCCTCTTCACGAACGCTTGAAGCACTTGGGAGGCCGCCATGGGCCGTGAAGATTGAATTGTAAGCAAACTCGCTCCGATCTGGTGTGTTAGAGCGGAAAAACAGCACACAATAGGTTGTTGTTCTTATGGAATCTGCTATGTTTGACACACCCATTGTCGATAATATAGTACCGAGACGGAGGAAGACGAAAAGATTCTTGATCTGCTTCCGAAGCGCAGCCCGAAAAGAACTAGGCTTAGTTTCGCTGGCAGTCCCTGCCCCGACGGCGCGCCCTTCGCTCAGCTGAAATCTAGAACCTCACCAAGCCAGAACTCAAGGCTCTAGGCTCTCAACCTTCCTACAGTAAGAATCAAGGTTCGCAATCAGCAGAGATGCCAGTCGCCAGTTGATTTTCCCGTTGCCGCTGCCGCCAGGCTGGCGTTGCCCCAGAGCCAAGCTGCGAGCGGCAATGATACCTCTGACGATATCTAGATGAAATGTCGGTACCGCGTGTATCTAGTGACCACGCGATACTGCGTGTATCTGTGAGAACGACGCGACAGAACTGTACTGCCAGTTGTCACTGTATGTCTAGACAGCGGCAGCATCTACCGGGAGATTTACATCCGGACTGTTTCGCCCCGTCGGGACGGTACCGACGAGGTGTATGTGGCACTCCCAAGGTTTTTCGCGACGCAACTGGCAGCCCTCGTGACGGGATCTGAAACAACACTGATGGGAGCGGTCGCGTTTGTCCCATACTTCCGTGGCGGCATCCTAAACATCTGAAAGTCAACCACGGCTGCCAAGCAATCGGGGAGTACTTCCAACCAACCGACGCATCACACTACCCCCGCAGATAGGGACGATTTCGTCGGAGGACTGTGCTCGTTTTGCTTTTGCCGCATGGCCATGCAGCATACTAAATGGCCGCGGTGTCGCTGAGCGGCAACAGAAGGTGGGTCAGCAAAGAGGGCAAGGGCGTACGTGTCCGCTCTACGCGATTTCGCTTGTCTTGCTGCTGTTGCTCCTGCTGTTGTTGCTCCTGCTGCTCCCCCTAACTGTCACTCTTTGAAAGTGAAGGTCGGCCAGCTCAACCCCAAACGAAAGCAGTGGCAGCTGAGCTGCACGAGATGCTTGCAACTGCAACCGAAGCGGAAAGGCGGAAGGGGGACACGGCTTTGGAGAAGCATAAGAATACTAAACAGTGTAGCTTCGTAAGCATAATTCAAACCCGTTCTAAAAGTCAAGGTTGCGGGCTTATCTCTGAGAAAAAACACATGACTTCGTTTTCATGCTCCAAAGAGTGATTTTTGGTGGACGCAATACTCTATGACAAGCATAACATCCGAGGTCTTAAGAGAGGTCAATAAAGAACTCCATCCTTGGATCTAATCTAAGCAGCTTCCAACAGGACTTGTCATTTGAATATGGTTGGTAAAGTCAGCAGTCTTTCATTAAATGCGAATTTGTACAGCAGTCTTCAGGCTTCAACATACAGGCTACACACCCCATGCTGCAGAGACAAACAGTGGACATCTAGTCCGGACAAATTTCTGGCTCCGTCTGTCATGCTGAAGCGTCCGAAGTAAGGATGACAAGGAAGTCACGGGAAAAATCCGAGATCCTTAGTGCAAATATCATAATAACGGATGTGAGAAACATTGGGATAGGCCCAAAGAACCATAGCGCAAGAGGGAGGAGAAAGTAGAACGAGCGATTGCCCACAGTGCAAAAATTGTCTCCTCGTGCAAGAACTCTTTGTACGTAAGAGATGGAGAGGCCAGGAGTAGTCTCAGGATCAATGGGGATGGTGATAAGGAAATTTACATGGCTGAGGAATCGAATGGCCTGGAAATGGAAGGGAGGAACCCACGAGAGTTACCACCAACAACAAAAAGAGAGAAGCCACAATTTCAAAAGCCACAACAAAGAATGACACAATAATCTAGGTTATTCAGAACTCACCTGAGTGTGGCATAGAAATGCGAAGAGGAAGCAAAGGAATACACAGAAGACTTTCAGAAGCAGCAGGTCAGATGAGGCTGACCCAACGGTCATGGAAGATAACGATTCTTGCAGGCTGTCAAGACGGATGCTGGTGAGGATTGTGGCGATTGCAACTGCACCCGTGGCTGAAGTGGAAGCCAGTAACACACATGCCATGATGGAGTTCCGGAGCGATTGCACTGCCAGCATGCCATTGGTGGCGTTGCTTTCCTGGTGAAAATGAGATGATAATTACGGTCAATAACTTTTCGGAAAGGTTTATCTGAAAGTAGCACGAGCCCAACGCTGAAAGATTTGAGCAAGAGTCTGACGTTGGTGAGGTCGTACGTGCCTTCATCACGCACTGCACCCAAGTGCGACGGTTGGTGTGAGCAACGCCAAGAACAGTAGCGAGGGGCCTGCGCTTTATCTGGGTGACCAGCCATGCGTGGTACGAGGCAAGCAGCAGGAGACCCGCTGGCACGAGCACCGCATCAAGAAGCGCATTGTGATAAACCATTACGTGATCCTACTCCTACAACTCCCGTAATTTTCTTCCGATCATCCAACCAAAGCATAAGTTGCCTGTCGGCGAGTCAACATCGCTGCCATGAACAAATGCCCATCTAGACGCCATCATGTGTAATTGCCTCAGAATGGAAATGCCTCACCTACGGATTCGGCCAAGGAGGAAGGTGTGAACGATGTAGTGTGTGTTGTTTCGTGTTGACGCGAAATAAGGGCGTGTAAAATCGGGACCTCCAAAAATACGGCCAGAATCTGTCGGGCCGTTTCTGCGAGAGTAACCAGTTTGCGGCTTTCGTCGTTTGTGTTGGCGAGAGTCGTGAGTTTCGCAAAAACAAAGATCGAATTTGATGGCCGTTTAAGAAGTCGACACGAAAACGACGCCGAGTCGACTCCAAAACGGCCACGAACCCGGCCCGACGTTGCGACACTGAATGGCGGTGTCGCCGACCCTCCATACGACGATGACGATGTCGGAATTATGTGTACGAATTTGTCGCCCACTTTGAACAATGCAAATTTTACAACTTTCCGGAACCGGCCAGCAAATCGGCCTGCAGAGTTGTAAAATTCGCAAATTTGTAAATGGTGGATATATCGTAGTCGACTCTAATTCGGCTACCAAGTCGAAGTTCGCGAAAGATATGACGACCATATGGTCGTAAAAAAACCGGCCAAACCCCATTTTCAGACTTGTGCGTAGATTTTACACGCCCTAACTTCAAGGCGATGTGACGCCCTAGTTTTAGGGTTCATCAGTACTGATAAAAAAACTCAAAAACTCATGATGTGAAGTAAAAGGACGGTAAAGCTGATAAAATACTCAAGATGTCAAGCACAATATAGTGAAGCCAGCAATTGCTAGTGAGAACAATACACCTATAAGGATTACGCCCATAGGTGCAAGCAGCCAATCAACCACACTACTGTGGTTGGTTCTGATGGACTTCACAACTCTTGAAACATTTTCCAACGTATCGTTCCACTCGCCTGTATTATCTATCACATAATCTGCCCGATTTACTTTGAGCTCCATTGGCATTTGAGCAGCTACTCTCCGCCGAGCATCATCTTCCTGCAGAGAGTTGCGCTTCATTAAACGCTCCACCTGCTGCTCCGTCTCACAAAAGACAACAATCACTGCTCGTGTAGCCCTGTTCAGACCGGTCTCGTAGAGCAGAGGAGCATCTAGAATGACCAGTGGGTGATTGGCCCACCAATGGGAGAAGAGCTGTCGTGCAATTGCGTAGGCAATGTGGGGGTGCATAATGCTGGAAGGGTGGAAGAGGGCAAAAATTAGTAAAATAAGCACTCATATTCATATGTATGTTTAAGCCCAGCATGAACGTGGATGCAGTGGGTGGGAGTGATAAACAGACTGAAAAGGTCCAATAACAACCTGACGTGGCAATGCAGGGTGGTCAAGAAAAAACATGATATAAAATGAGGGTGAAGGAAGTTGCACGCATATACCCTTTCAAGCACCATCTGAGGCGACGCCTCACCTGTTCAGTTTCCTCCTTTTGTTAGCGTTGACAAACACTATCTCCCCCAGCTTGTTACGATCTATCTCCCCTTCTGACGTCAGGACCGAAGGCCCAAATTCCTTCACCACTTGCGAATAAGCTGGAGTGTCCTTTCGCATCACGTCCTGATATGTGGCAGTAAGGAATGGGGCGAAGGGGGAGGAAGGCGAGGATGGGATGGAGGGGTGGAAGGGGAAGAACGAGGGGTTGGGTGGAAAGAAGCAGGAGGGGCGGAGAGAACAAAATCAGGATGTGATTGCGTAGGCCGTCAGCATGAGAGGCGTGCTCAAATACAGTATATTGTATAATAAGAAACGGAACTGGAAACGCTGGCAGCCTTCATCACTCGTTAACAAAGACGAGCAGGAATCGCTTATACAACCAGCGTCATGGCATCCTGAATACGATGTGTGTAGAGGAAAAGAATGCGGTGAAAACTTCGAGGGGAATTCAATCGTTGTAGCACAGTATGATACCCCACAAATGCATCTTGTAACGAGGTCTAGTCAAACATTCTGTTCCCTTGACGAATCAGATAGGTACCCAACGTTACAACATGATTCTACATAAGAGTGAGAAAAGAGAATAGAAAGAACGTACATGCGCTGTCTTGTCAGCGTCGATAACAGGAAGGCCGAACCGCGACTTGAGCTCCTGACACACAGTGCTCTTCCCGCTAGCTATACCCCCTGTCAAGCCGATCACCTTCATTGTCGCTAAGGGGGACTAACACGCGCTCGTTTAGCAGGACCAATGGTCCTAATCAAGCACCTTTAGGACGAAGCGGCATAGCACTGGCCCGCCTGTTACAACTACCTTACTACCACGTACTAATTCAGATGAAAATTGCTGAGATTTTCGCTTGGGGAGTTACGCATCACCGAACGACGGCAGTGCTCGCTAGCGATGTGTTCACAATTGAAATACCGAGGCAGGATCGGGAGTGTTCACTGACCCTGCCAAATCGATCGCCACATCGGTGTACCACGACTGCATTTTTGCAATCGCGGGCCCACCGCAATTCTCAAGGGACACGTTTGAAAAATCTTGGGCCAAAATCGCCCGATCTAGACGAAATTGCACGATCGATGTGTGGCAAGGGCACATCGATCGCGTGACTCCGAGGGGACAACTGTACATTGGCGAAAACAACGACTCAAAGTAACCACAGTTTCGCAACTTAACGAAGTGTTGTGCCCGCAAAACACCGAACCTGCGCAGGTTCGATGTTTCATTTGTAACGCGTCCTCAGACCTGCGCAAAACGAAGGGTGATTCGCGGCTTTCGCCATAACCTCTGCAATACGAGGTTTGGGTCGTGCTGAAAAGTGATTCGAGCAATAGACCATAGAACTGTATATATATGTATTATAAAGACAAATAAGCAATTACAACCCAAACAGACACATCTTCAACAGATGCATCAAAATAAGGCCTAGCACACCCAAACCAGCAATATCAAGTACTTTACTTCCCAAACTAGCTTACCCTCCCATCCACACTAAACATCACTATCATCAGTATTGCACAGAGCAAGCTTCCTCTCTCCAAAGAAACCATCCCAAGGCAGAACATGCTCCGCCATCCGTCGGCACGTCACCACCAGTCCTGGCAGTAGCATTCCCACCTCCCTTGCTGCAACCCTCAGGTCCACACCAGCAACACCACTTCCGCTTCCCTCTCCTTCCTTTCCACCTTCCTTGCCAGCAATAACTCCATGCGAAACCAGCAGCCTCTGCAGCTTGAAATCCTGCAGTCCGGGGCGGCTTCCCTCTCTCCCAGCCCTCACCTCCTCCCCGTCTCCACCGTTGCCAGCAAGCTCCCTTGCCGCTGCCAAGAGGGAGAGCAGCAGGCCGGAGGAAACACCCGGGCAGTCAAAAAGATCCAGCAGAACGAGCTGGGGCAACTGCAGCTGGAGAGAAGCAGTGGAAGCAGCGCCAGCTGTGGCGTCAGCATGCCAGGTGTCGCCGAACAGCGCCACCACGACAGCAGCGTCGTCCACAGCTGTGCGCGCCAGCCTCAGCACCTCCAGCCGCCCGCATCGCCTCGCCAGCTGGCGCAGCCCCACTGGCCCCACGTTCACACAGCCGCCCAGACTCAGCTGCACCAATCGCGTGCATCCATTCGCAATGGCCACTACCCCGGCATCGGTAACATGAGATTGCACAGGAGGGGGGGCGACACGCAGGCAGGTCCTGGAGTAGGAAGAGGAGGTGGTGAGGAGGAAATCATTAGCAGCGCTGGCAGCAGCAGAGGCGACAGCAATGAATCGAGCTAGTGGCTGGGCGTGCAAGGCGGTGAGGTTCGGGCAGGACTCGGAAACAGCTGTGAGAACGGCGTCTGACGCCAGCGGGAGAGCGAGGCGCTCGAGGAGAGGGAGGTCCCTGATGGCCTGGCACAGCACCTCCTCACTCGTCTTCCACTCGGGTGAGCCGCTGTGCAGGTGGGATGATGGGCGATGTGGCTCGGTTTGGGAGAGATCCAGAGTGGTGAGCTGGCGGAACAGGTGGCTCACGAGCTGCCACGTGGAGCTGGGGGAGTTCTGCGCGTGGAAGGCCCGTAGAGGCGTTGAGGAGGAACGAGCAGCGAGGGCGAGAAGTAGGGAGGATGCGGGGGGAGAGCCCCAGGCAACGGAGCGGTGAGGCGAGACGTAGAGGCGGATGGAGGAGAGGCAGGGCGCCAGAGACGAGTCCGGAGGACAGTAGAAAAGGTCGCCAGGCTTTGGAGCGGCGATGGAGAGCGTCGAGAGAAGAGCAGCCGTTTCAGAGTCTAAAGTGTCGGAAGAAGCGGATGGGTCACCCGCTACGCCGCTCTCCGTCAGCACCGGATCAGCTGCCGCGGCAGCCAAAGCAGGAGCCTCGGTAAGTGGCGCCGCAGCCGCATGCTTGGCGGGGTGGTTGCGGGGTTGATCCAAGGCGTGGGAAACGAGGGAGAGGTGCTGCAGGGAGGGGAGAAGCGCGAGCAGCAGCGACCCCACCTCCCACGTGACGGCGTCGGAGCTGAGCGAGAGCGCTTTGAGGTGCGGCAGCGACGTCGCCAGGTTGCAAATGGTTTCCGCGCTGGCGGTCGCGCGCGTGTCGAGGTTGAGGGAGGTGAGGTGCGGGAGGGAGGCGGCGATGGTGTGCAGATGCACGTCTGTGAGGCAGACACGCGGAGGGTGGATGGAGATGGGCTCGCGGGAAGGGGCGGGCGGAAGGGGAGGGGGAGCGGGCGAAGAAGAGGTTGGGGAAGGAGGAGAAGGGTCGGACGGAGGGGGGGAAGGTGCGGCAGGAGCTTCAGCAGCAGCAGCGGAAGCAGCGGCATCAGGGGAAGCAGCGGCAGCAGCGGAAGCAGGGGCGGGAGTGGCTGAGAGGACGCGCGGCGCGGGCGCCTGCGATGGGGGGATGGGAACGTTAGTCGAGCCGGCGACTTGAAGGCCGTCGTCTTTGCCCCACACGCGACCCGCGCCTCCCGCCGCGGCCTCGCCCCCCTCCGCCCACGTCACGCACGCCGAGGGGGTCAGAAAATGATCCGAGCTCAGATTCAGGGATTTGAGCTGACGTGGCAGCGCCGGGAGCACCACTGTGGCGAGCTCCACCTTGGTCATAGGAAGGAAGCCGGGCGGCGCGGTGCAACGATCGGGCACCGCTTCGACGCAGCTCACCAGCGAGAGCGATTCGATTCCCGACGCGCGTTGAAGGATCTGCACAATGCTGTAGGCCGATAGCTTATCGTCGTCAGGTCGAGTCGCGTTACCACCCGCGCCTGGACGGATCTCCAGAGCGCGGAGAGTAGCGGCGAAGCGCGTCGCCAGCTCCAGCATACGCGACTTGGAATCCGAACTAGCAATAGAAGTGAGGTCGTTAGTAGGGTCGTTCGCGGCATCCTCGAGAACGAACGGCGACGGTCGGAGTCGCACGCAGACCGAATCGGAGGTCGGAGGACGGAGGTCGTCGCCTGCCGCGGTCGCGAGTGTCATATCCGGCGTCGCCATATTCGAAAGTGCTCCAAGAAAGAACGAAAGGAAGAGCTGAATAAGATGAACCTATTTGAGATTGACAAAAGTGGATGTAAGATGCGCGTACAGAGATTGACAGTACTGATCGGCTTAGTACCTCCAAGAAAAGGTCCACCTACAGGCGTTTGCTAAAACACCGACCAACAGGCCGGACAACACGGAGCAACGCACCCACAGGTGACGGAAGGATCCAAGCGAGTTCCAAACGTATGTACTGGGAGCAATGGAGTGTATGCTCAGTTCAATTCGGCGCGCACCAAGCTCAAGGTGCGAGCGCGAGTAATGATGTGCAAATGGCGAGAGACTAGTTGGGCTGGTGCAGGATGGATTCAAGAAAGAATCGGCTCGGTTATGTATGGTGTGCTGCGGTAGATTCGAAAGGGGAAGCTGATTTGGCGAAGTGGCGAGGCGTGAAGGGAAGGGAATGTAACCAGGAGCTAGCTCAGACGATAGAGCTGAAACAAGTGGAACAAGTGAAGCTGATGGGTGGGGCGGAATGACGAGGAATGACGTATCAGAAGGTGCGAGGAAAGTATTTCTCAATTACGACGTGTTGCAACTCACGTTGCTCTGCATCGGCTCGGATCGGGACGTGTCTTTAGAATTTTAACAAATTTTATAGCAGGCATGCAATAACGTCATGTGTTTCTATAAAAGCTTGGCAAAGAACTCAATAGAACCATATATTGATATCTTCTTTGCCAGATCAGTGTCCAAGTTTCGGGTTTCGGATTCCTCCCGATTGCCTGGAGCTTTCCAAACACCCCTTGTCGTCCCGAGCCGATGCAGTACACCGTGAACTGCAACACGTCGTTATAAATTTGCAGACGCGTTCACTTCACACGCGAGTTCAATCTCTGGGAAAGTCCTGAGAATGAGAAAGAGTCCCAGCGTCCTCAAATTCCAGTTCGTAACATCATTTCTTGGGTAATCGATGTTAGATAAGAGTCGTCATGAGATTTCGCTGGGTCTTGAAGATTCTTGAAGTTCGCTAATCCACTAAGTCTGGCCCTTAGCAGACTGACGCTGTCTTACCTTTATTATTGAGTTTAGGGTTGATGCCCCCTGACCGGATGCATGCCCGACTGGGGTTTATTTGTTTTGCCCGCGGGCAGCGAGCTCATCCGGGCGGGGTCGCTTGTCGGCTGAGCTATACTGAGCCGTGACTCTCTCCAAGCTTCCCGTTCAGGAGTGCTTTTGCTGACTTGCCCATACCGGAAACTGGATCACTGTTGGTTCGGTCACTGAGCGAAAACACTGCCTATGCCAGAAGTCAGATTGCTGTATAACAACGGCAACCTTTGTACACTCGCAAGGATCCACTAAGATTATATGCGAATCACATAAGGGGCTGGAGGTTGGGAAGTTGAATCAGTGTTATTACTTTTACAATGCTCAACCACTTTGTGCTTGCGCATTCCAGCTTTCATCAACGTCACCATCCAACTCAAGATCTCGCTCTCCAAAAAAACCATCCCATGGCAAAACATGTTCCGCCGTCCTCCTAGCAGTAACCACCAACTGTGGCAACAACTTCCTTACCTCCCTTGCAGCAAGTCTTAAATCCACGTCAGAACCCATCCCTCCACTATCTCCACCACCCCCCACCATTCCCTCTCTTCCACCTTCCTTGCCCCCCTTCCATTGGTCCCCAGCAATCACTTTGGGAGACACCAGCAGCCACTGCAGCCTGAAATCCTGCAATCCATAGAACCCTTTCTCCTTTTTCCCTTTCTTCTCATGCCCCACACGCTCGTCAGCAGATGGCTTCTCCTCCTCACATTCCCCATCCACTTCCACCATTGCAGCTGCCCCATCATCTCTGCGCCTCTCACTCTTACCAGCAAGTTCCCTGGCTGCGTCTAAGAGAGCGAGCAGGAGAGTGGAAGTCACACCTGGGCATCCACTCAGGTCCAGCAGAACCAGCCGTGGCAGCTCCAGCTGTAGTGGCGCATCAAAAGCACTGCTAGGACCAGCAATGGCAGCAGCAGTAGCACTGTCAAAAATAACTCTGACAGCGGCAGCACTGTCAGCAGCAGCGGTGGCAGCTGCAGCACTGGCAGCGGCAGCACTTGCGCCGACAGCACGGGCAGCGGCAGCACGGGCAGCAGCAGCACTGGCAGCGGAAGCAATAGCAGCAGCAGCAGTGGCAGTGGCAGCAGTGGCAGCGGCAGCAGTGGCAGTGGCAGCAGTGGCAGGGGCAGCACAGGCAGCAGCAGCATTCACTACCCTGTTGCCACGCCAGCTGTTGCCGAACAGCGCCGCCACGACAGCAGCGTCGTCCACCGCTGTGCGCGCCAGCCTCAGCACCTCCAGCCGCTCGCATTTACTCGCCAGCTGGCGCAGCCCCACTCGCCCCACGTTTACACAGCCGCCCAGACTCAGCTGCACCAATCGCGTGCATCCGTTCGCAATAGCCAACACCCCGGCATCGGTAACATGAGGCTGGACAGGAGGAAGGGCAACATGCAGCCAGGTCCTGGTGTGTGAGGAGTTGCAGAGGTAGAAGTTCCCAAGACCACAGTCAACAGCAAAGTCGACAGCGACGGATCGAGCCAGCGGCTGGGCGTGCAAGGCGGTGAGTTTCGGGCAGGACTGAGAAATCTCCAGCAGAACGGCATCTGACACCAAGGGGAGGGCGAGGCGCTCCAGGAGAGGGAGGCCCCGGATGGCCTGACACAGCACCTCCTCGCTCCTCTTCCACTCGGCTAAACCGTTGCAGGAAGAAAGCCGGCACGGGGACAACTCGTTTCGGGAGATGTCCAGAGTGGTGAGGTGGCGGAACAGGTGGCTCACAGCCTGCCACGTGGACATGGAGGAATTGTGGGCGTGGAAGGGGTGCAAAGAGGAGGAGAACGGGCGTGGGACAGACAGGCTGGCCGCATTGCCGCCACTGCCACTGCTGCTGCCACTGATGCTGCCGCCACTGCCGTTGTTGCTGCCGCTGAGGGCGAGCAGGAGGGAGGACGCGGGATAGAGATGCCAGGCTACGGAGCGATGGGGGAAGTTGAAAAGGTGGATGGAGGAGAGGCAGGGCGCCAGGGTCGACCCAGATGGGTACCAAAAGAGGTCGCCGTGACAGGGTTTTGCAATAGAGAGCGAGGAGAAGAGGGATGCAGCGTCCAACCCAGCTGCTTCTGGACCAGCGGATGAATCCGCTGAAATATCTCGGATGTGCAGAGCACGCACGTGGATATCATGCTCTTGGTTGCCCGGCTGGGGCACGGCGCGCGGACCCAAGGCGCGGGATATGAGGGAGAGGCGCTGCAGCAATGGGAGGAGCGCGAGGAGGAGAGACACCGTCTCCCACGTGATGGCGTCGGACCAGAGCGAGAGCGCCGTGAGGTGCGGGAGTGTGCTGGCCACGTGCTCGACGCACGCGGCCGTGAAGTCCGCTAGCGTGTCGAGGTTTAGGACGCGGAGATTAGGGAGCAAGGCGGCGATGGAGTTTAAGTGCAGGTCGGAGAGGAAGAAGGAGATAACGGATGTGGAGTTTAAGTGCATCGGGTCGTAACGGATGTGGTGAGGCGGTGAGGGGGGCGGGCGGGGAGGCGAGGGACCAGGCGGGAGGAGAGGCGGAGAGGGAGGAGGGACAGAAGCAGGAGGAGGAGGAGGAGTAAGGGGCGCAGGGAGGGGTGGGGGTGGCGGAGGGGGGATGTTGGACGATCTGGCAAGCTGAAGGCCATCCGCGTACCCCCACACGCGATCATGACTCGGCAAAGTTATCTCGTCATCATCACACGCGCTTGTCCCGAATTGCGGAGCACGCACGCGACAGGGCAGAGAAAGTGATCCGACCAGAGATTTAGGGACTTGAGCTGACGTGGCAGGACTGGTAACACCACCGTGGCAAACTCTGATTCGCTCATGGGTAGCGAGTCGACTATCGGGTAGATCCGCTCCACGCAACTGACCAGAGAGAGGGATTCGATGCTCGAGGCGGCTCGAAGGATTCGCACAATACCATGAGACGTCAGCTTTTCGTTGTCAGCGGCGGTTAAGTTTCTCGCGCCGGGACGGATCTCCAGAGATCGAAGCGTAGCGGCGAAGCGCGTCGTCAACTTGAGTAGCTCTGTTTCTGAGTCCAAACTACCTAGTGTGCTCTCCGATCCCTCCGGAGTTAAGTCCTCGAGCATAAAAGGCGACGCTCGGAGCGATCGCACACACACACCGCGCAGCGCGACGCGGCACCAACGGCGGCAGACGAAGGCGGCTGAGGAGATCGCGAAGCACGAGGGGAGGAAGGAGAAGACGAGGGAGAGAGTGCCGTCATCGAGGAGGGCCGTGACGGATGCGCATTCCCCGGTGCCTTCGTCCACTAGAGCTAGCTCTCCGCAATCACGGTCGCCATCGCGAGCTGCGGAGACGTGCGACGCTCGTTCCATGGTACTCCTTGTTGCCCGCAATACGCCAGAGAAATGGATGTAAATAGATGGGAGCAGAGAAATGATAGCGGAGTTTGTCCAGTCACATGGATGCGAGGACTAATTTTGAGCCTAGGAAATACAGTAATGGGGGAGCCTAGGATGAGAGTGACGGACGGACGGGGGAGGAGGCGAGTGGAGTGGCGACCTTTTTCGTCCGAACCGAACCGAACCTAATCAAGCCAAATTCGATAAAAGTTTGCAGCCCGCATTCCCCGTGACTGGAATGGAGTAAGTTTGAGTAGTTAGGGCGCTTCACCTGAGGGGCGGAAGGCCAAAATCCGAACCGACGTATCAGTTTGACTGTACGAACAGTATCCCAAATGAGTTCGAACACAAATACGTACAATGAGCGAATGTGACACAGGCCATCACAGGTGACGCCATCGCTATTCGCACACGCGGTCTGTTCGAACACAGCGACGTCGCCCACAAAAGAGCGACGTCGCCCACAAAAGAGCGACGTCGCCAAACATTGGGTCCCAAACATTGGCGACGTCTGGCCGGGTCGTAAACGTTCATGGGCGACCCGGAAGACTGTGGACCAATCATATCAGTCGTTTGTGCGGAATTGTGTGTCACCTATCCCAACCTGTTCGAACAAACGTGTTCGAACGTGCTGGATGATGAAAATCGTGCTTGAGGTGACAGCTCTGTTCAAATTGGCGAAATTGTGCTTCGCGACGTCACGAAAATCACTACGAACATAGGCGAAACGAGTAACGTTTCGCCTGTTCGAACGAGTGTGTTGTTCGAACCGACAGGTGAAGAACCCTAAGCACGGCGAGGTAAGGTGACGTCACGCCCCAGTAATGCTTCATGCTTATTGTCCCAGATCGAACCGCCAGTGGATTCGTTGAATGCCTTGAATTCTGTACCTTGCAGCGATTTCTGCGCTCGGGGTTGGTCAGGTCGGACGACTTGGTCAGACCGACCTTTGAGCTGAGCTGACTGAAAAGCCTTGCCGCCATAGCGTTTGCCGTTGGATTCAGGAACAAGGCAAGACATACAAGGGAAGGGTGGTTACCGTATTTCAATCACTGAACGAAACTGGTGACATGGTGACAAGTTGGTGCTTAGGTAATGCTCAGTTTCCATTCAAAGGTGCAAAGAAACCATCCACATCATCCTCGAAAAAAGCTCCAAAAGCATCAGCATCCCACCCAAGTTTCTTCATAACATCTGCCGCCTCTTCAGAACCCCTCTCTTGGTGAACATTTCTTCTCAAACAATCCCCACCACTTTCCACACCTCGCGTTTCCACATCTGCTGCACCTTCACCTTGTGCATCAGGCCCGCAGTGCATTCTGACAGAGTCAGAGGGTCTATGGATGCCGACGTTCATGCCAGGCGAGAGACCTCGCTGGCTTTCTGTGGTTGGAGGTTCGCGAGATCTCACATCACGTGGCTGAAGCCCCTCCTCACTTGCTTCCCGTATGGCCGAGACACGACTCCCAGGCACTCCTCTGTGGCTGTCCAAGGCCGCATCAGGCACCATGGGCGTGAGGCAGATGTCAGCATCCTCAGCGTCAATTGACGTGAAATCCCACGCCTTCTCCCTTCGTTCGATTGTGGCTGCTGGAAGTCGGTAGGCTGGTGTAGTTTTGGGCATCATCTCAGTATTGCAGTGGGGGTTTGGCACATTAGGAGTGAAAGGTGTAGGAAACCCCGCCGTTCCACCAGCGGCAGCGTTGGAGTTTCTTTGGGCTGAAGAACCAGAAGCAGGGCGTGGTGGAACAGTGGACGATGGGATCTGTGTCACAGGTTGAGGCGATGCTGGCACACGGTTGGTTCCAAGAGTGCTTGGGGACTGTGGTATCTGCGTGTGCAGGTGGGGATTCTTTGATGAGAAGGGTGACTCTTCAGAGAGGCTGTGACTGTCATGTGGCATTGCAAAGGCAGATTGTTGGTTCGCCAATGGAGATTGATCTGTGTGTGCAGGCGGGGAAGCTGTTGAGCCGAATGGAGGAGAACGGGCAGAGGCAAAGCGTGGACCTGCAGTGTGGAGCAGGAAGGCGATTATTTAAATCGGGCAGTCATAGGAGTTGCTGAGACAGCATATTGTAAAGGGAATATCTCAAAAAAGCGGAGGAGCCTGTTTAGAAGAAGACATGCACACACCTGGTAGACCCGATGATGACGGGCGAAATGCAGAAACAGGAGGAATTGGGGTGTCTGGAGGAAACACCTTGAATGGGATGGGATGGGAAAGCAGAAAAACGCACAATGAAATAGTGGAGTGACGAGAGGGACAATAGTGCTGGAACGACTGGCGGTACGCGCCGACACACTCACCTGGACAACGTTGGCAAGAGTGATGTTGATATATTGCAGTCCCTTCCGAGGGCTGAACACCACCACCTGACAGCCACACGTGTCCACATCAATAACTCCAAGTAAAAAACACTTTTCCTCCTGTAGAAAACAGAATGCAACATGACATCATTTGAAGAAGATGTGCTGTGCACCTTTCGGAGTAGAAGAGCAGATCCTCGCTTAATCCGCGACTTGTTGTCGGCATCAGCCATGACCTTCCAGTGCAGCGAGCCCTCCAGACGACCCGTGGGGTCCTGGTTTAGATGGCCACGCCAGCAGAACAGAAAGTGGGTCGTGAAACGTCCTTTAATCATGTCATACTTTCCATGCGCACACCATCGCCAAACTTCACTTGCTGTGCAAGCACAGCCATGTACTTGCATGAGGAAAACGCATGTGGTGCTCCAGTCTACAGCTATAAACCAGGTGCACAGCGAACAGCTGACCTACCTTGATTTCGATGTTTGCATCACCCCGTGGTTGCAGTTGAAGGCGCTCCACCACAGCTGCGAGCTAGTGAGTGTGGGACATGAGAAGGTTTCAACAAACAAGCAAAAAATGACAAGTATCTACTATGACAAGCAAAAGGTATTAACATACTCAATCACGGCACAGCTGTTTACAATCAGCCTCTTCCATTAACAGAGAGGGTGAAATATGAAATTAGCCGTCACCTCACCTGCATCACCACCATCGAAATGCCTGCTTGCCGAATGCTCCTTACTGTTTCACACCCAGTGCCTGGTTTCCCTGAACTAGGAAAAACAGCACTGGTGAATACAATGATTACACACACACACAGGACCACAAGATGGAAATTGGAACAAACATTTCCGGACCATACCAAAGGCAGAAGGATATATGTCTAGGACGTCAAGGCATGAGAGCCATGGCCCTTTACTGAAGTCTTCATCTCCTGTAAATTCTGGCCGACCACGCGAGAAGCCATTATCTAGAAAGGGGCCGCCATTACCACCATCATCATGACCAGGACCACACGATAGACCCGCTAGTCTTCGCTGAAGGATACCGATAGGGCCCGGAAGAATCCTTAGACTCTCCCCCCCAGCTTTCCCGTCCAAGGGAGGCGAGTCATTATTGAGAAACGCGTTCTCTTCTGGGCTCAATTCCACATCTTCAGTTTTCACAGCAGTCTTGATGTTCTCTCCCTTTTTTCTCCTCTTTTTCTCCCTAGCTGCTCCTGCATCGTCCAATCCAGAGCTCATTCCGTGACCTTCTTCAAACGCATTGACAAACTCGCTGCCATTCCCCAATCCGCGGGCCTGATCCGCACGCTGGGAGGATCTCAATCCGCGCGTCTGATTTGCACGCTGGGAGGGTGGAAATTCAACAGGTTCCCCGTCTGGTTCTCCTCGCATTCGATCCGCGTCTCCTCCCAAGCCATCAATGCCCAGGTCGAAATCTCCGAGGCTAAAATTCGCCCATCCACCAACCCCGTCGTCAACGCTGTTGTCCGTAGGGCCATTCTGCTGAGACTGGCTGACAGTCGGTTCTCGTCCTGGGAGCCGTCCTTGGCCTTCGGAGTGTTTGGCAGCATTAGTATCAGCTGGCGATCGGCGCTCAGGCCTCATCCAGTCCACGCCATGGTTTTTCCTGGCTGGTGCGAAGTTCAAATCCTCGGAACTTGGCTCAGGTGGGACTGGGAATCTTGAGCGGTCGTTGCTATCCCTGCATAGGATATCATCTTTCTGCTGCGCAGGGGTCACGCCTAGACCAAACTGCCTTCCACCGATGTCTGCAGCTGCTTTCGTGCTCACAAGCCGAACACCGCTATTTCCTGGTAGTTTGCTCCTTTCGTCCTTATTCTGTTCTGACTGTCGCTTACTTGCATCCGGAACCTTTCCCAGGGCGGACAAAATGTCTGAATCGTCAACATCGAGCTCTTCGTCGAAGCCAGCCGCGAAATCAGAAAACAATTCCATTCTGTCAATGAAGTAATGGCGAGGCCCGCTCACAGCTAGTCGTCACGGAAACCAACCAGCAAGAAGCACAGTGATGGTCAGGCAACAGAAAAATATGGCAATGATTCCTACGATTACCGCAGCCTAGTGAGATGCTTTCCGCACTCGTCGCTTATGCTAGGAACAATACCTAGATTTCTTGGTTTTCCAAAACTCAGCACAGCAGCATCCAGCATTTCATGGCGCACCTCAATGTTGTCGTACTGGTGACGCCAGTTTGATGATCTACAATCTACACTTCGAAAAAACACAGTCCATATGTTTCCTCGTTCAGAATGACCATTGTACGGCAGATTAGGTGTAATTTGACAATGCCCAGAAGTCTCTCGCCACGGTTCAAGCCTTTTTCCAGCTGTGCGGAATCAACCCCAACCGAAGCCACCCCGCTAGTATCTACAACTCAACTGGACCTAACCCAACCCCTCCCGCCCGCTGCCTGCCACCAATCCCCACTTCCCGCAGCTCTTCGCGTGCCACGCCTCTGCCACCCTTTCCGCAATAGCGTCCCCGTATTCCGCACCCGTTCTGCAAGAGCCTCCGCGTTCCTCCACATGCTCCCCCAAATGCATCCTCGCCCACAAGAGCAGCTCCTTTTCCTTTTCCCTCTCCCCTCCCACGCCCCTCTAGAATTTCCTTTACCTCGTTCCTTTCAGCCATGGCGGAGGCAGCGGCTCCCAAGTCATACAGCCTAGATGCTGTCAAGAAGCCCTTGAAGAGGGCGCGTGTGAATCGTCCCTCGAAGCTGCGGTAAGGGTCTGGTAAGCGCTGCGTCTGTGGTTTGCCAGTCTAGGGTTTCACTCTCCAGACACCCTTCTAGCACCGTTAACAATCACTACAGCTTCACTCTGTTCTTCCGCGATATCCATTGTTCGCGAGTCCTCAGGCACGAGTGGTGAATTAGGGTTGGGAGTTTGACTGCTCTGACTTGCTCGATCTGCTGTGTTTGTTTCGCCAATGGATTTACTCTCCGTCTCCCGTGTCGCAGTGCGAGCATCACCCCAGGCACAGTGCTGATCATCCTCGCTGGCCGCGACAAGGGCAGGCGCGTCGTCTTCCTCAAGCAGCTCGAGTCCGGCCTCCTCCTCGTCACCGGTAAGGCTCTGAATTAATTCAGAATTCATTTTGCCACTGCTAAGTTCACGCCATTGCAAGAGGCGTCGATCTCGTTTCTGTTCCTCGTGACTTCATGTAAACGTTCATCTCTCTAAACCTTCCTCGGCTGCTTCCCACCAGCGTGTCACAGCGCTGCCTTCTCACCGGAGTGTGAGACGAAGCAGTCGCTTATATCAGAGCGATCATTTCGATAGCTTCGGCGCTCTCCGATGTAGCGGTCGTCTTGTCGTAGTTGATAATTTAGGGGGTATCAGCAGCGTTGCGTAGGTCGACAATGTATCTGCGCCACGACGCAGCATTTTCATCAGGAGTACCAGCTTAAATTCAAGACTCGTCTGACAGCGTGTCGTTTCGTTGAACGGCGTTCCGTGATCTGCCTCAAACGTTTCTAGGCACCCGGCAACGGTGATAGACGATTCTAGTTACTACCGTGGCTTGGCGATTGCGGAGGGGTAGGAATTTCGAAACTGAATTCCGAAGCGTTGATATGATAAGGTTCGAGTGCACTTCGATCACGTCCGGATACCGCAGACGACAAAGAGCTATTTGGAATGAGTGGTGGCATGGGGCTGAGGTCGATCAGTTCGGGGGACGGTGGTGGTGCAGCCGGTGATTATACGAAGTATTTGCTACTCTTGATGGCATGGCCACATGACGATTTACTATCCACCAAGATCTATGAGGCTGCCACCACAGGTTTCGAGCGGTTCTTACAAAACTATCTTTTATCTTGTCGCTTGAGCCGTACAGTACTTTTTTCTGGTGACTCTGTAGCCGGCCGGTGATTAAATCCTTGATTTGCTACTCGTGATGGCTTCAGTCCATTTGACGATTATCCTACCACCAAGATATGAGGCCAGTACTGCGGATGCCTTTCCATGCGACCCTGTCGCGGGTTAACTTCTTATTTCGTTGTTTAGAAATCAATGTCCGGAACAGAAGTCAGTAGCCGGGCTGATTCCGCATAGTGTTGCTGGCCTGGCTCCAGCAACAGTGGTCATTTTGGTGCCATTCCTGCTTTCCATGCTTCGCGCGTGAATTCACGTGCAGTCCGCGTGAATTCACGTGCAGCGCCTTTCTATGGCTGTTGGATAATCTGGACTCTCCATTTACGCTCATTGGTTGATCTCTACTGAGTCTGAACAACGTTGCTTGAACTTGGCGTACATGCTTTGCCTCCGAATTAATAATGTCAGTTTCCGTCTCCGTTTCCGTTGATGGAAGGTTGACCATGTGGCCGGTGATTATTCATCAGTATTTGCTACTCTTGACGGCCACGGCCGCATGACGATTTACTTTCCACCAAGATCTATGAGGCCACTACACTCTCTTTCACATGTTCTGATGTGCCGGACTGAGTGGTTATGCGTCGTTCTCCTCTGGTTCTCCTCTTGCTTGTTGAAAAGCGTTTCTCCCTGAACCATTAACATCTAAACTCGCCTTCTTCCGCCTTCTCGCCGCCTTTCTCTGAGCTAACCCCTCCACCCTCTGCCATCTCTCTTCTGGCCTCTATCCCCCCTCCAGGTCCCTTCAAGGTGAACAGGATTCCCCTGAGGAGAGTCAACCAGCGCTACGTCATCGCCACGTCGACCAAGGTGGACGTGAGCGGCGTTGACGTGGCCAAGTTCGACGACGGCTACTTTGCGGGCGAGCAGAAGAAGAAGGAGAAGAAGAGCGAGGGCGAGTTCTTCGAGACCGAGAAGAAGGTCAGCTGCATCCCAGTGCATTGCACGGATTGTTCTTCTCTTGTTGCCCCTCTCCCTCCACCCTCCTTCCCTCCCCTCTCTCCCCGCACCTCTTCCTCCAAACCCCCCCCCCCCCCCTCTCCCCCCCCCCCCTCTCCCAGCACCTCTTCCTCCTACCCCTCCCCTCCCCCCTCCGTCCCCGCACCCACTCCTCCTACCACCCTGCTTCCCGGCCTTCTCAATTCACGCGCCGTTTCTTCAGGAGAAGGAAGGTTTTAGCTGCCAAAGATTGTTGGCTGGGCAGCAGTGATTTCATGCAGCCGTAAGCAAGAAGCTCTTCCTTGTGCAGGCAGCAGCGGGCCCTGGCAGTCATAGAAGAGTTTGTGCTCTCTGCTGCTCACTTCCCACTCAACGCTTCCCGTCCCCTTCCCCCTCCCCCTTTTCACTCAACTCCTGCTCTCTTGACCACCATTGGCGTGCACAGGAGAAGGTGGTGTCGCAGGTTCGGAAGGATGACCAGGCAGTGGTGGATGCTGACAGGCATGAGTCAAGAAGAGCCTCTCAACATGTACCTCGTTCTTCTCTTCTCATCTGTGTGCCGTGCAGGAGAAGAAGGTGGTGTCGCAGGCGAGGAAGGATGACCAGGCGGCGGTGGACGAGAAGATCCTGGCGGCCATAGGCAGCGAGCCACTGCTCAAGGAGTACCTCGCTGCCCGCTTCTCACTCACGTCCGGAGACAAGCCCCACCGCATGCAGTTCTAGATGCTGCTGCTGCTGTGGCCACTCTCTTTGTAGACCAATGCCGTAATGAGCATGCTTGTAACGTTTACTGAGAAAGGCGTGTTACCTGAGGCTGCTCATGCACGTCATTCATGACGCACCGAATGTACATGAAAATCTCCCAGCGGTTTACTCTGCAACAAAAAACTCGCATGGTCCAGCACCAACTTTTGTCCGCTTGTGGCATAACCCTCACAATTATATACCGTTACAGAGTCTGGGTCTGGGGACCAGAGGAACATAAATATCTGATTGAGAAAGCTTGCTTACAATGGGCTCAAGTACAATAGTTCCTAGCAATAATATAGATGTAAGAACAAAACAAGATGTGTAGGAACTACTACTTAGCAAGGGTGACTAGCCTGGGGAGGGTGGGTGGGAATTGAACTTGAGCGATTGTAAAAATGAGAGACGTGGGTGGGGGAAGAATGACCCCAACCCACATTATATATTCGGAGAAGGCGAATAGCGTGCTTCGACGATGCTCAAAATTGCGTTACAGTCAGCTTCGCTTTACACAATACACAAATTTGAAAGCGATGAACGCTTAGAAAATGAAGTTTTTTGAAAGTGTGTAACACTTTCTAAAAATGTATATTTCGAAAGCGACCCTGCTTGTAATGCAGCAATGGCAACGGCAAAGTGCTCTACGCTCTTCGCCAACTATATAGCAGGGGGTGGAGGCCGTTTGGCCTCCACCCACGTCTTCGTTTGAAATTTCAAATGTCTTATTTCATTCTCGTCCGACGACTTGGCGCTTCCCGTTTTCTTCAGTTTCTCACTTCTCTCATAAAATAGTAGGCATCAACTCAATTGACATGGCACAACGTGTTTCAGAAATAGGCACCCGTCCGCACAATAGGCGCGCTTGTTGGGGCTAATAAAGCGACAACGCCACTGGCGCACGTGGCGACGAAATCGCCACAAGCGCGCGTGGCGACGAAATCGCCACAGGCGCGCGTGGCGACGAAACCGCCACAGGCGCGCGTGGCGAAGCAATCGCCACAGGTGCTCGTGGCGACAAAATCGCCACAGGCGCGTGTGGCGACGAAAACGCCACAGGCGCGCGTGGCGACGAAAACGCCACAAGCGCGCGTGGCGAAATCGCCAGTGGCGCACGTGGCGTAAAAATCGCCAGCGGCGCAAGTGGCACCAGTGGCGCTCATGGCGCCAAAATGGTCAAAATCGCCACTGGCGCACGTGGCTACGACATCGCCAGTTGCGTGCAATAACCAGGGGCTCGTCCAGCGGCAGTCGGCACCAGCAGGTTGGCGAAATCTCCAGAGACAAACTGGCATGACATATGCTCTCCTGCTGCTGACATTGTCAGCGGATAACTTATTACCTTGCATATGTTTCCACCTTTTCTTGGTACGTATCTTCGATTTTTGTTTGGCTTCGTTTTTCTCTCGTGTTATTTATTACCTCTGATCGCAGTAAATCGGTGTGAGGCAACTACCATAGCTTTGGGTCGCCATGAGAGACCATCGGCGAAGAAAGACTGCGGCAAACAATTGGCACAACCCCATGCGCTCCTGTGCGGTGCTGGCCAGCGAGCTCCCCAGGGGGGAGAAGGACCGGTGGGTCCTGTGCGGTGCTGGCCAGCGAGCTCCCCAGGGGGGAGGAGGACCGGTGGGTCCTGTGCGGTGCTGGCCAGCGAGCTCCCCAGGGGGGAGGAGGACCGGTGGGTCCTGTGCGGTGCTGGCCAGCGAGCTCCCCAGGGGGGAGGAGGGCCGGTGGGTCCTGTGCGGTGCTGGCCAGCGAGCTCCCCAGGGGGGAGGAGGACCGGTGGGTCCTATGCGGTGCTGGCCAGCGAGATCCCCAGTGGGGAGGAGGACCGGTGGGTCCTGTGCGGTGCTGGCCAGCGAGCCCCCCAGGGGGGAGGAGGACCGGTGGGTCCTATGCGGTGCTGGCCAGCGAGCTCCCCAGGGGGGAGGAGGACCGGTGGGTCCTGTGCGTTGCTGGCCAGCGAGCTCCCCAGGGGAGAGGAGGACTGGTGGGCCCTGTGCGGTGCTGGCCAGCGAGCTCCCCAGGGGGGAGGAGGACCGGTGGGTCCCTTTTTGGCTTGTGGGCCATTTGTAGGGTAGATTCATGGTTGTGCAATTTAGTTACACTTCTCACACACCTTAGGCTTTGAAAGCCTTCAATTGCACGGTCCGGATGTGGTCACACTTGAGTTGGTTGATTGAACAATGTTATCGTGAGTTTGAAATGGTGCTCAAGTCTAGCAGATCCAAAAAAAAAAAAAAAAAAAAAAGCACACACATACAAAGGGCTCAAAGGCCGGCAGATTTACCGTATCCGGATACAGATGCATGCACTCTTCGTAATGTGAGCACGGTTGTGACTGCTACAAGGGTTGGGCTCCTACAAGCATCACATCCATCATCACACAAAACACGAATGCCCGTTACCCGAGTCCTCCTATACTGCTTGCGAGTTTGTGTCCGAAGCTCACATGTCAGCCGACTCTCATAAATCAACATTACTGTGCTACACTCGGGGCAACACTTCATCGAAGGCAACAGCAGGGAATACAGCATCACCATCAACATCGGTGCCAGCCTCTCCTTCGTGCGTGATTGGACCTCCACCGACAATGTCGGAAATCGCTAGCAGAAATTTTTTGTCTGTTTGTCCTATATTGGAGGGTAACTTTTTGATTTAATCTGATAATTCAGAAATCAGGACTTAGTGAAATCTGTTCATTCATAAATGCTTTTTTGCTATATCAGACCCATCAGAAACGTTTTCCATGTTCCTCTGATACATCAGGAGTACTTTCGGGTTTAGTCTGTTACCGAATCTTTCTACCCTTAGGCGTGATTCACGCGTGAGCAAGGCGTGGTGGGGGTGTTTTGCCGTGATTACCGGAGTGTATGCATCATGCACGCCGCCCCCCGTGTTCCCACGTGTTTCTATCGTACGTGGCCTGCCACAAGTGTGGGATCGGCTAGTTTAGTACAACAGTCATCAATCCAGCACCACAAGCCCACAATTTCGGCGCCTGCCAAAGGTTCGGGAAGCGCGGTTTGGGTTCACCACAGTCAAGTGGTGCCACCCACAGTTTTCGGGAGCCATGCGCGGTTCGTCAACAGGGCTCTGTGGTCGGGCGTTGGGGTTTCGGGGGGGTCCTTCTTCTCCAGCCTCCTCTTGCAAACGCCCTACCTAGCCATTTTCACAGCGATTGCAGACGGTTATCGCCTTAGTCACGTAAGTCCGCCCTCTCGCCATGGCGGACGACACGGAAACTGCCGAATCACCCACCCCACGGCCCAAACCACCTGTCACGGGCCTCGATTTCCTACGCCGTTCCCAGCCAGCCGCCGTGTTAGGCGCCTCTTCGCCGACACGCGTACCACTGTCTTCTTCCCCGAATCGGCAGGATGTCGCTCCTGTAGACTGGCCTGCTGTTAATGCTAGACGGGCTTTCAGTAGCACACCGCCTGTCTCCCCTAGTACCTCTGCACGGATTAGAGCTAATCCTAGATCGCAAGCGGCGCCTAGCACTTCACGTGGTACTGCCGTGGGACGATTCTCAAAGGCCGGCCGATATACCGAGAGCACGCTGCGTATTGCAAAGACAGGGGTTCCTCACGTCCGCATCGTGTCAGGACCCACGCCAGAGCCTAGAGTTGAGGCTGCTGCTGCATCAACAGCACCAGCAGCTCATCCCACATGTGATCCTGGGCCTTCCAGGAGCACCATCCACGTCCCTGATCCAGACGCGCTTATGGAGAAGCTCCACGAGCTGTCCAAGGAATTTTGGCGCGACAAATTCAAGTGGTTGATTATCACGCAGAGGAAGGACGGGACGCCGTGCATGAAGTGCAGTATATGCATGGCTCACGGTCCAGCCCACTGGAAGTTTGGTAAATACGGCGAAGGTGGCGTTGATATCCAGCGGCAAACAATGCGGAAGCACGCGCTCAGCCTCAAGCATCAAGACGCAGTCAAAGCCAAGCTTCGCGCCGAAGGCGGTAAGGTTGCACAGAGGGGCATTGAGCAGTTCGAAAACGTCGACAACGAGACTTCTCGGTTGAAACAACTGATGCTGGTCGTGCTATTTATCTGCAAATCCGATTCCCCCATCTCCCTGTTTATTGATCTTGTTCGCCTGTTGGGTGAGCTTCAGACGCCGCACATCACGGACAAGTCCATAGGGACATACCAGTCAGCGTGAGTGAAAGTCTTTCTTGGTTTGTGTTTTTATTGTCACTGCGACTAATACCACCTTCACTGTGTTGTGCAGGTACGGCTTCCGTGAAATTACCGAAGCGATCGTCACCAACCTGAGGCAGCAGCAGATGCGCCACATCCAGGCGTCTCCGTTCTTAGGAATTCAACTCGACGAGAGTACCGACCGGCGCAGAGGCAAGCACATGATAGTCTATCTTAGCTTCATTCGCGACGCCGAGGTCGTCACCGAGCTGTTTGGGCACCTGACAGTCGAGAAGTGCGACGCGTCGTCTCTGCTGACAGTACTTCTCGCCCATTTGGCCGTGACGGGCGTCGACATCATGAAACTGACGGGCATCAGTACGGATGGCGCGAGCGTGATGCGGGGTTCACAGGCTGGAGTGGCGACCCAGCTGAAACTGCGAGTCCCACACCTGGTGACGTGCCACTGCATCGCTCACAGGTGCGATGACAAAATCTCTCTGGCGGTGGTGTATGATCTTGTTGTCAGACGTTTTTCAGTGTTCTAACCGCTTCTTTTTGCACACTTGCAGGGAGGCTCTCGCCGCGAAGGACGCGGCGGAGGCGGTGCCCGACCTCAGCATGGTCGACACGGTCGTGCGGAGCATCGCAGAGAACTTGGGGAGGAGCATCGTCTTGCACTCCCGGTTCATGGAGCTACAACACATCCTGCACGAGACGTCTCTGGAGGTGCAGGGTTTTAAAGACGTTCGATGGCTGGCGCGTGGCGATGCGATTCGGAGGCTCGTGGAAGTCCTACCGGCGGCGATAGTGGTGTTGTGGGAGCAAGACAAGAAGGCCTACAAGACAGTCTCGAGTTTCAAGTTCCACTTCTTCCTATTTTTCCTGGCAGATGTGCTGAAACTGCTCAACGAGCTGAACCTCAAGTTTCAACGGCGCATGGTGAGCAGTAGAGAGGTCCGTGCTGATGTTCATGCACTCGAACGTGTCTGACGTTGGCTTCTTGCCGTGTGCAGGTGGACATCACCCGGGTGGCATCAATGGTCCACAACACGTGCGACAAGCTGAAGCAGCGATACATCGAGCACGGCGTCAACTACGCTGAGGATAGCGAGTTGCTCACCGAGTTCATGGAGAAGCATGGAGCGTTGGACAAGCGGGAGGTGACGGTCGAAGGCATGGATGGGGAGGGAAGTCCCGTTAAACACACTTTCATGCTGCACGAGGACGCCATCAAGGGACAAAAGTCAAAAGGCGACATAGAATCATGCATCACTGTAACCCGCCTGTTTGCGCAGGAAGTTGTGAAGCACCTCCTGAAGCGGATGGAGAGCCTAGACACCCTCACCGGAGCGAAGCTTATCATGCCTGACGCGTACCCCGAGGGAAGCGCGAAGAGAGACCGCCTCTGCCAAGCCTGGTTCCAGTCTCTCCGCACGCTGTTCAGTGCGGAGAAGTGCGTACTTCCAGGTAATCTGTGCGTCTCTGTTGTGCGTCAATGTTACACGCTTGGTGATATGGTACCGCCACTGACTTGTCTCCCCGTTGGCCCCCGCCCCTCTTGTACTTGCAATTGTGCGTGAGCAGGAGTGAGCTGGAAAAAGGCGGGACGAGAACTGGTGCCGTTTACCAAGATGATGGCCTCGCAGTACAAGGACCAGACCTTCCACGCCGGCCTCAAGCACATGTTGCGCAGCGACGACTGGGAGACGAGCTACCCCAACATGGTCCGCATCTGGATCGCCCTCGCCGTACTGCCGCTGAGCACCGTCGAGTGCGAGCGTGGCTTCTCGAGGCAAAACATCATCAAATCGTGGCTCCGCGGGAATCTGTGCAACACACGCCTGGCGGACCTGATGTCGGTATCGCTCCTGCAGTACGAGCCGAACTGGGAGGACGTGGTGGCTGCTTGGAGGGGGGCAAAGAAGAGGCGCCCTGCTAAGGAAGTGACGACCAAGAAGAACACTCCAGAGAGAGCCCCAAAGCGGAAGGCCGAGAGAGGAACGTCAGCTGCTGCCTCCAATGAAGACGAAGATGACGAGGAGGACGTGGTCAGGCGGAGGACCTCTAAGAAGGGCAAACCACGTGCAGCTGTAGCAGTGTCGGACGACAGTGATGATGACAAAGGGCTTGATGTCCGCGCCACGATAGTTGAGTCTGACACTGAGTAGACTAGACTAGAGTAGATGTAATTTGTAGTGTAATAACACCTCACCAGTAGTTACATAATTTTTTATTTGATAGTTCTTTTACCGTAGTATTGATGAAGCTTTAACTTCTGCAAGAGTTGATGCAATGCAACCCAAAAAAAAAAAAAAAAACAGACAAGCCAGTGCTTTAAGATCTGACAGATCAGACAGAGATTTTGGAAAATCCTGATCCACCAGACAGGGCATCACTCAGCCCACTGATGAAGCAGACGGGCCCGAAGGGCCCGTCTGCTCCATCAGGCTGCCTCAGATCCTAGCGACGTCCCTGACCGACATGTCATCGCATACGCCACAAACAACCTTTACCATCTCGTTAGAATGACCCCGTCTCTTGTCTCAGAAGACCCATTTGAAACGAAGCTCGTTGCCATTGCAAACATAAGAAAGCAAGCTTTCTAAATATGAAGTTTTTTGAAAGTGTGTAACACTTTCTAAAAATGTATATTTCGAAAGCGACGCTACTTGTAATGCAGCAATGGCAACGGCGAAGTGCTCTACGCTCTTCGCCAACTATATAGCAGGGGGTGGAGGCCATTTGGCCTCCACCCACGTCTTCGTTTGAAATTTCAAATGTCTTATTTCCCACCCACCCACCCTAGCAAAAATTGCATGTTGGAACTTGTAATGTAGGTACCATATCTAAGTAGGACGAGAATGTTGTAATGCCCATTTGAAACGAAGCTCGTTGCCATTGCAAACACAAGAAAGCAAGCTTTCTATTT